TTCACCAAGTGATACACGCTTTGGACAAAGATTTTGCTACAATATCCGAATTGACCACTAGTTTTACCAAAGCAACAAGTACAGTTGGCTGTGACATTATCAGGCATTTTTTGTTTCCATTTGCGACAGCTCAACGCACAGAAATTTTTCACCAAAAAAAGATGGGAATATGTGGTGATAATGCCAATGAACAAGCACTGTGCCTGCATTGCAGCCGATAAATGCGGCAACCCTAAGAAGGTTTTGGAGAAGTGCAGAGGAAGAACAGAGACCAGCTCCTGAAAAGTAGTACACAGATCTGGTCCTGAAATAAAAAAATATTAATTTTTATTTATATTATGTCTGCAGTGAGAATATTTAATAGATAATGAGGATCGGGTGGATACCCCAATGATGTCAATAAATACATATTTTCAAGTTACAGTACAGTAATTTATATAGCACTGCAGAATATGTTTTCTATGACAACATATACTGCGCCCCCCCCCAAAAGAACAGTTCTGCAACTCCCGTTCTACTGGGCTGATTGACGAAATTCAACTTGCATTTTTCATGTCTCCCCGCGAACGGGCTGGCTGCATGGGCGTTTTCGTGGTTTTCCCCATGTGTAACGTGTATACGAGCCAGTTTCCCTTAGAAAGTCCTCCACGAAAGGCATCCCTCCCCTTAGGCAGATAGCCCTAGTGTGCTTTGCCATAATTGAATACACCACTACACCACACCAAAAGCACGACTTAGGATATGTAATTGATTTATATACAACATTGTTCTAATATAGGTATTTTGACACAAAACAGGACTTTTTCTGAAGTGACATGCCAATGTCTTTCCATATTTCGATTATACGACTCCAATTATACCAAACTGCCAAGTTTTGTAACAACATGATTTCAATGTAACACCAAAGTGGTGTTATTTTGCTTTATAATGCATGATTACTGAATTATTTATGATGTTGCTCTCATGTAAAATATATTAATATTCAATTAGATTTTTAATTAAATTTATATTCCAATAAAATTAATAACTACTACCAAATAACAAAATTAATTAGATAATTGCTATTAAAACACTATAGTATGTGAAGACAAATCCAGGAAAAAAACAAAATCTCTTTGTGCCGTATGGGTTACATTTCTATTCCTTTACATCTCTTCAACAGGAACTGGACGCCTATTCTATGATCACTGGATCTGTCTACAACTTAAGTGAACAATATTGACTCAAAGAAACCGGTATGGACAGCCATCAACAACTTATCGGAGAAAGCCATTCTGTGGTCCTCAGTTGGTGGGCGGGTGGGTTCATTTAACTTTACTGAAAGGGGACAAGGCTTCAAGGAGCTTTAGACCAATCGCAGTACAGACGAGTGACGAAATTTATAGCACGCGCTGGCTGAAGTTCTAGGAATATTCTCCTATTATTTCACTAACTCATACGCTGCATTTGTAGTTCGAAAAAAATTGCACAAAACAGTATTATGACCAACACGCAGCGGAATATGCTGCTGTGTTATGTGAAGGAAAATTCCGTTTTTTTTTAGGGGAAACTTTAACGCAGGAATTTAGAGGCTAAGAGAAATAAAGAGTGATATGGGATACCACGAAAGCAATGGTTAAATAGATAAAGTAAATGAAATTAAGCTTACTTCAAATCCTTTTAGAAATAAACAATTTTAATCATTTAAATTTATAATATGATTAATTTGCATTACAATCTAATAGCAAACTAAGTTTTTTTTTTTTTTTTTTTTTTCCCTCCATGTTTAAAACTGTTTCCCTGCAATTTATTTTACAGTTACTATTGGAAAAATATTTCTTTACATAATAAATTAGAAAGAAAATATTTCTTTCTTAATATTTCTTCCCTTTTTTTTATTTTCTTTTACTATGAAAATTATTTCTTTCAGGAAAAGAAATAAAATTCATTCGCTATTACAGTATGGTCGATTGCTGCTGCATTCAACTATCACACACGAATCAAAATGCTTTATTTTAAATAATTTATTCTATATTTAACATGAAAGAAAATATTTTTTTAATATAAAATATATAACCAAAATCAAACTAATCTATCCTGTATGTGTGATTAATTTGTTTTGCAATTTTTGTCACACAATTACTAACACCTTTTTTTTTAATATTACATTGCTGTTACTTGAATTTTTTATATATATAAGAACTGCTCAGTTTAAATATTCTTCCTTCTCAAAAGATTTTATTCTGTGAAAATAATTAAAAGATAGTAATATTTTCACAGTGTAAGTACTAAAGTAAAAATAATCAGTGTAGGTCTCCAGCGTCAAACCAGCGTTTCGACACATTTTAAATAGAAAACTAATAATAATGATATTTCTTTTACAATATAAAAATGAGAATGCTATGAACAGTACTTTTTTTTTTTTTTTTTTTTTGTTGTTGTTGCTGTTGTTGTTAAATTTGCAAAGAAACAATGATTTTTTAATACTATAATAGGTTACAAAAGTACTATTCCATGAACAAACCCTCAGTCTTATAGCATTGTTACTTTATAGCATAATACAATAATAATGCAGTGTAATTCTACTAACAAGCCCACCAGCTGCCGAGCGGTAGAGTCGCTGAACGCAGGTAGTTTGGTCCGAGGTTTGAATCCCGGGAACGAGCTAGCCGGCGTTTTTGTGGCTTTCCACATGTGTAACTTGTATACGAGCCAGTTTCCCTTAGAAAGTCCTCACTTAGAAACCAGTTTTAAAACGTAATAAAATTACACACAAAAATAATAATAAATAAATAAATAAATAAATAAATCTGAAAGCCTTCAGATTTTATATTACTTCCAAAGGGCCATTATTTAACGTTTTGCGTGTTATCTTTATTTATTAAATATCATGTTTTTCGCACTTAAACCATAATATTCAATTCAACAGCAATATCATATAATTTAAAAAAAGCATATCTTTAGAATTTCCGTTGCATAATCTCCCGCGCTAGAGATGAAAATGTTTTTTTTTCTGTACAATGTTGCCATTGCTCGCTTTGAAATCGTTGGGTTCTTAATCAAAAACTCATAAATGCTTTACAAAATATGAAATAGGTAATAAAACAAATTCTCAGTTCCAAATTTGGGCCTCCGGATGCCTATACTATTAGGATGAAGGATTACGTTATTCAGAATTTCATGGCTCTAGGTAGCGTTGTTTTATCACTGTGCGAGAAACATTCATACATTCTGCAGATTCCTCATTATTTAATTTCTTTAAATATAATAGAGTGGATAATACTTGGTGGCAACGATTTGAAAAGTGAAACGCCACAAAATGGCAAAACGAAATTAATAGCCCCTCTGGGCTAAAACTTATTTTTGAAAGTATCACATTAGTAGTAGTACAGCTACTGAAAAATATATTAAAGTTATTTTATAGTTTTATAATTTTTTTTTTAAATTTTTATTTTACAGTAGTGTGAATTTCGCGTAATAATGAACGACATTCCTTTTTGTGTTCACAGTATTATTGGTAAGGTATTCAACTGTTAGATTTTAAAGTAAACGTAATTCTTGCTGTACATAAATCGCGTAGAAGCTTATCGGATGTCTATATTTGTGTTAAATAAAGAAAGTTTATGTGCTTGATAAACTTATTATCTTCTACATTTTTAAAGCATACAATTACAATTTATATCTATAATTCCTGGAATAGTATAACTTTTCTTTCAGTAGAAATTGCGTTCTTGTTTTCTGAATGTGGCTCCAAATACTCTCTCAATTCATCGCAAATTAAAATAACTATAAAATTTTGGCAATCTGAAATACGCAATGAAAACATCTTTTGGCAGAGCCAAAGCATCAATATATTTTCTATAAATTCGCCACCGATTCAGAGACCTACGACCGTATTCTTCGTTTAAATATGAAAAAATCAGCAGCGAAAACACATACAAAGCCATTGTCTACTTAGTACGTCAACTGAACAACCCTGATTGACCGACGCGGCAACACTTTTTCACGCGCTTTCGACAACTTCCGTACTCAGAGAATGTAGGATGTCGGGCAGACCTGTTTTTTACTAGCAGCGACATCTGGCGGCCCACAACTTGCTGTCGACTCTCGTAGCGTAGAATAACCGTCCTGGCCAGAAAATCTGGTAATCATTTTGTCCAACATGACCCTAATAGGGAACACATTGGGGAGTTTTTATGCAAACTGAAGTTGTTGACATCCTCTTACAGAATGTTATATAATAACCTAGCCATATCAAGAACAGAACAATTAATAGCTGAATTCACTTGTAAAATCAATTAAACATAAGCTACCAAGGAAACCTGTGCTGATTCTTCTCAAAAGATCACAGAAAGAATTGTCAGATAGTGAAAATGAGTAAAATATTTTTTCAAACACAAATTTATTTTAATTCATTTTTCACTACACATGTGTTATGCTGAAATAAAAACCAAGCTTAATATTTTCAGATCATGTTTTAAATTACTTTTTCTGATTTTTTAAATACATAACTGAAACACATTTATTTTCTTCCATAGATAATTCTTTGCATGAAATATTTTTAACATGTTTTCTTCAGGAATATATACTTCATGTAAAAACAGAACAGACAGTACACCTTTTAAAAGCAGACTCTCATGTACTTTGCCATGATTTATATATTCTATTGTGCATTTGATATTTTGTTGGATGCATGATGGTAGATCAAGAAGGGATTAGTGTTTACAGGTATATGTAGAAGAAATATTGACATCTTCATTAATTGCGTTCATCAGATTTCCAGTTTCATAATTAATTTTGATATGATGTGGCTGAAAGCATTTGTTACAAGCAGTTCTCTTTTTAGAACGGAAAGGAGAAATAAAGAGTTATTGCAAATTAAATTTAAAATTGTTTCACGTATTTTTATCTTACATATATGTGCTTGTGATACAGTTTGTTTTGTATATTGTGCAAATAAAATAAAAGATGAAATAATAACACCTTTTTTTTTTTTTTTTTTTTTTTTTTTTTTTTTTAAGGCTATTGCACTCAAACCAACTAGTGGAGAAGAAAGAACAAAACAGAAGTTCATTGAAACAATTATTAAGTTTGATGAGTTCTTCAATCAGTTGACAAATATATTGAACAATGAAAAGGTTTCAGAAATAGTTTTAAACTTAGGTTCAAATATGATGAATCCTAAAGAGCTTTATCGAATTATGATGCCACCTGAGTGTGTTAATTCACACTGTTCCAGTGATTATTTATCCTTTCAACGATGCCGTAGGCAATTCTACCATGCCGTAATGAAAAGTAATCTGTGGGAAGACTTAAACTCGGATAGTCCTGTACCAATCTCAGTTCTCTTATTACTAGAGCCTGGAGACTCTCTAAATGAATATATGGAACAGAAACGCTTTTATGCTTTACCTAAATGCAAGCATAGAACAGTGCGCTTTTGTAACAGCTGTGTTCATGGTGGAAAAGTTTTGAATATTAAGGAAAATTTGCATGAACAATCTACATCTAGTAGCAGTGCATCTTCATCAAGAAGTCCAAATGCTTCCAAATTATGGGTAAAAGTACGACCAGATCTCAGAGGTTTCAAAGAACAACCACTATTTGATGGCATGTACTAAGTGAATATTTATATATTTTGTGTTCAAAGTGTAGTTTTTACTAAATATACACTTAATTTTAGATGCTGGAAATCATTCCTAAGAGAAATGCACAATACTGTTTTGCAATATAAATTAGTTCAATTAAAAAGTGTAAAAACAATGAAATTAAACATATTAATAGAAAGCATATTAATTGATTTAGTTAGTAATAAAATGGCTTTTTATTTAAAATAATATTTTTTTCATAGTGTTAGAAAACGGACTGAATTGCCAGTACCACATCTAAACTGAAAATCTGCATTTCTTGAATTATTAGATTAGAGGATTGTTGGGTAAAAATTTTTAGTTTTTTATCCTGAATTTTTAAATTTTACAGCTTCTAAACATTTTTTTAAGTGATTTTGTTATTGGCATGGTACTGATGACATATATATAATTTTTCTGTAAAACCATGGAGGTAAAATGACCCACTACAGATAATTTTGTTATTTTAAGTGTAGGACACAATTTGTATTTCAGAAATTTTTAATTGCTAATGATAATTTAATGAAGCAAATGCCCATTTCATCCTTTTATTTTCTAATGTAAAAAACTAAATTATTCTGATCAGAATTAAGTAGTTAAAATTTCCTTCAACGTCATTTTTACTGATAGTAACTGTGTTGTATTTCTTGCCATACAACTGTTCTGTTTACTTGTGTAATTGATTGTTCATAGATAATATATTGATCTTTAATTCAATATTTTTTCATCATGTTTGAGTTTATAAACTACTCAGTTGAAAAGGAATGCCTTTATGTGTCCTTTTTTTTATATTTCATTTTAGTGTGTGTATTATGAATTTTATATACTTGTTACTCTTTTGTTACTAAGCCAAAAATAAAAATGCTTTGATGCATTGCAATTTTTTGTTATACAATGTGATGAATTTAAGAGATGACTAAACTAATATATACATTATATACAACTTTAAAAAATAATTCTTAGAAGTAAAGTATTAGTAGCAAAATATTTATTATAAATTGCTACTTGTTAATTTTGTCAGTCAGATTTTTGATATAATTATTTAGTTTAAGGTAAAATTAACAGATATCCAAATTTACTTTAAATACATATAATCTGCTATACATTTTGTCATAAACGTGGAGGATACACAAGAGAGTGGAAAACTGGCTAAAATAAATTTAGTTTACATTTATTTTACTGTATCTACCATACATTTCATTTGCAATGACATGCAGCCAGATTCTTTACTTGGAATCCATAAAAACTGACTGCATCTGCACATGCAGACATTACGCCAAAAGAAAATCATCCAAATGGATTCAGAAACTGTCAAAATGGATATTTCCATTGAAGTATACCTGAAATTTGTTGTGATTCCAATACTTCCTTTACTTCATACAAGGAAATGTACTCGCTACAATATTATGACAGATTTTTATGTAAATAGATGGATGCCTCACAAGTTATAATGAGAAATACTTCATTACGAAACTGCATGATGAAGAGGATGAGGCAGGTCAGCATACAATTGATAACTGGATATATAAGTCATTTCACAATGGCTGCTAAATTACTATATGCAAAACAGAGTAATCTACAATACACATGAAACAGCAGCCAATTTAAGAAACTGAAAGAACACATGGAATATTGACCCAAACCAGGTGTCGCAGGAAAATGTGCCAAAACAAAAATATGGTGAATTATTTAAATTGTGTCTTCAACAGAGCACCCATTACAAAGAAAAGAAAATTTAAACAATTTCTTCAAGAGGCAATTCCTTGGAAAAATCTCAACTTCATATGATGATAAGTGCTGAAACTTAAAATGAAATGACAATTGAAGCTTCCTACCATATGAGTCACCACAATGCATGTAATGGAGATGCTTACTAAGCTTAGTGTCCTGCATCATTGAAAAATCTGCTAAAAAAACTTATTTTAATTACAGTTACCTAATAACACCATTTAATGCCACATTACCTGTCTTTCCACTAATATAGAGACAAAACTAATTAACCAACATAAACTTTGCAATTAATTTCACAGGTCTAAAATGTTTTACTAGTATTTATAAAGTTTGTGTATAACAGCACTGAAGAGATTTTACTCTTCTGCAAATACCTCCAAGGAAACAGAAAATACAGAATATACATTTAATAATTGCATTAATAAATACATGATTGAAAAAAGTGTAATATTTCTACAGATAGTACATAAAATGAAAAGGATTGTGAACTACATTTTGGAAGTAATTACATCCAAACAGTCATAGCTTTTGCATGGATAAAAAAATGCATCTACACATTTACAAAGTATTTTTAAGAGTTGAAAAACGATGAACTACGTGAAACTTCAGCCACTTCAGTCTAAATTTAAAATTTTGGCGATGAAATGAGTACCCAACATATTGCACTTTAATTTCACATTAAAGTAATGCAGTTACCCAGAGAAAAAAAACATGGTCGAGATTGCTTTAACTGTGTAGCAAGTTATTGCTTCTTTTTTTTAACCTAACAATTTGGAACAAAATTTCATAAAATTTTGAACAAATCCTACATGTTTATGCAGAAGATATACACTGAAGTGACAAAAGTCATGGGATACCTCCTAATATTTTGTCGGGATCTCCAAGTAGCTGAAAGTATCCATTTCCAGTCAATGATCGGTTCAGTTGCACCAGAGGATCGACTCCATGCCATGTAAAAACAGCCCAGACCATTATGGAACCACCAGCAGCTTGAACAGTGCCTTGTTGACAATTTGGGTTCATGGGGTCTGCGCCACACTCGAACCCTACCATCAGCTCTTACCAACTGATATGCCCACGAGAGTCGCTGCAGGCGATGTCGTGCTGTCAGTAAAGGCACTCGAGTCGGTCTTCTGCTGGCATATACAAGGAAGAAAAATTTTATCGGACACGTTCCTCGTACGTCCCACATTGATTTCTGTGGTTATTTGATGCAGTGTTGCTTGTCTGTGAACAATGACAACTCTGCACAGACGTCGCTGGTCTCGGCCGTTATATGCAGGTGGTCGGCCACTGCACTGTCCATGGTGGGATGTTGTGCCTGAAATTAGATACTCTCGTCACACTGTGGATCTCGGAATGTTGAATTCCCTGACGATATCTGAAATGGAATGACCCATGCGTCTAGCTCCAACTACCATTCCACGTTCAAAGTCTGTTAATTCTCGTCGTGCGGCCATAATCACGTTCAAAAAGCCTCTTCACATGAATAACTTGAACGCAAATGAAAGCTCTGCCAAAGCACTTCGCATTTATACATTTTCTACGCAATACTACTGCCATCTGTATATTTGCATATTGCTATCCCATGACTTTTGTCACTTCAGTGTATTTATTATGTGTAATGAAACAAATTTATAACCTTTGTTTGAAAATAATAAATTTGGTCCTCTTCTTAGGTGACTTTTTAAATGAAGACAATTTAAAAATTGGAAGGTTTACAATTACTACATTTCCATAACTCCGTGCCAGTATGAGTCTAACAGAATTTAGAAAATAAATTACTTAACACCATAAAATAAAAATTTAAATGTCTACCCTTCAATAAATTTTGTATATATAGAGAAAAACATCAGAATTATCAAAACGAGCTCGTCATACATTAAGCTTATCAAACAGTCTAGTCTTTTGCAACATAGCTGTGAAAGACAGCCATGTTACATGGTAAGAAAATCCAAATATAGAAGCCATATTGAGATTGCATTGAATACAAGAATTTAAGTTTCTAAGATTGTGCCTGGCATTAAAACAATCAAATTCGAAGACTCAAACACAATGAAATTAATATTGCTTCATTTATTTAGGTTTTTATGTGTCATTTTTTGTAAAATTTAAAATGCATATAATCCTGAAACTGGGTATTGTAGTAGTAATGAATTCAAATAAAAAACTTGATCACCTAAAAAAAAAGTTTAGAATTTTAAACAATACTTAATACAACAATACTGCAAAAACTTAACAACCTAAATCTACAAGGATAGAATAAATGTTTAACAGACATGATGAGCACAATTAAAACTTTCAAAGAAACAATAAAAAGGTATGCGTCTCAATTAAGAAAACATGAATTGAGAAACTTCAAAAACATGGAGGAAGAGTGCATCCATGATCCAAACCGAGACTTCGAAGATTTCACTGAACACTTAGATGTTTTGTTTGAAGAATTTGAAAGATTTGCTGACTTAATTAGGTTGGAAGAAATACTCAATTTTATGATAGTTCTATTTAATGAAAATGTCAACATTGATGGAGTATCTGAAAAAATAAGACATTTAATAGATACAACATCAGTCACGGTCAAGGAAGAAATTATTAAATTAAGATGCGATATATTTCTTAAATCCAGAGCATCTAACAATGATTGGTTAGATGCTCTGAATTTAAGAAATTTTGGAAATTAATTTCTGAAGAAACATTTCCAAATATGTACAAATTGATTTTGTATTTGAAATCATACTTTGGATCGACATATCTTTGTGATTAAGACACAATAACACGCCGAATAAATACTAATTCAGAAGTCAAACAACAAAAATCAGCGTTATACCAAGAGAGAATTCTAAAATATAATTTTAACTTCTCACAAACCTGTAAACCCTCGATTCCAAAGATTTTGGCTCCTATCGAAAAAGCTTTCAAGTTCAGTAAAGTTTCAGATTCACAGAAAGAAATGATTAGGCATCTTATCGCTCATAATGTGAAATTCAATAATAAACCTTTGAAACCAAATCTAACTGCGAGAGAAAGAGCTACAATGCGCGAAATTCATTCTAACCCGGATATTATCATTTCAAAGGCCGACAAAGGTGGCCAGATAGTCGTCATGGATAAGAACACTTACATCGATGGTGTCACTAAACTCTTAAACGAAGGACCATATAATCCATCCCTAAAGATCCTTCACCTTCGGACTTATCCAAAATAAAAACTGTGATCAAATCTTCGCAAATCATTTCAAGCAACTTAAAAAAACATTCACTTATCCCATCTGTTGCGAATTGTGCCAGATTATATGCTCTTCCCAAAATTCATAAAAGTGGTATTCCTTTCCGCCCTATTGTATCAAATTTAGGTACTGCCTCGTATCCTTTAGCTAAATATTTAGTTTCTAGATTTTCCACTCTATTAGACAATAACATTTACCACCATAAAAAAAAATTCAATAGAGTTTGTAAAAAAGTTTAAAAACATTTCTCTCTAGTAATTTACTCATGGTTTCTTTTGATGTAAAATCATTATTCACCAATGTCCCAGTGGAGGGTGCATTAAGATGTCTAGAAACCAGACTTCGCGAATTTCATTTCTCTTGCATCGAAATTGAGGAGCTAATTTCTCTCACTCAACTCTGTTTGAAACAAACACATTTTGTTTTCCAAAATAAATATTACAAGCAAACTGAGGGATTAGCCATGGGAAGCCCCCTCAGTCCCATCCTGGCTGATATCTACATGCATTATTATGAATCAAAATTGTTTGAAACTTTAAAACTTCTTTCCCGGCATGGTTCCGCTACGTAGATGATACTTTTACCCTGTTTTGAAGGTAATAAAGATGATTTAAATAGAGTTCTTTCAACAATGAATTCTATTGATCCTGCTATTCAGTTCACTTTTGAACTTGAGACTTGCAATTCTCTTTTCCGTTTCTTTTCTCGACATTCTGGTCACACGTAACACATCCAACTTCAGTACTACAGTTTACCGTAAACCTTCATCGGTTTGCCTTCCCACCACACACTTTAAATCATGTCATCCGACTAAACAAAAGTTAGCTTCATTTTATTCCTATGTTTTCCGTGCTCTTCAAGTTTTGCTCCTCCAAACTAGCCCTTGATGAAGAACTAAATTATTTAAAAAGCAGTAGCTATTGACAGGGGCTTTTCACCCAACATTATTAATCAAGCAGTTAAAAAAAATTCTCATCTGAAACACACTAAAAGCCACACTCTATTTTAGGAGATTATAAAAAATTCTGTTGTCATTCCCTTCTTTCCATCAATTAGCTATAAAGTTGCACATATTTTGCAGAAATTTAACTTTCGGGTTGTTTATTCTCTCCCATCAATAAAATTCCAACTTCTATACTCAAGGACCCCATTCCGGATATGAATTCCTGGGGGTATTTATAGGATTCCTTGCCAGTGTGGGTTAATTTACATTGGCCAAACTAAGAGAGCCTTAAAATTTCGCGTCAAAGAACATGAGGCATATGTTAGAAAAAAGGAAACACAGAAGTCTTCTGTTGCTCAACATTGCTGGTCCGAAAATCACACTTTCAATTTTTCTGCTGCCAAAATTATTCAAAAAAAAAACATCTTCCATTGGAGAACTGGATTTTCTAGAGGCATTTCACATTCATAAAAATCTTTCTGTTCTAATTAACGATCCTAATTCCAATCCAAATTTGCCTTCGGCTTTTAGAGAAATTATGTTTTAGTTCTGGTTTCACCAACAGATGGTGCCACTTGCTTATTCTTGTTCAGGCTTTCTTATCTTATCTAATCATTATTTCCTATCTTGTTCATTTACGGTTTTGCAGCTGAAGATGATGGTTCGGTAAAACCATCGAAACTAGTCCTGTGAAAATTTTGTAGGTATAATGCTGATTTTTGTTGTTTGACTTCTGAATTAATATCTTTGTGAATCTGCTTTATCAACCATGGACGCCATAAAAACCAAACATCGGTTGCGTTTAACCCCTTCGCGCCGACTGTCACGTATACATGCCAGCAACGAACGCACTTATCTACCAGCCGACACGCAGGCGTGCCAGAGGATTGTTACGTTCTCTACCGACTGTCACGTATTTGTGCCAGTACTTTGGAACGTTTTTCAAACTATAATTTCTGCCACAAGATGGCACTGTATGTCCATATGGTTTCAGATACATGTAAATTAGACCTACTCGAAATGAGAGAAGCATGACTCATATACACGTGTTTTTGATTATATAAACAAACGGGAAAATAAATGTTTCCCGAATGGCGTGATTTATGATGTCTCTTTAAATCGCACTTTATTTTATTCGCACGTGGTAGTTGTTTACTTGTAAGTAGAGAAGTTTTATTTGCGCTAAAGCGTTGGGTATTTCGGTTTGCAGTTCAGTTTTTAGAAAATAATTAGATCTTGTTAGACGTGAATTCTTTGTTTTTACCGTTGCAATGTCGAAGCGTCGAAAATGTTTAACAGAGCATGAAATAGCAGAAATGATGCAAAATATTTCAGATATTGATTCTGAAAGACATTTTCCAAAACTTTGTTCAGAAGAGACTGATAAGAAAATGAGACGACGATGCTTCGTTTGTTCACATTCCCGGAAAAATCCTCCAAAACGGCAAATGAGTTATTACGAGTGCAAGGAATGTAACGTAGGACTGTGTGTAGATCCCTGTTTTCAAATTTTTCATACGAAAAGAGAATTTTAAGTAATATATTTAGTTTTCAGATGTATAATGTTAAAATTCATAAAATGGTGAGTAATTAAAATAAAATGTGTAAAATATGCATTTAAACAAGAAATAAGGTAATTAAAGTATATATATAAAAATATTTATAAAGCATAAGCCGTTTAAATACTCTATAGAGCATTATTAAACAATGTGTTTATACTTCGGAAATTTCATGGATTTAGGCTTAGTAGCAAAAAAGCCCCCGGCCCTGGAGAGACGCTTGCGTAAGATACTGCCGGCCTCAGCAATAAGCGTGCGTTTTCGCTACCTGGCTCGAAGGGGTTAACAGATGAATGTTTAATTTAGTGTTTACGCATTGCAATAAGCTTGTACCAGCTACAATATGATAAACTTTTTGCAGATATACGGTGCCAAATTTCAACTAAACGAAGTAAATAGGATGGTCAATTTTTGATATATGAATACATTATTTTTGTCAGTAAATTTTTAATTTGTAAATATTAAGTTTTTTTAGAAAAATTAGATAATTTACCATTTTTTCTTGTTACTGAAAATAAATATATAAACATGTACATTACACTAATTTAGCTCTGCCATTGGTAGACCACCTTCGATTTTTTAAATGAGGAGTAGACCACAGATCCCAAAAGTTTGGCCATCCCTGGTATACATTTTTTCAGTTTCTTCTCAGTTTATCATGTCAAATGTTCAGATTTCTTAGTAAGATGGCTTACAAAATTTTATCCTTTTATTGTTTGTGTTAACTTTATTTATTAAATATCACGTTTGTCACACTTATGCCACATAAAATTCAACAGCAAAATCACAAAATACTTAAAAACAGTGTATCTTTAAAATTTCCAACACTCTGGCACTAAAGATAAAAATGTTTTATTCCATACGATGTTGCCACTTTTAAATAGTTGAGTTTGCTAATTAAAAATTTTAAGTTTTACGAAATTCAAAATTTGGGCTTCTGCATATTGTCAAGTGGAAGACTAGGTTATCAAAAATTGATGGCTTTAGGTACTGTTTTTTCACCATGTGAGGAAGCTACATACATTCATGCAAATTCATTACTTCATTTCTGTAAAAACAATACACAGCAACAATCTGAAAAATGATTCTTGGTTTATGATGACACAAAATCCCATTTTGACTTTAACAGGCCCCTTCTGGACTAAAATGGAAGGGGTGATAGTCAATGCATTTTAAAAATATTTAATGAAAGAGAATTTACACGAAAACATACCCAAAAACTATTTATCCTTGAACTAAAGTGCATGTTAAAATATACAATTTTTCCAAATAACGTACTGCCTTTCATATACACAGATATTTCTGCCAACTCCTAACACATCAGTTTCCACTCCACTCCAGTCCAGTTTCAGGTTGGATGTATATGGGGGGAAAGAGTGAACTACAACAAAGCAACAGGAAGCATTTTGGAATTATAATCAAGTAACTATCCTTTATTCATGGTTTTCTGGAGAATGTTAGAATTTCAGGGCCAAATCTGAAACACGTATTTAATTATGGCAAAGCACACTAGGGCTATCTGCCTAAAGGGAGGGATGCCTTCGTTGAGGACTTTCTAAGGGAAACTGGCTCTTATACAAGTTACACATGGGGAAAACCACGAAAAACTGTAACACTAGGAAGGTTAACAATATTAATACAGACTGGTTTACAACCAAGAAGATAGACTTAAAAAACAGGATCAATTAAGATTTAAGAAGTTTAAAAGAAAGATCTATTTCAAAATGGAGAACCCTCCCCCCCAAAAAAAAACAGATGTGGTTACATGTATTAGATGAACTGGTTAAAAATTATATCAGAATAAAAAAAAAGCCATCAAAACCACAGAAATGTGTAAAGTTTCATTTAAGTGAAAATCTTTTGAGAACTGTTTCTTTGTGAGAGAGGCAAGACTTGTGAGAGGAAGCAATGTAGCAATTGGAAAAAACGGAGAATAAGTCTACTTACATTTTAAAATCTTATATTCATGAGATAAATTGTTTATTTACCAATTTAATAATTTTTAAAGGAAAATGGGCATTACTCTGCATCTCTACTATGATGATGATGATCCAACTAACCGAACGGAGACTCGGAAGGTGAGAAACAAAATAGCTTTCTGAAAAACACATAATAGATTCTTACCACATATAACCTAACTAATGGTCCATAAATAAACTAAGAATTTTATAAAATTTAGGAACATTAAAGAAGAAAATGTTTATAATCCATGAATATCAAGTACAGAAACTATCAGAAATAATAATTTTATACCAAATGCACAAAACAGTTAATTCTTTTCAAAATTTTCAGTATTTTAGTTTGTATACTGGTATATATAAGTGCTCCTAAAATAAATTTCATTCAATAATTTGGGTTTATGCAATTATATTTTTCATGAATGGCTTCTCAAATTCTCTAGTATACTGACAATGCATATTGTTGGACTATGTACAATTATATTTTTAATGAATGACTAATATGTGAAAATCATCAATGCATGTTTCTGGTAGACAAACAAAAACTCCAGTTAATTAACATTTTACTTTTATTCAATTTAAATCATTTTGCGCAGAAGTGTGTTTATCTTCTCTTCCCTATTTCCAAAATCACCACCTTCTACATAGTGAATAGTCTTTTTCCTCCAGCCACCTTTTGGGTTGTTGAGCTTGAAGTGCCACAGGAAATTGGTAGCTTTCTTGAAATTTGGCCCACACGTGTAAATTTCATGGATCAAATCCTCCATGCAGATGATTCCATACTTTCCTAAAACAGGAGAGAATAATTAAAGATAAAAGAAGTCTAATTCTACATTTAATTTCACTGTAAAAAAATTTCATTCTGCCAGGATACACAAGCATAACTTTTTTTTAAAAATAAAACTGCATAAATCAGAAAAAGTGGAAAACAAAATCATATAAATAGCGAAAAACTTAAAAATTAACATTAATGTACAAAAATGTATTAATATGATAAATACACTGGCTAGTTTCATTTTTTATCAAAAAGATAATGAACATAGTAAAAGGCTTAGAAGTAGGACTGGAGTGGATTATGGCAAAGCATATGAGAGCTATTGACTTAATAGGAGAGATGCTTTTGTGGAGTACTTTCTAAGAGAAAACTAGCTCACATACACAAAAAACTCCCATGCAAACCAAAACCAGGCCATTCACTGGGTTTTGAACATAGTTCAAACTACCAGATTTCATCAATTTTATTACTTGACTACTGATGCGCAAGCTCAAAAGTATAGTAGTTATGATAATGGGATATGCTGGGTTCAGATATTAGATTGTTTAAGAGAAACACACAAAGCAAAGCTAGCTAGGGTAGGCGAGAATGGAGACACAAGGTACATCCAAGTAGGCACACATATTAGTTATCACTGGTTTTTAGTTTTTAACTACTAAGCTTCCACACCATATGGAGTTCCATTTGATAACATCTCCGGATGCAGTTGGACAATCTTTCACTCTTCTTCCCCCATCATGAACTTCGAGAAAATTTCGGCTTGTGTATTTTTAGTGCCCCCTTGGCACACAGACACTATATGCTTATAAACATCCATGCCTCCTCTGGTATTCGATTCCAGACACTTTGGTACAGCAGTCAGCATCACTAACCAGTTATCACCTATGGGCAGTACAGAAGAATGACAAGTAGGTGGTAAACCAGAATTTGCCAGATATACAGTCTCGATAGGATGCTAGGGCAAAACTGCACAGGCTACTACCTTAATTTTGAACACACGTTAGAAGTGGTTTGAAAATCTCTTACCCCTCTTCCCCTACCGTCAATCTCAAGAGGAATTGCAGCTCACCTTGTATTTTAGGGTATCCCTCTTGCTGTATTGTGTATTGCTGTATAAGCTAACAAACATTCATGCCTTCTCTAGGATTTGAATGTGGGCCCATTGGTACAACAGCCAGCATTACTAACCACTACAGGACAGCATACAGGAGGTAAAAGTAGAAGCTAGGCCAGCACTTCTTAAGTAAAATATGTGAGTTAATGTTAAATCCAGCTAACTTCCAGCCCAAATTTGAGAGAATATCGGGAGGCAGTTTAAGGGTCTTCCACACCTCTTCTCCTGATACCAACTCAAAAGGATTTGCGAGCTTGCTGTAAATTTTCAGTGACCCTTTGCTGCACAGACACTATAATTTAGAAGCATCCCCATGCCTTCTCCAGGATTTGAACCCAGGTCCTGCAGTACGACAATCAGTGTCACTAACCAGTATACCAGCAAGGTGACACAAAAGATCATAACAGCCATAAATAGAAACAATAATTGCCATGAAACATACTACTGCAAATCACATTTAGTTAGCCCTGAACAGGGTTACCAATTTGGAAAGGGAGCTCTTGGTGCAATCTGATTAAGGGATGTATAAATAAGAATAAGAGATGATAAAGCATTATTGTAAAAAATTTAGATAACTTTGTTCTGATTCCCCCTCCCTGAAAATTTTTCGAACAAAGATATGCATAAAAATTTTACTGTAAAATACATCTGTGTTAATGCCAAAAATACATATTTAATTCTTTCCATAGGTTTCTTTTTACATACTTTAAACCATTTTTCAACACCACCAGAATAAAAATCAGAAAATATTGAAAACTTGAGAAAAAAGCAAAAAATGAATTTTACAGAAGATTCTACCTAACTGAATATTTTGAAACAACTACTCGAAATAACAAATTTACATAAAAAATTAGAATGCATGGCATTAGTTTAACATAATCATAGTGACCTTTTGCTTTTGCAATTCAGATATTTTGTTATAACTTCTATTACTGTTTAAATTTCAGAATCAAGATATTCAAAAATCCCCAAATGAAAACTAAAGACGGTAAATATTTTGACATTTTTTTCACAAAATATACTTCAAGTATAGTATCACTATTTTATGATACTGCATCAATATTATATTTATTAAAACTATCATTAAATTCAATCAGATAATTAAAACTTATCTAGACAAATTAAACTAATCATTAAAATGTTGGTCCGTTGCCATATTTACCAACAATGCACAACAAAAGAATTTATATTTCAGAAAGGAAGAAAGCTATTTTCAGCACAATAAGGAGAGAAAATTTAAACAGTAACCCGAATGCTCGCCAAACTAGCACAATTTTTAGTGCCTCAACAAAAAATGGCAAAACTTGGGGAAAACTAAATTTCTACATAAAGTTGGCAGGCAAATGAATTAATCAAGGATCTGTAAATTTTGCTAGAACCAATATAAGCCTGACTGAAAAACTGCCTAAAAGGCACTTGCAATCCTTTAAAAATTAATTATTTTCATATGACCAGACATTTCTTCTTCAAAGGCATGTTCCAGATGGTTTTCGTTGTTTGCAGTAGTGATAAAGCAAAGAAATTTGAACTTTGCACAAAAATATATGACTTTTATCAAGATTTAGACTGGTCCAACATCAGCAGACATTTTTCAGAGCAGCATCCACTTGCTGAGTCTTATTTATGTCTTCTGTTCCTATTCTTGAAGAATTCCTGAATTCAGGATGAATAAAAGCAAAACATTCACACCTTAACTTTCTCTTGAAGTCTTAGTAGGTCAAAATATGGCCATATGGTGAAGGTCAAAGTCCAAGAAATTATTTTGCAATGCAGACAGATGGTTACAGATATCTGTTTTGAAAATGGACAAATAACAATTTGGAAAACTCAAAACGTTTGCTCTGTTTATTGGTTTATTGTTCATTATTATTTACATTAATCTATAATGGGACAATTTAGAATTATATGATATGAATTCCATTTCATATCCACCCAAAATTTTAATTCGTACCAATGATATGGAAATGCAAAATTAAGACCTAACTGTACATTAAAGGAAAAATAAAAGATTTATTTTAGGACCAAAAATCCTCAGCACACCATAGCCTCTTAGTACAACGCATGCGTTTTGTAATGCTGCTTATCTTGCTCATGAAGAGCCAAACTATGAACAAAATCAGCAGTCAATCGATTAACTGCATCCTTCCTTTCCTCTAGACACACCAGACCCTGCCCTACTTGCATAGTTTTCACGGCCACAGCATTAGCATTTATCTTATCACCTGTAAGATCTGTACGTCTGCACTTGTAAACGTGAAAAGCTGAGGGCGTTGCATCTGTTATACAACTGATACAGATGGCTTGAAATAAAACAATTGCGATAACTATGCACACATGCATAAAAATAAAAGAGAGAAATACCCTGATATGGATGTAAGCAAAAATCCTTTCCAGATTTACTTCAATTATCAAAAATATGTACTAATATTTATATTTTAGAAAAACAAAAAATGTTAGCAATAATGGGTTTACCTAGATGGTTGATTTTCCATTGTTAATTAAAACGGGCCGATATCAAAATAAGGAATGCATAAAAAGATTTGCTCTGCAGGAATAATATGACAATTTTTTTTAATTCTCCCCAACTTGCACTATACTATGCCTCCATTTATCTTTAACCTCAGAACTCTAAAGAAAAGCATATTTAGAAATAATTCAGTTATGTTTCAAGATACTGGCACTGGGTCTCCCCTAATCTTGAAGCATGCCATAGCCAAGTTTTACTATCGCACTGGGAATTACAACCCAATTCTACAGTTAATCTGCATACCTGATAAGATTAACATTCAAAAATTCAATGTGATAATAATAAAAATCCTGGAGGTCTGGTTTATTTAAATTATGGCAATGGCTATTTGTCTAAGTTTGATTTATGTAACTATGGCAAAGCCTTGAGGGTTATCAACCTAAGGAAAAGGATGCCTTTGTGAAGGACTTTCTAAGGGAAACTGGCTCGTACACATGGCAAAAACTACAAAAACGCCCATGCAGCCAGCCTGTTAGCAAGATTCAAACTTTAGACCGAACTACCAATGCTCAGCGAATTTACCGCTCAGCCGCTGATAAACCTGTTATTTGTCCAACAAAAGGGATGCTTAGTACACATAATAGTTGCATGTTGTATGAATCTATTAAGCTGCCTCATATAAAAATTTCTTCCTAATAATGCTTAAACGTAATTCTTTAACAATGTTTTCAAAATAGGACAAGAGTATGTATTCATTATATGTAATATTACTTACAGACAAATTTCAAAGCAGACTTACCTAATCGTTTTTCAATAATGGCATTATCTGTTAGTGCAACCCTCTTGTGATCAATACGTCCAAATCCTCGTTTGTAAATAAGATCTTTTACAGTCTTCAAATTTGGATACCTGAAAACAAATAACTTATGAAAATATATAAATAAAATGTCTACGTTAAAAAATATTATTCCATAATTTCACTTCTACTCTTCATAAGAAAGATATGCATATTATAAAATTCCTAAGATGGAATCTCTGAAGTTCTAAAACTATTAACTTACACCCCATAGAAATACAGAATTAAGTGAATTTTTAGCATTATCAATGAAATGAGAGTTCTTTCGTCCCTCTATAACAATACTAACTTTTGAGAATACCTTGCCTATCAACTATACACAGGATATTTCAGAAATTTTTCATAAATCTTCCAATTTTCACTCCCATACAATTGGCAAATATGCTAATTCTTGGAAAAGGTCTTCAGATAATTTTTAACTCACAAATATATGAATTACAAAATTAGCAGTAGTTACTAATAGTATCAAAGATAAAAAAAAATTGTTGCATTCTATGCATTCATTGATGAATCAAAAATGCAATGTATTCATCAGTATTAAACAAGACAGTTCCAAAGACGTGTTACAGTCATCGAAAACTACAACAAACATGCTGAAACAATCAGCAACACAGCTATTGGGCTACACCTGTGAAGACAGCTTCACGGCAAAATACTAAATACAGCTTCTGCCTCAGCCGACCGCTCTCAGAGCTCAACACACTCTTCACGATACATACCACAATTATATTTCATTATTATGGCTTTTCAACTTATTTATTACAAGGTATGTAGGATTGCTAACAGATTAAGATTTATTTAACTACTTTTATATCAGTCAACTTAAACAGTTTATTCTAAACTATTTTAATATTTTTTGTCTATCCTTAATAACAGATAAGTCAATTTCAATTGGGAATTACAAACTACACATCAGAATGTTTATGCGTTTATTTGCCACTTCATGCACAATTACAAAATTCACACATTTGGGTTTGATAAAGGAAATACTAAAATTTATAAGAATAGACGCATAAAACCGAATTTAACTAAGATATTAAAAAATGCCCTTATATCAGTCATAAAATGCAATGTGTTAAAATGGAAAGAATTAGCTAAAATTCATACTTGATTCCTGAATGATTACTTTTTCAAAACCCATACTAGTTTACGATTTTATTGATGAAAGTTTCATGTTTTATGTTCAAAACATTTCCAACAGCATAATACCATGCTTTCAAAACTACTATTCTTATAGTATACACCAATTTTGTTATATTTATTTACATGAGAAACATGTGATAAAAACTGATAACATATTTTTCATTCAATATATGCAATGGTTTCTTGCTTATCTGTTTATTCAAAAAAAAAAAAAAAATGAAAATAAAGGGCCAATTTAAATTCATGTGAATTTTTTGCTGAAAAGCTAACTTTATTGAGAAGGAATCTTAAGAAATCCAACAACCATAGATTAGAAAGTTTATTGTTCTCTCTTGAATATTACAATTCAAATATTCTGGAAGTGCACTGATTAATAGTTTCCTCAAGTCAGTACTGAACTTTAATTTTAAAAAAACATTAAAATTAAGAAAATGCTACTATCCAATAAAACTCAATTTATTAAAATTCTTAGTTTACAAATGATTTAGCAAACTTATTTAACAATAACTGTCAATATGGTAGTGAAAAACAGGCAGATACAGCTATATTCTAAATGCTTAGAATACAGTTTAAATGGTTGAATTATTAGCACTTTGCAATAAAAGAAAAACTCAAATAAGGTTGTATCAAACATACAATATACGTGGACACACGATATGATATAGATATTAAATAATGCCCTCAAGTGACTACCTAGGAAAGAGACTAGTATTTCTGAGGAATAAACATTAGAATGAAAGAAAAAAAAAAAACATGCCGAATAGCAATTATTGGAGATGCTAAAGCAACAGACTGGTATTTATAATATTCTTCTCCAAGATTGAACATGACAGGCACTGGATGAGTCTTCAAATATATCAACAGATTTCTTAACTGTTTATACTAATTTTTTCATTTTTTTTCATCAAACCTATGAAAATTATCAAATCAATATTTAAGTTACATTCTGTTTTTCAATAACTAACTTACACATAAGTAGAACCTTTACTAACGATTCAAAATATAATGTAAAAAAAAAAAAAAAAATTGGTCATAAGGTTGAATGCGATCTACCACTTTTATTTATTTATCCTTCACATGCCACCACTAAAACACTATTTTTAAGTTCAAATATGCATAAAAAAAGTGGAGAAAATTATTAAAACAATCAATTATAGTGCTGCTATCTAAAAACTAATTAGATAAATAATTATTTAGATAGCATACTATATGATTATCAAAATATTATATATTTATACAATTGCTCATACACAAATTCATTTTTAACTTACCCCCAAGCAATGAATGGCTCAGCAATACGCAACATGTTTATAGTAGCCTTATTTAATTTCACAAACATGGCATTATTAATCTGTCGCAAACGGAACAGCTGCAACACCTTTCGTGGCTTAGGACTCACACCATTGATACTGGAAAGAAAAATGCATGCATGTATAATATTTGATAGATAAAAGCTCAAATTAATCCACATTTTGTTCGTATATCTAACTCATTACAAGAATACATATAATCTATGTGAAACATAAGTATAGTGCAAACTACAATATTCAAATACAATGGTACCACAGCTTACAAGTTTAATTCATTCTGTGACTGAGCTCATAAGGCAATCTACTCATATGCTGAAACTATTCTTCCCACTCAAATGCATAGAAATACTATTAATCAGCTCCACCCCAATAAACGAACATCCCATTTTTTTTGTTATTCTTCTTAAATAAGAAAAATACAACGCATTTTATAGAATATTAATAAGAACTTCATAAAACATAATACAAGCATACTGTAATTTCCTCTACTGTACACAAATCCTACAAGTACATACAGCTAATCTTTGGAATATGGTAACAGGTAGTTTGGCGACATTTTGGTAAGGCGATACAGGTTACTAGCTAGAACTTTAGCAGTGTACATGGATAAAGTCAAGAATGTGCACAATGCCATTTTTGTGCAATTCTGGGATTTTTTTTTAAGTGAAAATAGGTCAACGTGTACATGGATACCGTGTAAGTGCAATTCTTAAAAACGCGGCAAGCAGTTTGCGATTCTGCACTTTCTTCCAATTTCACACCTTCGTCATGATTAAGCACTTTTGTTCCATAAAAGTTCTAGCATAAGCGTAATTCGACTAGCAGATTGTTGGGGAAAAAAAAATGCCTTTACTTCATGAAGACAAAATGGCGTCCAAACAAAAACTAGCAGGTTGCTGTAGCAGGGTTGGTCGCCAAATTTTCGCCAAAAAATTGCCAACTTACCATAATCCTAAGATTAACCGTACATACCTTAAAATTTTTGTTTTAAATCCACATATATCACAATCTCTTTTAAAAAAATGTTCCCACTTGCAATACAATAAAAAATAGCTAAAACTGAAGAATTTGCATATGACTGCTCACATTTGACAACTATTACTAAAGTAATTGCACTAATGTAGGAAGTACTTTCATATTATACTTACTAGAAATTTAATTTTAAAAAATAACATACCCTCTAATTCGGACTACAATAGCCACTTTTGGCTCGTCTGGAACATAAAAATTTCCAACATGCCTGGCCATTCGCTTCAAACGGATTTCATCACGCTCCTTTCGGCGATATTCTTTAACATAACTCTCAGCTCTCTTGAAAATTAAGCGCCGCTTTTCTCGTCTTAGCTAAAAAATATTACAACAGGTAAATATGTAAATTATAATGAACTATTTTGCATTAATGCTGAATACCATAAGAGAATATATGTAAACTTACATTAACATACTAACATACAGTACTTTTTCTTTATACTGAAAAACAAAACATTTATTTTACACTATCATATTTATACATTACTAAATAATAGGATACTTTTCCATTTTGCTGGCACAGGCAATAAAGTTGCCAAAAATGGTACAACCAATGCCAAACGGAATACTCTCACTGCTAACCTTTTATGCCTCATTTTCAAAACTAGTCTCAGCCATTTCTTATCAGATTGATAGTTTCTTTCAATACTAGCATAGAATTTGTACCAGATAGTTCAATTTTATGCCCTAAGGCCATTTGTGGTAATTAAGTCACTTAGGATGGCAGTCACACCGCTCATCCAAAGACGAAAATAAAGAAAATACAAAGTCAAAGATTACATTCATCAATTACAGTAACAGTAAACAGTTAACCATAAATTAAATTTATAACTTATTTAGAAAAAGTTATCTGATAATAAGCATCTGACGATTTTGAATATGCCAATATACCAGAAAGTTTCGGCGATGAAAGTTATGATCTCTTGAGTGATGAAAGTGAATCTGAAGATAATGATGATGAGATTTAGGCTGTAGCATAAAATTGGCATCAAATTAGTACAAATCAAATAACTATTACAAATAAAAAATAAGATATACTATAACAATATATTCATTTCTGCCAATCATTTTTAGCAGTTTTTTTCAAAAAAATTCGCGCTTTAAAATTTTGGGTGGCAACACTTTGAAAAGTAAATCTACGTATAATGCCAAAATGAAAATAATAGCCCTTTAGAGCAAACATGCCTTTGAGCTAATGAACTTGGATGTCACATTTACAAAAACATGCCAGTGTAATTAAATATATGTAGAGGACATACAACATGATTAAATTAAAACTTTTTGCAGTCTTCAAATATGAATAACTGCTTTTGAGTTATCATTCAAAGATGAGAAAACAATTAAATTCTGTTTTCTGAGGGTAATTCTACTTAACCTTAATAAATTTAAACACATGAAAGAGATTAGATACACAGAAAAAAATCACATTACCTCAAAGCAAAAAAATATTCTCATGTAGTTATGTAGAAAAGCAATACCAGAAGCTTAAGTCACTTAACAGTACTTTTTACACAGACTAATAACAAGAATCACTCTAGGAAATTTTGAAAGCTAAAAATTTGTATCAATATCAAGTATATTCCTATTCTATTATACATAAACTTAAGTTTTGACAAAAGCTGTCATATTAAAGTGGTAATAAGGCTCTCATTCACATATATAAATGCATCAGTCAATGCTTCTGACCAACACTGTAAATACATGCACTAAAATAGGACTTTTTAACACAGGACACACAGGTTAAGATCCTGCAAATTAGGTGGCCAGGATAATAATTGAAATTCATCTTTATGCTTCTTGAACCATTCTAACACAATCCGAGCCTTATGAGATGGGGCATTGTCCTGCTGAGATTCCATTTCCAGTAAAGAAGACGGACGCCGTGTAAGAGTGCAAATGATCTGCATTTATGTTCAAATAGTACGCATCTTTCATAGTTTTTACCTCCCACAACTAAGGGTCAAAGAGCCAGACACGAGAACATTCCTCAAAGCATAGTACCACCAAAGACAGCCCGTGTATGACCTGCTGCACTCTGTACAACAACTGTCCACCTGGAAGCTGGTGTACCCTGACATGACCATCAATGTGATGAATGAGAAATTGTGATTCTTTCGACCAGGCAACTGTCTTTCACTTATTCATGGTTCAGTCTCAATCTTCCTTGGGACCACTGTAGCCATAGTTGACAATGACGCTTAGTCTACAGAGGTATACAAGTTGGACATTTGCTGCACAATCACATACTTAAGAGTGCTCATCTAATTTCGAATGCTCCGCTTGCATTTAGACCCACATTGTATGAGCTGGCAGCTGAACCGCTGTTTGACGATTTTCTGTGCCAAGTGGGACAGTCTTTGACGTCTTTTTTCTTTGATGACGCATGGACGTACAACAACTTGGCGTCTAATTCTGGTTTCCCTGTCATTTAGTCACTTCACATAAATATTATTAACTGTAGATTGTGAACAATCTACCAGTAGTGTAGTTTCAGATATAATCGTTCTGAGCCTTTGTGCCAGTACCTCTATGCCCTCTATCAAATTCACTCAGATTAGCAGCCCTTTCCCATCACTCGCAAAAGCACAAAAAAAATTTCTTTCTCCAGCAACAGTTAAATACCTACCTACTTACTCACATGCCCTCCACATCATCCAGGAAATGTGGGGATAGTCATGATTTGGGCTCATTAGCATATATCATTCTTTGCATCACAGGGTCACTTTAATACCTGTTGCAAAGAAAATTTTGCAACAGCTAAAGGAGAAGATACCTTCGAATTAATCCCAATGTGTCCTTTGATCACACACACAAAAAAGTCAAATTTATTCTATTCATTAATTAGGTGTCCTAGGCCATCGAGAGACAGGATAACCTGGAAATATTCATGTCGGCCTGGTAGTGCATACCTGACATGGGAAATAAGCAACAACTGGAATTATTACTTGATGAGAACTTTTGTGACAAGAATAAGTGTGAATGAAAATCACCAAGACTAGCCAACTACAATCCCAAAGCAAAGAATACCTTCAATAAATTCTACCTTGTTCCTCCAGAAGGAGGCCAAAATTATTCCCGAATGCATACATAATTAACTATTTACCTGAATTTTTTTAATCGATTTAATATCGATATTTATTAGGGTTGGAATATTTTTGCATTAAGTTAATCATTCTGCCATGAAAACAAGCTACTGTAACTGGTACTTTTCTCTATTCTCGTGTGTGCGACTCCCTCTGTGGCAATTGACTGCTGCTCAGAATTAAGGTTTGGACAGGTAAGCAAAGGCTTCAGTTTTCTAGGGTTAAATTAAGAAAACTGATCTTATACATATACAAAATTATCATAAACCTCAAAGGAGATAATACATCAATGTAGTTAAGCATGTACAAAAACAACACAAGATGCTTTGGTTAAAGTAGCTTAACAATACTTTACACAGATTAAAACGCCAAGAATAACACTTTGATGCAAAACTTGGAGCTGGACTGTGATACGAATATAAAGTCAAAAGTCTTTAATCTGGACCACAAAGCTACAAACTTTCTGCGCATGCGTAAACGAACATTTAATATATAACGGATGGTATAAGCTAAGCTAAAATTATCTATTTCAATAAATGTTGCAGATTGCGTTGCTCTTTAATCTTCTAATTGGATCTGGCTTATTTTTTGCAGACTGTTAGAGCAATTTTATAAAAGTAAGCTTGAACTTTCGATTATATCAAATAGAATTTCCGATATATATTTACTAATATGTAAAGGATCTACAAAGCGAAAGTATGTTTCGAAGTCCATCAAACAAAAAGTGGAATTGCTGCAAAAAATGGATAAAGGATATGCCTTTATCATATCCTTTATCCATTTTTTGCATGGGGGGGGGAGTCGCAGCACACAATGAACTGGAAGTTCATCTGTCAGCACTATCCTAATCTTCAGGGCAGATGTTTTTATTTTATTCGGCTTATAATTCCTTACTAAATGTAGTATTTCATCTCGATGTACTCTGTCTTTAATATGATTTAAATCAAATTCGTCATTTTAAATATCACAAATACACATCAAATAGTTTTCTGGTTGCAATTTTCTAATTTCGACTATGCGTAATGTATGATTTACGCATGGGCGCGTTGAAAGAAATGTTTAATAAAGTAAACAAATAAATATTAAGCTTTTTTTTGTAAATTTTGATACCCTTTAGAGCGTAATTGCTCTTTATTTATTATGGTTTATTATTTATTTTAATTATGGTTTCATATTTTTTATTTTATAATTTCTGCATGCCATCTTAATCGCCGAAGTCCGGATGAGTCCGGATTAAAGACTTTTGACTGTAATTTAAAGTTGCAATAATATTTGTAGTTACCTCACTTTTTTCATTCTGAATTTTTCCTACAGCAATCAAGTGATGTTTCTTAACACATGAAATTAATTGATTTTTTAGAAAATAAACCTTATTTTTGAAATGAAGAAGTGTTGCCTCTATAGGTCGAAAAATATGGTCAGTATGTTTGCCTCTTCAGTTTTGGACAGCATTTAAATAAAATAAATAATTTGTATACGATGCACAAACAAAAATGCATTACACATTTCATGTAGTGAATAATTAATCAGGAAACAAAGTATAATGTAAGGTTTCTTTATTTTGTAACCAGATTTATTTTATATTTGTGATCTTTACTGTCACTTTCCCCCAACTGTTTTCTCACCAGATTCCAATTAAAGTGCTTAGTTTGTAAAACAAACCGTGTTTTGCCTTTTGAGGCCACGTTACTAAATTGCTAGATAAGATATTTAGTCTTTAGTCTTGCAGAATAATTGCCAACAGTTGAATTCTATGCTGGTTAAATTTTGAGCCAGCTTCACATTAAATTGATTTGTGTAGCCTTATGCTGCTAGTTTATTTAAATTTTACATTTGAACTTGACAATTGTCTTGCCATAACTAGTTGTCATAAACACGAAGTGTGTCTTCTGTTCTGTACATCTAAACTAGTATATCTTAATAAGAATATAGTATCTAAACTTTATAATAATTACATTTAAAGACATTGAAATCAGTATTTAAATGCTTGCCATGTAATCATATTTTTAAATATAAATTTTACTCTTACTTTTATTATAGAGTTTTTATTATAAAGAATTCAGATTTCTGTTGAATTAAATTTAAGTAATGTAGAAAATTTGCATAAAATTTTAAATAAAAAAGTCAACAGTTATGATTAAAAAATGGTCGACATTATAAAAGCAATGATAACTCTGTGAAGGTTATTCATATACAGCTATTAGATTGTGAGATTTACAAATTTTCACAGCAATAAATTATAAGCAATTTATTCCTTAATCTAAGCAACATTGTATTTTTTATAGTCAGACAAATTATAAAAATGCTTTAAGAGCAATAATGAAACCTGATTTTGGTCTATGAATTCATGCAATTACACATCCCTATAGTTCTAATTTAAGAAATGAGGCAAAAAGTATCTTTAGACCACTGTAATTTTAATCATTGCCCATTTTAAGAAACATGCAAGTAGTCTAAATTTGCATGTGGTTACTTAGCAGAGGAAATACCATGAATTTAACTCTTGCTACTAAAAATCTGCTTTTTTAAGGGGTGGTGGAGTTTATAATATGTAGAGTTGACATTTGGAAAAAAATGTCAAGAATCATGTGATGTAATATTCCCGTGTTACCAATTATTATTAGCCCCCTACCGCAAACCAACTTGTCACTGAAAACCTTAATTATATGAAAATATGGAACAGCTTGAGTATAGGACCCCATTGGCGATTTTTTGGCTTGGTCGCCAAGCCATGGAAAAGCCGTTAAAACTGAAAACACAAGTTAAAAAGCACATATTAACCAGAAAAAAAAATTAGAATATATGTTTAAACAGCAAATTTGAAGGTACATAAGTAAGTAGGGGTATATTTTAAGAAGTAATATTGAAAATACAAGTTTAGCCTTGTAAAAGCAGTAAAAATTGAAAATAGATGTTAGAATGCACATTTTAACAATAAAAATGTTAAATACAAATTTAGAATATATATATTTAAAAAGAGAAACTGAAAATAAATAAATAACGGCATATTTTTAGCAGTCATACTGAAAATACAAATTACAAGCTGTAAAATTTAAAATAGGAGCTCAGAATACATGTTTAAATTAAAAATATGAAAATAGAAGTTAAGAATGCATGTTTAAATTAAAAGTAAAGAAAAGTTTGAAAATACACAAGTACATGGAGGCATATTTTAAGCAGCAATATTGAAAATGCAAGTTTTAAGTTATAAAACTGAAAACAGGAGTTCAGAATACATGTTTAAATTAAAAATAAAAGAAATGCTGGAAATTTAGTAAAGTTTACAAAATCATAGTAAATTTACAAAGAAATCCTATACTCTGCCCAATTTATGTCCCTTACAATTTCGAGAAATTTGTTGAATACATCAATATTTTGCTCCTTCAAAGAAAATGACACTTTCCTGTTTAAAACAGCTGGGAACAACCGTCCAAAAAGTGCGCCAAGCCAAAAATCGCCAATGGAGTCCTATACTCAAGCTATACTGAAAATTTGCTAAAAGTTCATAAAAATAGCGTGAAAATATAAAAATATAATAATAAATAAGTGAAGACTAATTTAAATTGGCAATTGCAAACACCGACAGTCATAATTCAACAATATGAACGTAATGGGAATTGTTGCAACTTTCGAACAAGCAAATAGGTTGAATCCGGTGGGTTACCAAGTTTGAACTATTATCTGCAAAGTTGCCGATGTTTACATTTACGGGGTTCTTTGCAGAAGTTCAGACTGCACGTATTCAGTGCACAGAATTAAACAGGCAGCCCTGAAAATTACAAAATAGGGGGCCTTCATAAGGGAAATACAACTGATCATGCACTTGTATACCTATCTCAGCCATAATGACAAGATTCATTCACAAGAAATATGGAAATCTATTTTAATAATACTAAGATTTTCTTTTCCTTTTTATTCTAATTTTTACTTACAGAAGCTAAAACCAAGCTTTTCAACCAACCTAAATTGTATTAAATATGTTTAACCAGGTAATTTTTATTTGCACATGCTTAATATTCTTTTTGCTAACTTGAATTTCACTATTCGGTTGGATTTAGCAGAGGCCACACCCTTGGCGGAGCACATATCAATGTGTACATGGACAAAGGCAAGGGAGTGTGCAATTCTCTGATTTTTTTTAAATGAAAACAGGTAGACGCGTACCTGGATACAGAGTTTGTGCAATTCTTTGATTTATTTTTAAGTTGGCGATTTTGAGAAATGTGCGAAGCAGTGGGCAATTCTCCACTTTCCCAGTTGGTCACGATGGGTGTGGGCTCTCCAAGGATTTTACCCATTATTTTGATTGTTGTGATTATCAAAATGAATTTAACTTCCATGTGCTATCATCATATGCCTTAAATATGTTTAAAATTTTAAACTTAACTTATATATTGACCATATTTCACTCAAACATTTAACCACATATCACTATAAAACTATTTGTTTTGGCATGCCTGGTGAAAATAATGCCACCAATAGTTTCTTGGTAGAAGTAACCCGAACAATATAATTAAATTCAGTTTTACAGACAGAAAATGGCAATCACTTGTCTATAAAAGATTCGGCTGATCTTTGGAATATGGTAACAGGTAGTTTGGCGACATTTTGGAGGCGATAAAGGTTACTACCTAGGACTTTGGGAATAATGTGAGAAGTACTCAGTTCCGATTATGCATTATTTTGTGTGAGGGAAATGAGAGATCATGAGATATGTCATGTGACATTAATGGACGAATCACTGTTCTTTAATCGGAAAAGGGGGTAAATTTGTAAAAAATATCTGCTGTAGAGCATTAGTTTCATTCTATGTTCTGTGAAACAATGTTTAATATTTGGATCCCATGGCCGTATATAAAGTAAATTCGAAAATTTTGTTGCGTTTATGTGTAATTGAAAAGAATTGCTTAATTGTGGATAAGTATGAATGTCGAACATGTGGGTATGAAATGAGATTGTGTGAAAGAAGGATATCAGAAATAAGTTTGAATGGCAGTGCAAGAAATCTGGTGAAAATGGACATTTTGTGATCCGCCATGCACTCAAGATTCTGTAGAAGATTAGTTCCTAATCTTCTACAGAATCTACAGAATACACAGTTAGTATTTTTAATTATTTGAGGATATTAATTTTATGCATGGTTCTAAATGTAAGGAGTAAATAAATTAATATAGTATTATTGGAAAATTGTTATTAGCAATGATTTAGTTTAAAGTAATTAGGATTGTAAGCTAATTTTTATTAATTTAATGTATGTGCTTATTTATATTTTAAGTAGCGTTTTTTAATTTAATTATATTTTAATTACATTATAGTTATTTTGTGAATTATATGTTTGTAGTAATTTGGTATACATTTGAGTGGATGTAAACGTGCATGGAAATAATTTAAATATTTGACAGTAAGTATTTGTAACCATTTTTTAATGTTTTGTTATGAATTAGTTGGTGACATTTATAATAGATAATTTAGAGGTAAAAGTTTTTGGATATTTTATTTATATTATACGTGGAAATGTTCATCCTTGGAAAGGGTATATACTTTTTCGCGATCAGGTAATTTCATATATGTGCTTTTTACCAAGTTTAAAGATTCACAAAATTTTCCTGCATTTTCGTGCAAATTTTTGTAATTTATGGGAAAATAGCAGTTTAGATGGATAAAGTCAAGAGTGTGCGCAATTAAGTAAAAATAAGTCGACGTGTACATGGTTACTGTGTATGTGCGATTTTGAAAAACGCAGCAAGGAGTTTGCGATTCTGCACTTTTTCCCTATTTTGCAGTTAATATTTGTCATGATTAAGTAGATTTGTTCCATAAAATTTCTAGCATAAGTGTTATTCAGCTAGCAGATTGTTGGAAAAAAAGTGTTGAGTAAATAAAAAGAAAAGAAATATGTCTTTACTTCGTGAAGACAAAATGGCGGAGAAAAAAAATAGAGGGTTGCTGTAGCAGAGTTGGTAGCCAAATTTTCGCCAAAAAATCGCCAAGTTACCATAATCTAAAGATCAAACAAAGATTGATTCTTCTGTTCAGCATTCATAGTACAATATATAGTGTAGCACCCATATATTCGATGATGCACAGTAGACACATGATGTCCTATTGTGCATAACTTATCAATTAAAATAACACTTGGATTATATATTTAATAAGGTACATAAAACAAATTACATATTTTAGTCATAGACTTTATTAAGTGCACAATTAAGATATGCATAGTTATTGTATGAATATCACAACCAATACGGCAATAGCTACTTTTACAGGCAGGACCTAAAAAATTAACTGCAGATTCTAGGAAAATAAAAAATCTTGGAAGAATTTTCATTTGAACAACTGTAAACAAGTAAACTAACTGAAGCTGGCTTATCTGCCATAACAAACATGTAAAAACTAACCTTTAATTACATTAAAGTTACTGTATTTATGACAAAAGTCAATAAAATTTTTAAAAATTCGTAACAAAGCATCACTGCTGATTAGAATTACCTTTTTTACCCTAAGACGATTAGCAACACGTTTAGCTCTTAATTCTGCTTTTCTTTTTCTCTTTTTCAATAGGGTTTCTGGGACTTGTGGTAACTTTTTAGGTGACCTATGAAAATGAATTTAAAATTAGTTCCAATTTATAGACCAGCATGAAAATTGTACACAGGGAAAGAAAAAGAATTTTTTTAGTGCAACATAAATCTATCTCCCACTAAACTTACATATGTCCATAAAACATAAACATCCATAAAAACATCCATACATCCATAAAAACTTAATTCAGAACTGGTTTTAATATAAATCTAATATTTTGGATGAGGATCACACACAATTCATAAAGAATATAAAATTCGTTCGTGTTAGAAATTTTAAAAACAAAACTTAGCATTAGAATGAAATTCTTATTTGAAATTAAACTTAAGATTAGAAAAAAGTTTTAGAACATTTCTAATACGATAATAACTAATCAAACTATTCAAATCATCAAAATAAAAATTTATATCTCAAATAATATACAGATTAAATACGCATATTTAACTAAGTATATTATTTTAAGACAGCGGTTCCGAACCTTTTGACTATCGTGTACCATCTAAACAAGAATTGAAAACCTTAAATACCATCATTACAAAGTATTACTACGACCACCACTCTTGAACAAAGCTCAGATCGCATAAATTTACGAATGTCAATTAGATCAAAAAAGTCAATTAGGATGTTGGGATCTTAATTTTGAATTTAATAATTGAAGATACTTTGCTTCTTTGCGTACCACCGGTTGAGAACCCATGGTCTAAACATTTTTAGAAATAATTGCAAAGCATAATTCAAAAAGTTATTTTAATTTGCTATATTTATAATGCCTATTTTCTTGGTGAATGTTTTGCATACCTACAAAACACGATGCAGAGTTAATAACACAAACAGAAAAACTAATAAATTAAAAATAATATGTTTTATTGTAACGCTGTTTTGCTGAAGAATCTCCCACCGTTATACTAAAAACAAACATCAATGATCACGAAATTATCCACTTATTTGCTTCAAATAAGAATATAACACTTAAGAAATATTGATTGATATGAATATTCTGTATTGTTTAAGAGATTAAAAAAGATTACATACTCGGTCTCCATCTTCGTCATCTTTTACGCCAACCACACACTATACCATGTAAAATGTTTATTAGGGTTAATTTACTATTGCCACCACGATTCTTCAGAAATCTTTACAAAGCTTGCCAATTTTACACGTGAATACTTCAAAGTGATACGATAGGAAAAACTCTCCCCAAATTTAACAGATAGTTTTAAAGAATTGCCTGGCCAATTAGAGCAGTTTTTAAACAAACCATATCATTTTCTTCTGCGATATAAAATTGCAATACCAGTTTACAAAAATATTAATACACAGTAAGTTATTTGTATGTTAACCGTATTTTCACAAATCCATGTTCCATCACGAAAAATCAAGAAAGTAAAAAATTTTATGACACAAACATTTTAAGTTTGCTGTTATTCTTGAATAAGAGAATCCATGCAAATATTTATCTTAAGTCTCATTTACAGCAACCCAAAAATGTGCACGACTTGAAAATCACTGGAGACAAAAACTGAATTTTATGCATTTATTGCCCAAAACAAATATTCAGTCTAGGCAATAAAACTGAAGATTTGAATTGAGAGACAATTGAAAATGTTGAAAGAAAATAAAAGAAGCTGTGAAATTCGCTCGCATTTCTTGGGCTCAAAATTCCTCTACAATATAAACAAACAGAGGTGTTATTTCACCGTGATTTCTATGAAAGTATTTCAGCTGAAGTTAAGTTTTCAAAATCTAGGTACCTTTGTTTTTCACTTGGCTCTAGGTACCTTTGTTTTTCACAATGTGAGAAACATACATGCATTCATCTAGATTCTTTATTATTTAGTTTCTTTAACTAGAATACAGAGAGATAATATTTGATGGCAACAATTTAAAACGTGATTCGGGCTCTTAAAGTGATTCGAAGCAAAATGCCGTTTTGAGAGTAATAGCTCTTCTAGGCTAACGCCCATTTGGGCTAATAAGTCACAAGTTCAGTGTTTTAGGTGTGATAATACCTTTTGTAGAAAATGGTCTAGAACAAGTCTGTTGATAACTTTTCTAGAAAATTTTCCCTTGCACGCAGCTTTATTGCAATCCATATCAGCCTTCGTAGGTTGTTCAATATAATATCTGAAGTAAACGTATAATTTCACCTTTTGTTAATTTCAAACGAGCTACACGTTGTTTTCCATCTCTTCCTACCAATATTTTGAAGACCCTTTACTGAGGGCCAGTTCGTCTTTTTCTTTTTTTTTTTTTAAGATTTATTTATCCGAAAGTACTATATCTCCGACTTAAATGTTTTATTTACGTCTTTTGACAACAGGACTAACTCTGAAAGATATTCTTATTGAACTCTTATCTTAAATGCTCTCTTAACTTTTGAACATTGTAACCAAATCAATTGTGCTGAAGTATGAAAGATTTCGCATATTATATATGAAGTAAGTACTGCTTACTAAGCAGGTGTTAATGGCAGTAGCTGACACCAAATCTACAAGACTCTAGAACAGTCGTTTTTGTCTGTACCCTAGCATTCTAGACACCTGGGGACATGACAATTGAACTTGACGCTTTCAGTAGCTCCGAGGTGTTGTTTTTAGGCCTTCGGAAATGACTTGGCTTAAATCTCCAAATAGCTCAGTACCATTAGTTCATTGCAAGCTCTTGGGATCCACAGAAATTCAATTTGTAAATGATATCAGTTGCTCAGAACGTGCTCTTGGGACTCACATATAATTTTGGCGTAATTCCCCAAGGCGAGGTAGCCTGCGTAGAACTGGCGTAGTACGACTAGTCAAATCTTCAGTTAAATATAGTTCCTTCTCTTCTGGTCTTTGACACTGGTAGTGTGTAAAAGTTCTTGACCTGCGTAGGATGGGCCTTAGGTTTCAGTAAGGTGAGCAAAGAACTTCTTTGACTTTTGCCTTGCAGACCTTGCTTCTTGCTTGATATGCAGGTTGAGATCCCTGCAGAATCTTTTTGAAAGGCGAACTCGTAAACAATACAGTCTTACATCAATAAATAAGTACTTGCAGATTCCTGAACTGGAATTTTAACTATTTTTCATGAAAAGATAAAATATCTCTTGAAAATAAGACCTAACGGGTCTTTTGAAACAAAAATTGATAAATAACCATATAGTAATAGGTGATTTTAAAGCTGTTTAATATCGCCATCTAGTGGAAAATGTTCCGAAACGATTTCGACTTCTAGTGCCGTGTTTTTGAGCTACTGGAAGAGCATTCTGAATGATTGTATGCTTAACGTTTGAATTCTGTATCGGACTGGCGCTGCGATCACGAAAGCTGGAGGCAATGTCTAAACACAGCTCCGAAATTTTTTAAATAAGTGTTTCAAAAATGTTTTCCCTCTCTACTAGTAAATGCCCTTTCATATGCATATTCATCATCAATGAAAAAGGAAAACTCGTTCTTCGAAACTTAGGTGGTTTGTTAGTGTTCACTATGAACACGAGAAATCCAAAAGAGGCCTGACGGAATATCAGATAAGTACATTCTGTCTCTAAAAATATCGTTTCTCTATCACTAGAGGTCATAAATTTCTTATTATTATTTTCATAAGATTCTAGCAATACAATGTGGAATAGTAGCAGGTCTGTGGTCTTTTCGTAACTATCCGTAGAGACGCCCCTTCCTTATCGTGTCCGTCTTATCAGCAATCACACCCTTCGGAGGCCCCCCTTTTGCTTAGGAATTTCTTGTGAGGGAAAAGGGATCCTCTTCACGATGATATAGATTGTAATTTTAGTAACAAGACCCCGCTTTTTTTTTTTTTTTTTTTTTTTTTTCGGTCTCAACTTAAAAGGCGAGCAAAAAAAATACAGTGACGGACTTGTCAACTGTAATTAAATTACCGGTTAATTACAATAATTTTATTAACTAATATTAGAAACTAACTGTTATTTTTTTGCTGCCTGCTCTACACGTGTATGATGGATTTATAATTGTCAATTACTGTTTTCTGAAAGAACATGATTTTTTGGGACGGTAATATTAATGTTACTTAGTTAAAATTATGTACATCTTGTGATGATAAGTCTTTCTCTTAGTTAAGGTAGGGCATACATTAACCCTGTAGGAATTCACCTTTTTTTTTTTTTTTTAACTTAGCTCAGTTGCTCTTAAGACCTAATTTTTGCGAGAATCTAAAATCATGGACAAATGTATTTAGGATCTTTCTACTTCTTTCTTTCTTCTATCGGCCCTTTTTTCTCCTCTATTATTTTTGGGCCTGTATTTTAACTATTGTCCATCTTTCTTTGTGGCCTTTTGACTGTAAAAAGTACGACGTTCCTTTATCTCCGCAAATACGAACTGCCCTTTTTTTGTCCCTTTCTCGCCTAGCTGATTGCGCCCCTCGGTGCAGCCGCTGCGGGTGCAAAAACATGACATTTATACTTTGTCTGTCTGTCTGAATTCTGTATCTATGGTCAAAAATTATTTTCATACTTTGATATTTTTTGCCTGTATATTGCGAATTGCGTTCCTGAGATATGGCTGATGAAAAACTTTGTCATAAAACATGTGATAGACGATTTGATAACAGGTTATTATATTTCATATGTTTTTTATCCGTTTAATAAACGTATACAAAAAGCGCAACATGAAAAACACAAGTTTTATATTTCTTGGTTTATTATCTTTTCTTTTTTTATTACTAGAACCTTTTTTATGAGCTCTGAAGAACTTGACATAATCTTGCTGTTTGTAAAAGATGTACACATATTGTACTGCCGCATTCTAAGTGTATAAGGAAATAATAGTTTGGGATGTTGATGAAATTGCCATTTGTAATATCTGTAAAAAAAAAGCTAGACCAAGAATAAGTGAATGATTGGTGGATACTGTATTTATATTTTTTATGAAGTTCATCAGTGTGGATCCAAGTTACTGTAATATTATTAATAACTGTATAGAACAGAAATGTTAGAATTTAAAATGCTAAAACACTAATACCATTTAGATATATAAATAGTCATTCTGATAAATAAGCTGTTAATGAAAACTAGCATTATTTATATAACAGAAAGCAAAGATCTTTTTGCATAACTTATTTGTATAAACAAAGATTTTCATCCATGTTATATATGAAAAATAAATACCAAACAAAATTAAAAGTGGATCCTAATTTACTGTTAAAATTAAGTGAAATAAGACCAGACATAAAGAAACTGATCTCTCTTAAACAGGCCCAAATTTCACATAAATTTACTTAAAAGTATCTACTTAATTTGCTAATTAAAATGGCTACTAATTTTGAATTTAATATTTTTTATGTATGCATACTTAATACAAATATCCAGTTTTGCTAATTAAAATGGGCACCAATTTTGAATTTAATATTTTTTTATGTATGCATATTCAATACAAATATCCAAAAGGTGGTCCAGACACTGTTATGTCATGTGCCCTCGGGCATACTTGTCATGAGCCGGACACGTTGCATCTAACGCAATAGTTCGGCATAATTAGTAATGAATGAATGAATATCCAATAGGTTGGTCAAATGGCAAAATATATGTATTTTTTAATATTTCTATTGAGAAATTGAAAAATAATCATTGTAAAATGTAGTGTGGTACTAAAATTTTTCAGTTTTTGTTCATATGGTACGCATTGGTAAAAAAGCTGAGAACTGCTGTTTAGAGATTTGTGAAATTTTGATGATTTCTTTTACAAACATAATAACTGATAAATGTCATAAAATAATGGTAATAAATTAAAATTATATTTAAAAAATAACATTTAAAATAAAATATTTTATTGGTACTTTCCGTTTTGCCGGCGCAAGCGATAAAGTCGCCAATAATGGTACAAAACCGATGCCAAAGGAAATATTCTCGCTGGTAACCTTTTAAGCCTCATTTTCAAAACAAGTCGCAACCATTTCTTACAGATTGATGTTTCTTTCAATACTGGCATATATTTTTATCAGATAGTTCAGTTTATGTCTAAGGCCATTTTCGGTTATTAAGTCAATTAGGAGCAATCACAGCTCTTACCCGAAGCCGAAAATATAGAAAAGGAAAGTCAAGGGCTAAAATTCATCACTTCTAATGAGAATGCATTAGTGAAGTAAAGCACTGCAGTTTTACATAATTCGAGTAAGCTATTCGTACGCATTTGAAATACTCTTGCATTTAAATTGTGTTCCAAATTAGATTTAACTGAAATTAATGTAAAATTACTGGAGTATTAGATTTTGTAGAGTCGTTTACGTGAGATGAGATCGCTTGGGGTCACGTGATATGAACCGGCGAATCAGGATGTTGAACCATGAAAGCATAGTAAATTCTTAAATAATATCTTTTTACAAATTTATTTATTGTCTTTATTTATTGGCTTTTATAAGTTTAAGCGATATTAAAATGTTTATGTTTCAAAAAAGAATTCTTAGAACTAAAATTTTTTTAATATTTTTTATGTGTATACTGATGTTGTCGCCAATAAAGTCTGCTGGTGAATTGGCCGGCGAAACAGAAAGTACATGTTTTCTTTTGTTTTACTGACACTTTTTCCAACAACTACTAGCCGAATTACACTTATGCTAGAAATTTTATTGTAACAAAACTGCTTAATCATGACAAATATTAACTGCAAAATTGGGAAAAAGTGCACAATCGCAAAACTCCTTGCGCGTTTTTCAGAATAGCACATACACATAAACCATTTACACGTCGACTTATTTTTACTTAAAAAACATCCCAGAATTGCACAAAAATGGCATTGCACACACTCTTAACTTTATCCATCTACACTGCTATTTTCTCATAAATTACAAAAAAATTTGCACGAAAATGCAAAAAATTTTCTGAATCTTTAAACTCCGGTAAAAAGAACATATATGAAATTACCTGATCGCGAAAAAGTATATACCCTTTCCAAGGATGAACATTTCCACATATAAAATAAATAAAATATCCAAAAAACTTTTACCTCTAATTATCTATTATATTATAAACGTCACCAACGAATTCATACCGCAAACATTACAAAATGGTTACAAATACTTAGTGTCAAATATTTAAATTATTTCCATACACGTTTACTTCAACTGAAACGTATACCAAATTCCTACAAACATAAAATTCACAAAATAACTATCATTTAATTAAAATATCACTAAACCATGTACACGTCGACTTATTTTTACTTAAAAAAACATCCCAGAATTGCACAAAAAATGGCATTGCGCACACTCTTCACTATATCCATGTACACTGCTTTTTTCTCATAAATTAGAAAAATTTCACGAAAATGCATGAAAATACTCAACGTATACTACTCAAACGTATTCCAAAATACTACAAACATATAACTCACAAAATCACGATCATTAAATTAAAATATTAAATAAAAAAAACTACTTTAAAATATAAATAAGCACATACATTAAATTAATAAAAATTAGATTACAATCCTAATTACTTTAAACTAAATCATTGCTAATAACATTTTCCAATAATACCATATTAAATTTATTTACTCCTTACATTTAGAACAATGCATAAAAATAATATCTCAAATGATTAAAAAATACTAACTTATAATCTTCAGAATCTTCATTACCATGGCACGCACACTTCCACTATTCACACAACACGCAATGAAGCTTAATACAAAATAATATAGTCCAGTTTTTCCCAATTCCCCCCTTTTCGATTAAAGAACTGTAATTCGTCCATTAATGTCACATGACATATCCCATCTTTCATTTTCCTCACACAAAAAAGCGTAATGGAAAAGTACTTCTCACATTATTACAAAAGTCCTAGGTAGTAACCTTTATCGCCTCCAAAATGTTGTCAAACTACCAGTTACCATATTCCAAAGATCAGTCGCATAACTTATATGTTTTAAAAAAGAAAACAAATAAATATACTAATGTCCATTATTGGGCTGCAAATCACAAACTGACATTTCCTTCTGCCAAAATCATTTTGCAAATTTCCTCATTTGCTAAATTTTGTCTGTTTTTGAGGCTTTCTGTATCTATAATAAGCCTTCTTCATTAGTCAGTGGCTCAAATTCTAACCCTTTTCCCTCCATTTATAAACAGGTGTTCCTCTTTATTATTGGCATGGTTAACTAATAAGTTCTTGAAATTTTACCAATAGCTGTTCTATTTGTGATACTTTTCATTTAGTTGCAGATGAAGAATATGTTAGTTGAATTGTTTAAATTTGCCTGCTAAAGTGAAATTTAGTGTCAATTGGCATATAAATTGCATATAAATTGATTTCTTTTAATTTTTCCAATATACTACTATAGAATATCGAATAGTATTTTTGAAAATCGAGTTTTTTCTATCTTTATTCTTTGTTTGTGATATTTTAGATAAGTAATTAGAGAATTTAATTTTGCTGCTTACCTGAAAATTCATGAATTTTTGTAAAAAGCTTCAGGTTGACATCCATGGTAATGAAATTAATGACTGTTTGTAATCATGAAAATCAAACTACCAGATTGTAATGAATAGTTTAATTGTTAAGTCAAAAGATGTACTTTATTTAAATATATACAGTCAAAAGTTGTTAATCCAGACTCGTCAGGACTTCGGCGATTCCGGATTATCGATTTTTTTTGGATTATAGATCATCAGTTTAAATCTGGTAAGATGGCATGCAGAAATTACAAAATTAAAAAAATATGAAACCATAATTTATGAAATAAAGAGCAATATGAATAAGGGTCAAAATTTAACAAAAAGAAAAAGCTTAATATTATTTGTTTACTTTATTTTAAAAATTTCTTTTCAATGTAAGTTGTTTAAGTTGCTTCATTTTCATGTGACAATACTTCTCTTTAATTATATTCAACAGACATAATTTCTTGTTTAGTTACAAAGTTCTGTTGTTCAATTCCTATAATTGCTGTGGTCGAGAATACCGACTAATTGTCAATCGAAATTTTTTCGTTTTCAATAACCTCTGTGTCACTTTCTTCATTATCGGAAGCAAATTATAATGACGAGGAACTTGATTTAAATCATATCAAAGACGGAGTACATAGAGATGAAATACTACATTTAGTAAGGAATTATAAGCCAAATAAAATAAAAACATCTGCCCTGAAGATAAGAATAGTGCTGACAGATCAATTTCCAATTCATTGCGTGCCACGGCGTTTCTCCCCCTTCCTGCCAGCAGCGTGAAATTGATAAACAGATTTCGGATTTCAAAACATACTTTCGTTTTGTAGAGCCTTTACATATTAGTAAATATATATCGGAAATTCTATTTGACATAATCGAAAGTTCAAGCTTACTTTTATAAAATTGCTCTAACAGTCTGTAAAAAATAATAAGCCGGATCCAATTCGAAGATTAAGGAACAACACAATCTGCAACATTAACTGAATTAGATAATTTTAGCTTAGCTTATACCTTTCGTTATACATTAAATGCGCAGGCGTAAATGTATTATGCACTTGCGCACACGCATATTCGCAGCCGTAAAGGTCTTATGTGCATGCGTAAACGCCTATGCGTCAACGCTACGCATGCGCAGAAAGTTTGTAGCCTTGAGGTCCGGATTATAGATCATTCAGGATTATGGGTGTCCGAATTAACGACTTTTGACTGTATTATTGTGTTATATCAGTGCCCAGTTTTAGAATTCTTTATTGTAATCGTAGGTTGCGCAGTAGTTTTCATGTAATTAACTTTTATGTTTCATGGTAATTTTTATAGGAAAAAAGAAATTGAAGAAGTAGGCTCTGTTTTATCGTCTGAATCATGTCAAAAGTGTTGCTCGTTTAATTGGGTAGATGTCACTCAAGAGTTTTTTAAAGCAACAGAAGGTATGTGCGTATAATTTTAAGCCATACTTGTAGATTATGATGGATACAAATGGGTTTAAGGTTAATTTGTATATATGTGTGTGTGTGTAGTAGGATTGTAAGATCATACCTTCTTAGCTAACATAAAGTTAAAATTATCTTATGAGATAACCTGGTGACTTCTCATACAGAATGTGAATGAATACCAACACAGAGAAAGGGTAAAATACTCCTTTATTATTCGTCAAATTCTTAACATTAAATGCACACACTTCATGCTTACAAAAACACCAACGACTTGCAGTGGAACTTAAGAATAGTTCATAATGAATTCAAAGATAAAGAGTAGTGCTGAACGAACAAATTAATTTAAGGCTAACAAGGCTGATTCAACAACCTACTGGGTGATGTACTTATTAAATGCTCAAAAAGGTATATCAGAAAATCCACATAACAGCAAGGACAAACAAAAAAGCGCTGGTTAGCGAAATCACACTCTTAACTTTTTCGTTTCGCCTGTTTAAATACACTTCTTTAACTTAAATTTACATAATGGCGAGGGTATAATGAGAGGTTCAGTAAAGGTACCAAAACTTAAAATAATTTGTTATGCAAAATAAGGGAAACCCTACAGGATGTTTTGGAGAAAGCTGCAATGGATTGGCGATGGTTCTCTATTATAACTTTATCGTAAGAGTACAGAGAGTGTGCAGAGAGGCTTTACTGCACAGTTAAAAAGGTGAGACTCAAAGATAGGCATAGCCGTAAATTCCGCACATAATTGTATTCCTGAATAAGGAATTCTGAGGACATAAGCATTTCATTTTCATGGATGAAAGATTAAAATTGATGGTACTTTTCCACTGTACAGGTGCCACAAAAAAGTACTGTTAAAATATATAGTAACATGCCAAAGATACCAACAATATGACCAGCTAAGTCATATCAGTTTTATGAGTGAAATTGAGCCGAATATTCATGTGTTATGATTTGCGGCTTTTTTTTAGAACTGCACGAAAGATAATTTGATAGATGATTTTCTTCATATACATTATTTGACTAAAAGAACTTTTTAATAGGGGAGGGGAAAATGAAAATCACAATCTAGGATTTACCTAAAGATGAGGTGGAGGCAATGAAATTACTATGGGATTAAGGAATTTGTCGTAGGCAAAGATGTGATAAAAATAATCATAAAATGTTGTGTTTTACCAATTACAATACACCAAAATAGTGTTGTAGCCTTAGATTTTACTGAGAAAAAATAGGTACCATCTCTCACTTGATTTTAAGAATCATGCCTAAATTTCCTTACAGCTGAAAAATTTATTTGCTGTTGGTACCATGACCTGGCCTCAGTTGAGTTTTGTAATATGCAATTAAAAATGAACCACAGTGAAGTTGTCAACTGAACAATTATATGTGGGAGGTTTGTGCTCATGCTTTGTTATGTAGACCTGAAGTTAAAATTTAGAGAAATAACAGAATAACAGAGGTTGATGAAAGTATTTTTACGAGAAAAAAGATTAACATTACACATGTTCTTCATCCACAGTGGGTTTTTGGAGGCATGTGTAGAGAAACAAAAGAATGTTTTCTTCTTGTAGTCATTTTGGATCACTCAGCTAAAACTTTACTTGCCACGATTGAAAACAAAAGTGTTCCAGTTGGTAATACAGTTTTTTCTGATTCCTGGAAAGCATACAAAATGAAGGATTTAAAAGAAGCAGGATATGATTATCTCACAGGTAACCACAGATACAATTTGATAGACCCAAACACTGTATGCCATACACAAAGAGGTGAAAGAATGTTGGGCAGTGCAAAATGGCATAATAAATGCCAATGTGGCACCTCAGATGACCATCTTGAATCGTACTTATTAGAGTTTATTTGGTAATGATGACAAAAAAAAAAAAAAAAAATTAAAATTTTCCCCAAAATGTTGCAAGACATCTCTAATTTTACAGCTCCTCTTCAGATTTAAATTGTATTTCATTTATGATGGATTTAAAATTTATTAATACTGATATAATAAAAAAATGTTTTTTCATGGTGCCCATATAACTGAAAAGTACACTGCGTGAAAAAAAGGGGGGACAGTTCTATATCTCCCGTTTTACTGGTCTGATTGACGAAATTCAAATTGCGTTTTTTCATGTCTCGAAAGTATAACTTAGGATGTGTATACGATTTATATTTAGCACTGTTTAGTATAGGTATTTTGACACAAAATCGGACCTTTTCTAAAATGACATGCCAGTTTTTTTCCTTAAATCACACGAGTAGTTTTAAAAAATTAGTTCTAAAAAATTTAGCTTCTTGGTCTTAATTGAATGTGGTATATATTTGTTAATCTCTCTTTTTTTTTTTATTAAACTTATTCTTCTGTTCACATTTCAAAATTTAGGTTCATTCCAAGTAAAATTTGCCCATTTTTTATGATGTATTTTTTAATATTTTTTATAAATATTTAGAAAAAAATTTTCAATACAATTGAAAAAGGCTTCGTTGTGAAAGAGAGCTTTATCTTTGGATCCTACATCGACTTAAACAAATTCATTTTACACAGCACTTAGTAACACACATGATTTGCTTTTGAAATGTAGCCAAATTGATCCATTTTTGATACAACTGGTAATTGGTGATTATAAATGGTTGTTTTCAGTAACAAATCATGTTTAAAGTCTTGTAAGCATGCTCAAACAGCATTAAAAGCTGTATTCATCAAGAGAAGATCATTTTATCAGTTTGGTAGAATTTTAGAGGAATAATAATTCTTTTCAGCTTTTATCAAGGGATTAAATTATTCACAAATCTGAAGAATGTTTTGTGACAGAAATTTTCAGAATTGGTGATTCTTATAAAGTACTGCATTCTATGATGGAAATGTCAACTACAAAGTATGACAACAAAATTCAGTGAGAGGTCATAGGATGCACATGCAGGGAAAGGGATGAACATTATATTACAGATGGAGTCCAGTGTCTTGAGTGCAACATAGGAATAAGCGGTATGAATTTCTTTTAGTAATTATAGTGTGCAAAGACGCAATAGTAGCAGAAATCTATGAAAGAAAGTAATGACATTTTAAAGCAAGTTTGCAGAAAATATTAAGGGTTGAATGCTGCACTTGTTCATGAGCAAGCTATGAACACTGCAAAAAAAAAAGGGGGGATTGACAGTTCTGTATCTCCTGTTCTATTGGGCCGATTGACGAAATTCAAATTGCATTTTTCATGTCTCAAAAGTGTGACTTAGGATATATATTAGTGTGATTAGTGATTTTTCAGAGTATTTTTCTGATTAACTTTTATTCAGTCTGTGCTGTTTTAATCCATTTTATAAAGATTTAACTAATGTTTTTAACATACATATATTTCTATTTAATTTTGCTTTAAATGGTATGTTATTATTTATGTGATTATATATATATATATATATCGATTGTTCATTTTATTTTCATCATATTTAAAAGTTCAGTGATAAGTAAAAGCTTCCCCCCTTCCTGCTCAAGTTTCATTCATATAAAATCAAATGTAATTAGCCAAAAAAAAATTTAATAAAATTTAAAATGCCAAAGCACAAATGTCATTTATAATTAAAGTAAAATATTTTATATCAAAATCATGTCATAAGTATTTTAATAATTTGAATTATGCATTTAAAAATGATTTTAATTCAACTTTGTCTGTAGTATTTTTCTTATAAAGTCTCATTGCGTAAAAACTATTCTGTGAAAATTTTCTGATTTTTCATATTTCAGTGCTTGTAGCTATGGCATTTTGTGAGTTATTAATAATATAATCTCAGTATATGGAATTTTTTTTTGGGGGGGGGGTAGAAAATGTGTTTTGAAGATATTTTTGCTTGGTATTGAGTTAAATAAATGTAGGTTTTAGACTTAACAATGTTTTCCCCCTTCTTTTCAACAGAATTACAGCTTGGAGAACTGCTTCATGATGATATGTAAGTTGTTTTCTATGTTTTCTGAAAATAATAAAGAATTTCTCCAAACATTTCTGCAAGAAAATTTTTATATATGCTTAATGGAGTAGCAATAATTATTAAAGTCATGTTGTATAAAAGAATTATATGTGCATAAAAAGGAAAATTAGAGATGCATTTTACTTGTATATATTACAGTATTCCAATTTTAACTGAAAGGACCCATGAGAATGAAATCCAAGAATTTGATACTGACTTCTAGTATCATTCATATCTTGAGAGGACTTTTTTATTGTTTGATTTTGATGTACACCTATATGGCAAAGACTGCAGTCATGTATTTACATGCCTTAACTAGGCCTTGACACAAATCCATTTATTGACATTTAGTCTGCTTTCACTAGCCACCCTGCCATCTAGGCTTGAACCTATATATGAAAGTTATGTTGTTCATGTGAAAATTTTATTACAAAAGGTCAAAATTAACACAGACTCCCTCTCCCCCCCCTCCGAAAAAGAGCAGTATTATTGCATTATCTGCCCAACCATGCTACAAAGTTGTCAGTCATTCACGATTCATCTTTCGCCGATCTAAGGTAGAAAAAACAGTAGCCATTTTAAAAAAATGGAAGCATGCTAAAATTACATAAAGCAGCAATGAGTAAACAAAATTAAAAATACAAGAAGCATACATAGTGAACCAGAAAATGATTACATAAAGCAAGCATCCATAATGAAACACTCAAAACATAAAATACTAAATTAATTAAATAAAAAACAAACAAAAAAGTAACTAAATTAAAAATGCAGCTAACAGCCATAATAAAAGAGGTAACTTTTTATTTTCTCAGTGTTCTGTTTGTCCGCACATTGATCTATACGGTGTTTAAAAAAAAAAAAAAAAAAAAAAAAAGAATTGCTCTTATTTGAAGAAAACTATTATCACGTGACCTAAGAACAGTTCCTGAACTATTTTAAGCTGTAAACTTTCTACAGTAATGTAACATTGGAGATAAATGAATGCTAGCCAAATGCATAATTTTATATGCATTTTATTATTTTAACAATAATAATGAAAAACACTATGGACAGTATTTACATTTGTACAGCCAAATCTCTTCAAAAGTTGTTTTGCTTTCCTTCCAGACATTTTCTACAAATAAACTCCCCAAACTTGGACATTTGATTGTTTGTAAAATACAACTTCATGGGATGCACATTTCTATACTTTGTTAGTATTAGGGGAAATGCCATACAGTGGAATCTCTAGATACAAGTTTAATTTGTTCCAGCATTGATCTCATGTAGCAAATTTCTTGTATCTAGAAATAAACTTCCCCATTAAAAATAATGGAAATCCAGTTAATCCATTCTGCACCCCCAAAACATATAAATAAATTATCCTAAAAAATAACACTGATAAATAATACCTGGTGTTTTTCGAAGAAGGTCCAAGTACAGATTCTTAAACTTACCGCAAAGGATAGCTTCCGACACCGAATCACCTTTTACCTGCTTCTTGTTAATTCACACCAACAACAGCTTCTCAACGTCTTCTAGGAGTTTTGGACGGTGCTTGGAAGTAGCGATAACTCCTTTGTCACATCAAGGTTTTTAATTTCTTCCTTCTTCTTCAGAATAGCGCAGATTTTCGATGTTGAATGGCTGTAAATCTTTGCAAATTCTGTCACTCTTACACCATGCTTATGTTTATCTATGACTCCTTTCTTACTTTCAATGGTCATGGCTTCCTTCTTTTTCTTTAGAACACTACTGAGTTAACAATCTTCTTGGGAGGCATCACTAAATAATTATTTTGTTGTTAAATGTAAAAAACAATTAATTTACAAGCACACAAACATGTAGATCAAAGAACAATGTGTGATCTGATGAGAGGATTCCCCGAGTCGAGCTGGATCGGGAAACGCACCATGCATGCCAACAACCTGGCTCGTTACTTGAGTCAGTGCTTGTATTTAGAGTTGAATTTTTCACTCATACTTTCCTCATATCTCGAATTTCTCGTATATAAAGGTGCTCATATCTCGAGGTTCCACTGTATTTCTGAAAAAATGCAACACTTTCTTTTTTATTAGCAGGCAAACTCCACAGTTGCATTATTATTCATTACAAGAGGAAAACACCCACACAAATCACAAGCAGAAACCATGAACATAGCTCTCAGAATTCTAAAATCGTGTGCATGTAGTTAGTTGTAAGTGGATCACATTTTCTTAAAATTCTGTGTTACTTCAGCGACATAGTGCTTTGCCTATTATTCTTGTCATGGTTGGGCTGATAATGTGATAGTACTATAATTTTAAATAATTGATTTTTTTAACAAAAATGCTTACATATCCTGTTGATTACAATTTGTTCAGTGGTATGATTGTTCAAAATATGTGTTTATTTAATATTTAGCGTGGGAATTTTGAAGATACACTTCATTCATTTTTAAAATTTAATCAACTTAACTTTACCAGTCAAGCACTATAACTGTTTAGAATAGTTGATATTGACTCATGAGCATCCTGAAAAAATTCTGATATACCAATGGGATCATGCTCAGAATTTTATAATCCACAAGATGATCTGGTGTTAAAATGGTTTTGATTCTGATACCAAGTTGGCTTTGAACTGAAAAATTTTGGAAATCAATTAGTTTGTTCTGAATGGTTAAATGCTGATTTTTACTGCATGAAAATGCTTTTATTATTGTTTCAATCTCTATTAGGTTTGGGCTTTTTGAAGCTATGTCTGCCATTGAAATGATGGATCCAAAAATGGATGCTGGTATGATGTGCAATCGGGGGAGTAAAAAGGTTCTGAATTTTGATCAGGCACTGAAGGTAAGTTTTACAAACCAAATTATGTGTATATTATCATTTTTCCATGAAAAATATAATAAAAAATTTTTAATCTCTTTTTGATTACATTTTATATATTTCAGCTTATTAATATAATGTTATATTTGATCTTATGGCTAGATAATTTTTTTTTTCCATATTGACTTGTTAAACTCAAATTAGTTCATAACTCAGTTGCTTCATTAACTAATTAATGTTAAATTCAATTCATTCATTAAGACTAATTTTTCATTATGACAGCAGTAAAACTCAAATTAGTTCATACATTTTATAAAAACAGTTTTAGATTCAGATTTTAGCTGTTCTTTTAAAATTAAAAAGAAATAAAAATTTCTTATTTCTTTCTTCTTTGCAAGGCAGGTAAACTGAAAATCAAAGATCTGACAGTTGAAGAACAAATAGGTATTATCGATGCTACACTTGCATGCTTGGTAAGAAATAATTATTCTTTTAGAGAACATAAAATTGTATCTCTGCAATATTTTTCTTAGCTTCATGATTTTCAAATTGCAATTTCTTTATGTTATTAATTTTTGGTGTTGATCATGGTTATTATTTAAATTCATAAGTTAGAATTTTATAAATAAACATTATGTAGGTTCATTCACAGACATTTTAGGTAGAATACTGTGTTAGATAATTTTTTTAACACTGTTTCAATAATGTACTAGACTTTTTAAGTTTTCAATTTTGGTATAAGACAAAATATATGCATTATGAGATTGAAACCGTGTGAAATTTCCCAGTTTGTTTCCATGGCATTATAATATCTTTTGTAGACTTTTTCAAGTGAAAATTTTCCCATTTTGTTACCATTTCTTTTAAGTAACTTTTATATATATTTTCTCAAGATGAAGAATGTAGATTTTTCATTGTGTTAAACTAAAATTTCAAAATATTTCTTTCAGAAAATTAAAAGTAATCATAACTAAGTTGGAAATTTTTTGTAGCCTCTTTTGTATGTTCATTCCATAGTGCCAGTTTTGAGTAACCTACAGATGCATACTTCCTTTGAAGAGGAATTTGGACTTTTGTATACAATATTCTATACATTTGAAACAAAAAACCGTAAAAGCTGTTAAAAGTTTTGCAAATGTAATAGTAATTATTTTACTGTATTCTATTTTCCCTTTTGTGTTGTTTCTGAGATTGTATGTTGATATGAATGCTTAAAGCTTCCTCTGTGATATTGAGAACATTTTTTTGTAAACTTTTAAAATATATTTAGAAATCCTTAATATTTTATTTTATTTATTTATTTATTATTATTATTATTATTTGTAGGTCACTTGGTTAGAAGGTCATTCTTTAGCTCAGACTGTATTTACGAACTTATATCTCCAGAAACCTCACCTGGTTGAAGATAAAATAATTGGAGCGTTTAGTATTCATTCTTTGAAATTGCTGGATGCTATCAGAGAATTTATTAATAAAGCTGGAGTTTTTGAAGAAGTGAGGATCTTTATTAAATTTTAATAAATGTCAAACAATTTATTCATTCAAATTAAAGAACAAAGTATCCTTAAATTAACATAGATTTTATATAAAATTCTGTCAGTGTCAAAGGCAATCTTACTTTTTTCTTTTGATTCCTGAAGAAGAAAAATGTGTGTCAGACGGAGTTTCTATCAATTGCTAGCGTGTTTTTTTAACCTAATTTGAATTTTGACGTTAACATGTGTCTCTTTCAATTGTATTTTATTCATTTTTTGGGGAAAAGTAATGCTTTGTGTTACTAAGTACAAAATGAGCTTCATATTGTATAAAAATGTCACTCAGCTCAAAACTAAATTATTGAAAATGTGTTTTATATATTTTGGTGTTGCATTTAAAATTTATCATGGGCGAGACAAAATTTGAATTGTGATGTGTTGCAAAATAGTGTGAAATGAAAAGACGAAGAAAATTCAGGTTATGTGTAACATACCTTTCATCTGTGTAAGAATTATAAAAAATATTAGTTACATATTCTGTTGTTAGTCTACAGTTTTTCAGGTTGTAAAACTACTGGTAGCTTTTCTGACTTCACCTTTTAAAATCAAGTGTGCTAAGAGTGCAATATATTTCTAGCTTCGGTTGAGGTTGGTATGTAGTCACGTTCTTCCCTTTAACTTTTGCTATCAGTTTCAGTTTTTGCAGCTGTTTAGACATTTCCTAATATCATAACCAGTTCTTTCATAAGCTGTCTCAATATTATCATTAGTTGCAACATATTCCAGAAATGAATCTTGTAATTTCTCTTGCTGATGCCAAAACATTAGCAGTAGCTTGCAGTTCTTTTAAGGTTTCGTGCAGCTAAATTGAAATTTTTTAAAGCAATTTCTGTGTTTTGAGGGACTACTGCCTGTGTATTGACAGTAATAGCCTCTAGCAAAGATATGACTTAATTATCTCTTTCAAAGTGCTTACATTTTCACCAGATTCAATTGTGTTTATCTTTTTTCAGTGACTTCTTTTCTGTATTGACACTTGAAAGCTTTTATTATACCCTGACAATAGCTGAATGACAGAAGTTGTATTTGCGGGAAGAAAGGGTAATTCAATATTCGCTGTTCTGTTTCAAAAGAAAATTAATAAAAATAGTGCTTGTAATCCATGGTTTCTTATTATGGTAGGTTGGTTCTTGATTCCTTTCGTGCATTGAGGGTTTTTTTTTTTTTTCCAAAAACCAATGGCATGTTCTTTGCATCCATATTTATTGCACATAAATAAAAAACCATAACTTGTTCATTCAATTTCTTAAAAACAGCTACTGCAAACATATATGTTCGGTAATGCTCTATAAATTAGACCAGTTTTATCTGTATTATAGATTTCATATGGCTTGTGTCTTTTAAAAACTCAGGTAAAACATCTCTCCAGTTCTTATTTATATGATGACCTACCCTTGCTTTTCATCTTTCAGTTTTCTTGTAAGCTATTCACCAGTTGATACAAAATTTTCTCTTAGCATTGTAACCAGTTTAACAGCTTGTGGTCAGAAGAACTCCAGAAGTAGGAATATATTTTAATCTCATAGCTTGAAACTGTTCTAGAAAAATGCATTAGTTTCTTTTAATTTTCCATTCTTTCTGCACTTCCTTGAAACATTTGCAATTTTTATTAGTTCTTCATCAGTTATAAGTTGTTAAAGTAAGTTGCATAATGGAATTTGGGAAATTCCCATTTTAAATGCATCTTCTCATTGGCTGCACTTAGCAAATGCATCATAATCACTTAACAATATATCCTTTTGTTTCAGACTTGAATATTTTTGCTCAGGTATTTTCGACGTGTTAAAAATTATGCATGAAGCAAATTAAAAGGTATTTCTTTTATTGATTTGTTCAAATTCAAAATTCACATTTCTTGCCAACAGAAAGATTACTATCTTTTTAAAAGATATCCCACTTCACGATTATAGGCATAATCAATGCTTTCTTCTTCAGCTTGCAGTGGCTGCTCCCTTTTCCATTCAAAGGCTGATAATATATGGTTGTGCAAGTAAGCATTTTATGAAGTTTTCTGAAAATACCTTGTAAACTTATGATGTGTATATCAATAGGAAGACTTTGAGTATGATATGATGTAGGCGTTGCGCATCCACTCCCTATTGGCTGGTGTTTGGGAAGGAAATCAAGATTTACATAAGCAACATCTTCTCATCACTTGTCAAAAACACTCACTCATTTACAGTATATCTAGAGGACTGCTATTAAGGAGTGTTGGTTCTAATTACACTGGCCGAAATGTTTGCTAAACCAGTTTTTTTTTTTTTTTTTTTTTTTAAGCACTGCATAACTGAATGATAAATAAGCCACAGCCTTCGATAAGTTAAATGCATTAACTACAAATTACTTTCATCAGTTAATTCTTATCCTGAACACTCAGTCTTCTACAAGTTTGGGTTTAATAAATAAAAAAAGAGGAGTTTAAAAATAAACTGCTGTTTTTCTGTCAATTAATATAGATGTGCAAGCTATCAAAATATGAAGAAAAAAGCACTATCAAATTAATTATTAGTTGGAATGGTCCTTTAAATTCTTTAGTTCAGTTGCATACATCCCCTCTTCAAGGCTTCATATCGCTGCACTGGATTAAAACAAAGAATTTTCAAACTATAAATACTTTAACTGCTTTAACACATCTTTTTTTGACACTTCACCTTTCTGCTGGCAGTGTGTTGCTTAGCCTGTCAGAACTATTCTCCCTTATGCAAGATGCAATTCTGTTTTTAAAATTATGGGGCACATTTAGCACCCCTAGTGTTCTACCAATTAAGAAGGTATGTGCTAAGAAATTTAACATCTAAAATAAATTATGTTTAACTACCATGTTGGTCGTGCTTTTTTACAAAATTCCATCTGGTCATTAACTATTCTCCAATTTTCAGTAATCAACATAGCAGTTTTTTTTGGCCGTGACTAAAAAACAAATTGCTGCCTTCACTAATCAGGCTGCCATCTAATATCAAGTTAACTACAATAAAATAAGTCAGGATGTCAAAATAAATCTTCGCATATATATTTGTTTTGGTTCCTAGAAACTTGAATGGAATGTGACATATTTCATTAGCCAGGGAGTTTAATAAATGACAGATACTGTACTCAATTTGTTGTATATTTTTATTGTCATTTAATTATATCTAAACAGTAGGGTGGCTTATATGATAAAATATTATTTCATTATTCATATTGGTAAGTTTATGTAACTAAATTTAATTAACTTGATTTAAATGAATTTACTGAATAGTTAGATATTAAATTATATCTTAATTAAACCTCATTAGGATAAAAATTAATGAGATAAATTTCAAAGTACTAACCGAAATTCTAATTAGATATTAGTGAAACTTTAAACTTACCAAAATAGCATGTATTACTTTGTGTGTATAATTTGTCACATCTTCTTCTGAATTTTGAAAACTAAAAAGATAAATGATTTGTAAGATGCAAAATTTGCATTCCAAACAGAGAGGAGTTACAAGGTGAAATTAGCAGCCTAAACACACTTAGTTCTGTCTTGCCTGCAGTTTTTTTTTTTTTTTTTTTTTTTTTTTTTTAAACCATGCTGCATTTAAAGATATGTACACAGCTTGGACTAGTGTTTTATTGCTTTATTGCTTATGCAGTGCTTTGTTGAAAAAAGTATGATTCTTATCATTCTATCATACCTTGAAACTCTTCATGATACTAATTAAATACACTGCTTTATTATCTCTTGCATAAAAATCTAAGTGGAGAATGCTTTGTACAGTGTAATGTGCTGCATGCTTTATTATTACTTTATTGAAGGATAATAATGTCTTATCCTCTGATTAATTATTAAATATAATGAATATTTTGTTATGTAATGGTTTAACATTATCCATGGTTTCACTTAATCAGAATATTACTCTCAGTGAATCTTTGTCATTAGAATTTTAGATTTTGGAGTTTTTGAATTACAGATGGATGTATAGTTTTTATATCTTAGTATTAGTTTAGTATCTATAGTTTTTATATATTTGTCTTTATGTGAGAGTCATTTTGTTGTTTATGCTCAACAGGAAGATTTTCAACCAGTTATGTATGGTTACAAGCTAGCTAATGAAGTCCCTGAAGGGAAGGCCACTGCTATGATGAAAGAAGTAGAAGAAGAATTATTAAAGAAAGTTAAGGTATTTTATCATTCTTCCCCCCACCTCATCCAAAATTACAGTAATGCTGATTATATTTGAATTTGTATCATATGCATGTTAAATAAATTTATGATTAAAGACTGATAAAATTTATTTATGTGTGACCACAAATTTTTTGGACTCCATATTTCAAATCTGTTGCTATGTATTTTACAGCAGGCAGAACATTAAATAAATATCTAAGAGGCGTTGTGATTTCTCCTCTGAAATGTATTACCTGTCATTCTGCTAAAATTAGTATAACAAGGATTTGAACCATGTATTGGAATGTTTCTTTCTTTACATCTGATTATATACTTAAAATAATAATAGTAACAATAATAAATTCTTTTTAGCTCAAAGGGCAGTATCCTAGAAGGTGTATTAATTTTGTTTTGGCATTTTTCATCGAAAACTTTAAAAGGCTGTATCACTTTCCAAATTGTTTCCACCAAATATTATCGCCATGTATTATATTTAAAGAAACTAAATAATGGAGAAATCTGCATGAACGTTTCTCACATTATGAAAAAACAACAGTACATAGAACCATCAAATTTTGAATAATGTAGTCCTCCAATTGAACATGGACACTTAGAAGCCCAAATTTTTATTTTGTTTTATTAGCTATTTCATATTTTGTAAAACTTTAATAATGAATTTTTTTATTAACAAAATGATTCAAAGTGAGCAATGGCAACATCGTACGGGAAAGAAAAGATTTTTATCTCCAGCACGCAAGACAGCGTATTCGAAATTCTAAAGGCATGCTCTTTTTAAATTATTTTGTGACATTGCTGTTGAATTGAATTTTATGTTTTACATTCAAAGAACATGATATTTAATAAAAAAAAAAAAGTAGCACGCAAAATGTTAAAAACATCACCTCTTTGGGTGTAATATAAAATTAGAAAGCTTTTAGATTTTATTTATTTATTTATATTTTTAAAATCAGAATTTTCCCTTTTCTAAAGAAAATTTTAGTTTAATTATGTTTCTAAAAAACTAAATAATCCTTTAATAAAATTAATCCTTTACAGATGTTTTATTGTATAATTTTTACTGTCTTTTAATAAAATTCACAGTTTATTCCTTTTGAAACACGATCTAATTACAAGTCTTTGAACAATTTCTTATTCTTCTTTTCCTTTATTTTACATCATGAATTCTTTTATTAGACAACCAACCAAAAGAGCTTTAAAATTTGATCCAAAAGAGCTAATGATTTAAAATTTTAAATTTTAATGATTTAAAATTGTAAATAATGATTTAAAATTTTAAATTTTAAATCATTATTTTAAATCAAAAGAGCTTTAAAATAATGATTTAAAATTTGACAAGAGAACATCACCATATATAAAATTAAGGGACAGGGACCCTAGAATGGCATAGATGTTATATGAAACTCTATCAAGAGTGATGACTAATTTATTTGTTCTGTTTTTAAAAGGAAGGAGGGGGTCTTAGATTTTCTATAAACCCCTAATTAGTTTCAGTAATGACTCACATTTATTTCTTCAGAGCATAATTCACCCTCCTGAAAAAGAGGAACCTGAGTCAGATGCCTTCAAAATCAGTAGAATTATTTTAAAAATATGTGCCAATGTAAGGTTAGTTTTATAAGGTATTTCTCCTCTTCTTCTACCTTGCACGCCTTCGTAGTGTAGTGGTCAGCACACTTTGATGTGCATTTCGAGAGATTCCAGTGATTCGAGTCCCGGCGAAGATGCATTGCTTATTTTTCATCTCTTCTGCATTTACACAAAACAAACAAACAAACAAACAAAAAAACTAATGCCTCAACAATGGTGCCCGAAAGTGGTGGGTGATGATTCTTCACCACCAGGATTTGGTGACTGGGACCCCTAATCCCCAGTTGCCCTTTAAAAGGGGGAGTATATAAGGTATTTTCTCCCTCATTTCAGCATGCCTTTGATGTGTAACAGTAGTGCACTCGGCACGTATTGAGAGGTCCAGGTTTGAGTCCCAGCAAGGGCGTTGCTCATTTCTCATGCACTCCTGCTTCAAAATAACCTAATGCTCTATAGTTTTTTGCCTTTATTTAAATTTTACATTTGAATGTGCTTCTTCTGTTTATAATACCACTTTATGCTGTATTTGATTATGTTCGCCAAATATTTCCTTCTTCTAATTAAAAATTAGAATTTATTTCTTAGCTTTGTTCTGTGATTTACTATCTAATGATAAAAAATTGTAAATAGCATTAAAAATTATGTTTATCAAAGAAATAATGAGTTACTTTTTATTTTCAGCTTACTCGATCTAAGCCCGGTGAAGAACAAGATAGTGAAATTCAGCTTCAGGTAATATCTCATATGCTACTGAAGATAGAGTAATTTCTAATCAGTCACATCAGAATAAATTGAATTTTATGTTTTCTTTATAGCATGAAGATGCTGTGGCTCTCTATTCCAGAATAAAATTCTGTCGTCTTTTATATCAAGCTCTTCTCTTATTTCAGAAGAAAAAGGTATTCTGTTTTATTTAAACTATAAATTAAATTTTTTAAAAGTTACCTATAGGGGGAAAAAAACAGAGATAACATTTAGCTTTAAATAGATATATGTCTAGGTAATAAAATAAAAATAAAAAAAATAAAAAAAAAACTAAGATGTGCTTCTAATTAGATTAAAGTAGGAAGTTGTAACAAGATAGCATTAAAAATTGTGCTATCTTGATTAATTAATTAATTAGATCTTGATTATTTCTAATTAGATTAAAATTAGAAGTTGTAAAACTGTGAAATAAAAACTAGGTTTGAAATGAAGTTTAAAATTTTATAGTGTTTCTAAATGGAAAGAAAAGTGAAGAATTATGAAGACTTAAATTCAAAACTTTGACCGTATAAATTGAATATTAATTTTAAATTGACTTAAAAGAGTGGGTAATTATAATCAGACTTATTCAGGGATTTGAAAGTATAATGTAATGTCTCCAGTGTAAGAGTTTTTTTTTTTTTTTTTAATCTTATTTTCTGAAAACTTGTCTTGTTAAAAGTGCAGCCAAATATTTTAAGCATTAGAAGAAAATGATTTATCACAAATGTTATCTTTAGCAGTTTTAAAGGGAAACATGCGTACTTAGGTGTGTACCTCAAGATATGCTATTTATATCATTTTACTACTTTTGATACATTTCAACTCATTACACACATAATTATCAGTTCCAGGGGCCTACTAAAATATCTGAACCCTTTCTGGCACGCTACTCTTTAAAGTTGGGATTTTACCAAAACAATTTGTATGCAGTCTATTTAGACCTAGGAGAGTATGCTGGTATAATTTTACAAAGATTGTGCAAACCATTTCCATTTTGTGGGTGTGTCCGAAGCGAACACGCTGAGCTGCGATGGGTGAGCATTGCTGTGAAGCACGTATTACAGTAAAATACTTTGATTTAAAAACAGTAGAATCTGATCTCTGTAGCAGATTTAGCATACCCCAGGGTGCACCACGAGGGGGCCTGTTACTCTACACCCCCCAAAAAACCGGTGGAAAAAAAAAGGAAACTCTTATTGCTTCGGCAATGCTGAGGCCTCTCCGAACCATTTACACAATTTTAAAATTTATTAAAATAATAATTAAAATACCATAATATTTACAATTAATTATTGACTAGAAAAATAATTATTAAATATATATATACAAATAAAAATCAACGGAAGTCAAAACTAAGCAAACTACGCACGATGAAAGCAAGAGAAAAAAATCTGATGTGTACACCACATGACTTCCTTATACAGAATATTAATTTATACACATTTTTTTCTTGCATTTCATTTAAACTTATTGGATTTAATTAAATCTACTTCGCCGACAGCGCATAAACCGCAATAGAATAAAGGCATTCTTTAAAATTCACTCTATTTGTTTAACATAGCGACACTCTGGCGCTAGGTTCACTTAACAGTATTATATTTTGTTCATATTATAACTCAGAATGCACAAAATTTATATCATTTAAAGATTATCTATTGTTGCCACATGTTCTATTGAAATACTTATAATAAATCTGAGAACGATATATAAAAAAAAATGAAACAAAACGAAACAAAACAACAAAAAAAAAAAAGAAGCAGTTTTTCACAGAATATTCAGTATTTCTTCATTCAATTAATTCACTTGTCACTTCAAGACAAGGCAAAAATACATAAAAGCTAAATATCTGTATTAAAATTACTAATTAGAAAAATTAAGTAAATCTTAAACTTATTTCCTTGAAACAATTCAGAATGGATTAAGCATGATTTAATTCGCAATAGTAAGAGAAGGACGTTATATTTGTTGTTGCGAAAGCTTAGTTTTTCTAGATTGGTAACAAATCCACTACTTCAGCTAAGTTTTAAATGTAAACTAATGCAATTGCCGCCATGGTAAAAATAATTAAGCTTAGCCGCAGTTAAACAAATTTTTAAATTGTTGATAACTCTAAAAATTTACGTACAGATTTATTAAAGGCATAAAATCTTAACCAGAAGACAAAGAACAACATAATTCAATCATTTTTTAACGCAAAAAATGTACAATTTACAACATAAGAGTAAAGAAACTGAGATCACTGAGCCAGGTAACAGAGTGGATATATATATAAATATATTATATCGTTGGCACGGTCGATTGCAACCAAAATATGAGGTGCACATCTACATGTTTATAGTAGTCCTATATACAAAATTTCAACATTCTGAGGCTATCGTTTACAGACGCACCGAAAAATTCTCTTCAGAATTCATAAAGCAGTTTTATAATTTTTTTTTGGGGAAAAGAGTCTTTTATCTGTCCTAGTACAGATATCAGCAAAAGCATTGTTAAATTGCATTCAAAAGCAGTCAAAAGGGATATTTTCGTTGAAATATGCTGCCTGCAACTTTTTGCGATTACAATACTTCCTTTTTACTTCGTATAAGAAAGTAAAAAGGGTCTGCTCTCACTGAAAATCAAATAACTAAGTGAAAACAAAGCACCGGGGTCTTCAAAACTAGAAACAGAAAAGAATAAAAACAAATATAAATAAAACTGTGAAGCTCTCAGCCTCCCTCGTGCTTGAAGCACGAGACCAAATTCTGTGACTCACACCCACGTGACAGGAGCTACCACTACAGTGTGTTCAATCCGAACACACCATACACTGAAGGCTTCACTATATGTAATATTTCAGAGATAAAAATTTAAAGTAATACAGAATAGGCCGATTAGCATACGAGCAACAAAATTATATAAAGATTTTTTTTCATTGATATTCTTTATATTTAAAAAAATCTGAAACATTTCTTTGAAAAAATCTGTGTCTTTAAAAACAGAATATATTTCAATGTTACTGATTTGCTTGTGTGATGCTGCCATCTGTTATTCATAAAACATATTAAAAGTAACCTTTAGTGTAGTTTTTGTGATACTTATCGATTATTTTCAGTATTTAAAGAGGGAATATTTTTGGTGTTCACACCGAACACATTGCACCGGAAAGGGTTAAAGCCCCCTAGACTTGCAGCTGAATAGCACGTGATCTGTATAAATGTAGAAACATAATAACTGTAAAAAATTCTGCTGCATAGTCTCAAATAGGGGTTATCATTTTGAAAACCCTATGGAAAAATTCTTGTAGTTTAGCAAGCTGATTAGCCTCATGTTCCACACAAGTGCTTTGCTGTGACGCTGTGAGTCTCTTCATCATAACTGCTTAGGTACTGCTTGAAATAGGCTCTGGCTGTTTTACTGTTAATTGCTATCAGTTTGGCTTAGTGAAATTGGGATTTGCTTGTTAGAAAATCAAGCAGGTTGCATTATCTGTAATGAAAAAATGATTCAAGTTAATTATATTACAGAAATGTGTATTTCATCTTTGTAATTATTTTGAAAACTTTAAATTAAACAGTACAGTCAAAAGTCTTTAATCCGGACTCGGCGATTCCGGATTATCAGTTTTTCCCGATTATAGATCATCAATTTAAATCTGGTAAGATGGCATGCAGAAATTATAAAGTTAAAAATATAAACCTAATTATGAAATAAAGAGCATTACTACAGGGTATCAAAATTTACAAAAAAATCTTAATATTTATTGTTTACTTTATTAAACATTTCTTTCAACGTGCGCATGTTGAAAAAATGTTTGTGCCAAAACATCTACCCTGAAGATAAGGATAGTGCTGACAGATCAACATCCAGATCATTGCACACCGCGACGTCCCCCCCCCATTGATAAAAGATAAATTGATAAACAATTTAAGGTTAGAGAAACAAGGATATGCCTTTATCCATTTTTTGCAGCATTCCACTTTTGTTTGATGGATTCAAACATGCTTCGCTTTGTAGATCCTTTGAGCTCAGAATCGGAAATTCTTTTTGACATAATCAAAAGTTCAAGTTACTTTTATAAAATTGCTAACAGTCTGCAAAAAAGAGTAAGCCGAATCCAATTCAAAGATTAAGGAACAACGCAATCTGCAACTTTAACTGAAATAGATAATTAGATAATTTTAGCTTAGCTTATACCATGCAAACGTATTATGTGCATGCATAAAGGTATTCCGTGCATGCGTAAACGCATTATGCTTTACGCATGCACAGAAAGTTTGTAGCTTTGAGGTCCGGGTTATGGACGTCCACATTAAAGACTTTTGACTGTATTATAGTGATAGTTTGCTAATGTATGACATATTTAGTTCACTGGATACATTAGCTTTAAGAATGAACTTACTTTTCTTTGTCATGTCTTTTAATAGTGTTTTGCGGTTGAAGAGGTGGATCGATATTTACTTCAATGCAGTGAAATAATTCCAATAATTGAGAAAACTATTCACTTAGGCATAAGGCCGGATCCAAATGCAGAGAGCAGCAACAGAGGTAACAGACATTTCGAATAAATATATAACCATTATTTTTATATTTCCCATTGAAATTATTTGGTGCTGAAAATTATGCATAAACTGTAAGTACTGCTCATTTCTAGATTTAATCATTTGGAAATTTTTAATTAAATAAAATTTGGTGCTTTATATGATATCAAAAAGGATAATGCATGTGTTAAGTAAATGTAAATTTTGGTTATCATAAAAGTGTATAACTGAAACAGACTTTCAGTGAATATCTATTTGATTCTGGGGAAGACATTTTCTGGTACAGTTTTTTAAAGAATTATAAAATGACTAAATTTCTTCACATATTTGGAACAGTGTGATATTTAGCTTTTTAGGGATAGCAAGTCAAAATAATTGTTTCTGTAGGCAAATACTTAATAATCTGAACATCCACATTTTCTGTAACAAACACTATATGTTGTGCATACATAGGAAGATCTAGATCTGTCTTTCCTTCCTAAGAAAAAGGATGCGTAAAAGATGTTCAAACTGCCACAATTTTTTTTTCCAACATTTGCTTTATATATCAAGAAAAATATAATTCCTATTAATATACACTGCCCTCCAAAAGTTAAGAAACAAAAATTTTTAAGCTCAGCCTTATAAAAATGTCAGTAACTTTTAAATTCACAGTTCATATGCATGACAATAACGAAGTTTAAGAAAATATATGCAAAAACAATAGCTACTACTTTTATTTTATAGAAATGAATATTTATATAGGAATTGGAGAAAAAAATGCAGAAATTGTAATTTTTGTTCATGAGTGTTGGTCTTCAGTTGTTATTACAGTTTCGTGGACAATATCCAGGAGCAGTTGTTTGCCCAATTCGTTGAAGTGGCATGCGATTGGATGGATAGAAATGCAGATGTCACAAGCTGGTGCTGCTAGACATCTCAGTGTCTCTCGTGGTGGGGTCCACTGACTATGGAATCAGTTTAAATCTGAGGATTTTGTGTCTAGAAGATATGTTCCAGGCAGATCTAGAGTTACAATACCTGCAGGAGACAGTTATTTAGCTCCTTCAGTCCTAAGAAGGAGTAATATTACTGTACCTCAGCTCATGGCAGATCATTTAGTGGCAACAGGAACAAGAATCTCGGCTACTACAGTGTGCAGATGTCTACACAATACAGATTTGTATAAAAGACAACCAGTTGTTTGTGTCCACTTGACCCGAGGACACTGAGGTGCCCATTTATGTTAGGCAAGAGAACACATCTCCTAAACCAGTCAAATATGAGCATCTGTTCTCTTCACAGACAAGTCCAGGTTCACATTGGAGAGTGATTCAAGTCATCAGTTGATCTACAGGAAACAATGCACCAGATACAACCAATCCCACATTGTGGAAAGACAAAGTTACAGAGGTGGTGGAATAATGGTTTGGGCTGGGATTACTCTTGGGTGGTCACAATGACCTGCATGTATTCCATGGAGGAATTTTGATCGGTGTGAGATATCAAGATGAGATCCTTCTTGATCAATATTGTCCGCCCATATGCTGCTGCTATTGGTCCTGGATTTCTTCTGATGGACAACAATGCGTGACCGCAATGAGCTCGGGTTGCTGAAGAATATCTTGAGGATCACGGTATGAAGCGGATGAATGGCCATCTCAATCCCCATACCTGAATCCGATAGAGCATTTTTGAGACTACATTGGGAGACAGTTTGCTGCTTTAAGTCCTCCTCCAAGGTCCCCATCTAACAGATGAGCTTGAGCAAGGATTACTCAGTGTCTGGTCATTGCTTCCAATTTCACTGACCGACAACTTAATTGACAGCATGGAACATCACTGCCAATAACATATTGCAGCTAGGGGTGCACACATTCCTTATTAGAGCCCGTGTTTGTAATGTTTCCACCCCCCATTTTTTTAAAAAGAACTGTGATGTATTGTTTCTCCAAGACTGGATTTCTCTGCCAAGAGTGCAATTTTTTGTTGTAATTCATGTTTGTTGAACTTTAGAAACATTCTATGTCGCATTCATTAAATAACTGTTTAGTGAACATGTCCTGTAAATTTCTTGTTTTTATGTTGCTTCATTCTCAAATTAGACGCAAGAAACATGCTGTTCCTTAACTTTTGGAGGGTAGTGTGTATAGAATTTAGTCAAAAAATTCAAATTACAGTGATAAACTTAACCTCACAATATCTGCTTCTTTACTCCTCTTGTATTTACTTAGTATGCTAATCATATTATTTTTTCTAATTATATTTGTATGCATATAGATCAAAGAAAGTTTTTCTATTTTTTGTGTTCTAGTTAATCTGAGTCTAAAATGTTTCAAATAAGCTTAATAATAGATGCTGTTCAATGAAGACCATGGCATAATCACCAAGAATGTGTATTTTAATATGTATATTATATACGTATGTATATTATATACGGATAAAAGTGTTTTGAATAATAATTTGGCTCTAGATATAAAATAAAGAAATTAATTTTTACTCCATAAAATAACAATGTTTTCATTAACAGCTGACTACCCAACAATTTTGGGTTTTGAACCTTTAGTGAATCAGCGCTTACTTCCTCCTACTTTTCCTCGCTATACAAAGATAAAGACTCGGAAAGAATCAACAGAATATCTTGCATTGCTGGTTTCACGCCTCAGGACTATTTGTAGCATCACTGAGTGCACTGCTTTTCATTCAGCTTTAGTAAGTAGTTCTTTATCCAAAATGTTTGTAAAATTATTATTCATACAATTTGTATCTAGCATGTCGTAGGCAGTCGTGCAAAGCTGAGCTTAGCCAATCACAATTCAATTTTGTCTTTAGTTAATATTGTTTGTCACTTTTAGCTTTTATATACTATTCATCAGCAAACTGAGTGGTTTTGATATTGGCATAATGCTTTTTTTTTTGTTTGTTTGTTTTTTATTTATTTATTTATTTATTGATAAATGTAAATGGAATGTTACGTGTATTAATACAGTAGTCTCAAATTCAAATTGCATGTGAAAATTGCATTCAAATGCATGCAAATGCATGATCTAAAAGCAGCTGAGTCAATTTTTTTAAAGCCTAATTGAATTTTTTAAGCGAATCAAATTTGTTAATTAAAAATTTTATTCACTTAATATTTATCAGAACATACATATACATTAATAATAAGGATATAAAAGAAAAAATTCCAATTCATAGTTGTTTTCTGTCTGAAATCTATTTCTGAAAGAAATTTCGGTACTATTCGTTTTCGAGGGCCGTAAAAAAAATTGCAGCGAAAATGTACGCGCAAAAGCGCCAAATCTAGCAAACGCGCCCATTTAACAGCGCGCCAAATCTAGCGTATGCGCTGATTTCAGATTGCCTAAGTTTATATTTTATATTTCTTAAAACGCCATTGAAATACTAGTTTAATTTTTTAATCCTTTTTTGATTTTAAATCCCTTTTTGATATCCTATGGATTTAACAATTTGGGAATTGCCCATGACGAAAACTCAATAGAATTTTGGTAAAGTGCAGAATCACCCACTCTGCTTGACACGTTTTTTAAGAATTGCACATACTCGGTATCCATGTGCACATCACCTATTTTCACTTAAAAAGACATCCCAGAATTGCACAAAAATGGAATTGCGCACACTCTTGTCTTTATCCATGTACACATCGACCTATTTTCACTTAAAAAGTAAAAGAAAATTGACAAAAATCCAATTGTTTTATCCTTGTAAAAAGCGGCAAACAAAGAAGTGGGCAATTCTGCACTTTACCGAGAATATTTTTCAAAGAAAAGGCATCATTCATTTATAGAAAATTATGTTTGAGCAACCAACGTGATGTAATTATGCTTTAGCGATGAACTCGGTAGCGAAATAACGATGCAGGCATCCATTCCGTTATGTTTAGCAATTTTTATATACTTAATTATAATAATGATCTGAAATAGTTATTTACTCTTATGCTTCCATTAATTCATGTTAAGCCTTTTTCATATAAATTATAATAATAAAAAAGTATTATATGGAATTAACCTTTCATCTATATTAAAACATCAATCTTAAATAGTTATTTACTATTATACTTCCTTTCTTGCCGCAGTTATTAGGGTTGCTGCAATTATTTTTGGCAGCATTGGCATCAACAATAGTTTGGCGATTTTTTACGGCCCTCGAAACCGAATAGTACCGAAATTTCTGTAAATTGCACTTTGTTATTCAAACATATTGATTGATAAACGTTATATTTTCAGACGGACGTTTACTTTAAATAATTTTATCTTGTTGAGTTAGCCATTAGATAACTTATTTAAACTAAAGCAATTATGAGCACCTCATAGCATTTTGATTTTTGTAAAATATGTTAACTTGGGAGAGAAAAGGGTAGAAACTATGATTATCACAAATTGTAGATGTGCATCAGTCAGTCTCATTTTTCATATTTTTCTTTTTTTTTTTTTTAGACATACTAATTTTAAACTGAAATAAGAACTAAAAAACAAAAGAAAGAAACTTCACATGCAATTGTATTCCTGAACACTGATAATTCTTATTGCATGCATTTGTAATTGAGAAAAGTAGATTCAAAATCTGTTAAATTACTATGACAAGAATTTTGTCATAGAAATTTTGTTGCGTGTATGAATGCATAAGTTCGATAATAGGTTAGTAAAAATTTATTTTTATCAAAAGAAACATTTCAGAACTAGAATTTTCCGCAGAAATATTCGTACAAGTATTCGCAGCATCACACAATATAATCATCAGTTACACAACAAAATACTAAGAATGTAAAATGCAATGCAATGCAATGCAAAGCGCATCTAAAGAGAAAGCTAACTCGGATATCTCAGTTCACGCAGAAGTAAACAACTCGCAACAACAGTAATTAAGCAACTGAACTGAGATGCTTTCTTTTCCAGCCTTTTCAACCGGTTGAGAGAAATTTCTAGTAATTTCTGAGATTTAAGCAATAAGAGGATGGAATTACAGTTACAGCTAAACATAGTGGTCAATTACATTTATTCAGTTTCAATTCAAGAACCCATTTACTCAATGTTAAATGTACATGCCCCTTTATTACTTTTTCGACATAACTTTCTCATAAAAATTTGCTTGTGCTACATTACACAGAAAAATACAATAGTTTTATTTACAATTCTATTAAAATTACCTATCTAAATACAAAATTTGTAACAATATCATAATAATGTTAATTTATAGAAAATGTATTCATGTGCTGCAATAAAATTGCTTTGGGGGCTGCCTGTTTCAGACCACTGTATTAATATTCTGTGACTCATAACCTTGTGAACTACTGTTTTGCTCAAATAGCATTATTAAAATGGGCACAATTTCTTTGGTAGTTAGTCTGTTGCATACACTATCTGTTTTGTATTGTGGCATTTTCTTTAAATTCCGATTTCATATTAAAACTGATATACCACAATTGGTAATTCAGCTTCTGAAATTTTTTTTAATGCTGTTTCATTGAACATGAAATATTTCAAATATATCTAAAGAAATAAATCACTTGTAAATATATTTTGAATAGCAGCATAATGCTACCAAGTCAGGCATTTCATCTACGTAATATGAACAAAGCCATTCAGGTTTTATTAGTATCGGCTGCTGAGCAGAGCAGTTGTGATAAACCATAAAATTTCAAAGAAACTGTAGAGCAGTCATATAATAACACTGTATTTCTAAAACGTTTTAGCAGTGAAAGTAAGTTATTTAAGTTATTCTGTGTCTGTAACCTCATTACAATTAAGTTCTTAGAGTGATCTGCAAGAAAAAAAGTTGTAGAGACATTTCCGTTCAAAACAAATTCACACATACTGTTGCAAAATTGCCAACTTCTCTGCTGTGTCCTATTTATTTGCATTTACTTTTTGGGTTTTATTAAATATTAAATGAGAAGAATGTGACAGTGCATACACTGTTGTGTGTTATGAAATTTCTAATATAAGCTATATTCAGGGCCGAATATTGATGACCTAAAATTTCACTCAAAATGTCCTTAAAAACAACCAGAAAATGTGCTTAAAATGGGGGGGGGAGAAATGCCATTAAAAAAATTACTGAACATGCACAAAAAGTCTTAAAGAGTTAAGAGATGCCACTGTGGAAAAATTCTCTCAAGAGACACTCGTACTTTGTGGGAAAAGCCTGTCGTGATCGATAAGACTAATAGTTAACATAATCAGTTTTCTGTGATAGGGCATGCTTGCTCAAGTCAAAATGAGTCCATAGGAGTTGAGACAGTGTTATTTCAAAAGTAACTATTTTTGAGTTTAATTACTAGAAATGTCTCAAAATGCCCTGAAATACCCAACTAATCCCATAAAAAACCCCAAAATGCTCTAAAAACTTCAAAAATAGCTTAAAAGAGGAAATTGTTAAAAAAAAAAAAAAAGTGTGCCATAAAAATCCTGGTCTTGATTGTTATAAACCCATAAGTGCATTCTAAGTACAAGCAACAATTCATGTTACAGTAAGATATTCAATCTTGTTCTTGAATCGTATTCTTAAAATGCAATAAAAAATTTCTAAGGAATTGTGATGTTAAATAAATATGAATTATTTTTTACGAATTTAGAAATTTGGAAAATTGCAGATGTACAAAAATTGCAGTTTGATATATTTACATTTATTCTACTAAAAATCTTTCTCGGAAGTATTAAAAATTTTCTTTTCTTGATTTTTAATTTAGGATTTTTTAAATGAGTTCAGTAAAACTTCTCCTTGTGTACTCTCCAGATCAGTACTTCAGGTGTGTAGCATTTATTTTTTTATTAATAATAATGTTATTATTAGTATTTTATTATTATATTATTTATTTGTTATTTTTTAATAGTCAAGCTACTTAATAATTAAAAAGCTGTTATGCTGTCGATTCCTTAGATTAAGTTTTTGTTCTGTCAGTGCTTCTATTTTGTATTGCACTGTTCAATAATGTTTCTAATATTTTGCGGATAATACATCTGCTTTATCAGTTGGAATCCACATGAATGGCTTTCTTGTGTTTTCTTCTTTTTATGGTTATTAAAATTTCTGTAGTTTCTTGCAAAAATTGCTTTACTTTTTATGATAGATATCAATGTAAATGAGATATTGAAAGGCAGATCTCTTTTGTAACATCAACTTATAGTAATTTTAATGGCTTCTTTGATTCTGAAGTGAGTATATGCAAGAGTTGTTGATCATTTCAACATGGTCCCATTCATAGAAGAATGTAAATGCTTATTAATATACTATGATGTACTATTTTCATTTGGTGAACATATTATAAGAGAGATTATATATATATTCTTCTTGTATTTTGCAATCTTTATTAACTTCCCTGGATGTTAAACCAATATTGGGAATTTCAATATAGAGGTTGCTTGAAAAACTAGGAACTTCATGAATTTCCTTTTTTCTCTAAGAGCTTGAAATAATTCTTAGAAGAATCATTAATCAAAACTTTAATGTTGCCTTGGAAATCAAAACCTTACCAAAGAATTTTTGAGTTGTAGGATTTAGCTTTTGTATGTTGTGTGTCAAATTTCTTAACTTTGATTTGCAGTAATCCTTTAAATCTGTATTTTAATTTGGGTATTTCCTCATTTCTACTCTGATAACAATATTTGCTTTTAATGCTCTACCTGAACTGCATCATTTCAAAATTAATCCATATCATATGATTCTTGCATGAAACTTACATAAAGGCCTGTAGTGATTTTAGTTGATTCCTTTGAGCATCAAAACTTTTATTAGATAAAGGGGAGGATGTAAACTAAAACTAAATCATTCTGAACTAAAATTTCATCTTGAGTACATTGCATTTGCTTTTTCCTGCTCCTAACTAGAGTGCTGTAGCTGCTTTTCGTACCACAACATCTTAAAAAATGCAAAATTTTCTTCAAGAACAGGCATGCTTATTTTGCCAAGTTATCTGCCACAATATGTCTAATATAAAAAATTTTAAAAAAATGTTTAACTTGTTTTGATAGCTGCTACTCTTTTTATGCATCAAAATTTAAATCATAACTTTTTTTTTTTTTAAAATAGCTGTTCACATTTTTAAGTTCTAACAGGGTTCGTAGCGGTCCTTATAAGTGCTTATAAGTCCTTATATTTGAAAATAAAATATAAAGGCTCTTATAGGTGCTTACTTTTTCTTTAAAGCCCTTAATTTTTTGTTTTTAATGCCTATTTTTTGCTTTTAGTGCTTTTTTTTTTAATGAATGCGCTATTTTTCCCCGTACCAAAGCCGAAACTAAATAAACAACTTTTCTTCCTAATATGGAATGTCAGATGGTGAATAATACTCCCGGAAATAGCTTTTCCCCCTTTCTCTGCATTAACATAACCTTTGGTGTGCACGAAGAGTACAGACAGGTGATTGGTCAAAGAATCGCGAAAGCAGTAGAAAATTCCAGTACATTCGGCGTTCTTTCCCCCCCCCCCCCCAAATACTACACACGTTTGAATTTCTATCAATTTCTTAATAATTTACATTCTCGTTCCGCTTGGTCAGTTCATATTCGTGTTTTATGCTTATATTATGAGCATATGTATGAAGAATATTGAAACTATTACAGTTCGCTGCAAAACAAGCAATGAACCTTTTTTTTTTTTTTTTTGTCACTTTCCAATCTGGATTGAATAGGACTAAAAGTTCTGCTGTGTACCAACCCAAGCAAAGAATGATTCTATTCCGGAAATTTAACGCAGTCTGTTGAAAATTAGAATGAAAAACACCAAAGTTATTTAGTTCTTTATTCTCCCAATACCGGCAGCTGTTGATTTTGATTGCGTAATATCATGTAGGGAAGAATTACGGCACACGTATTGCGCAATAACGTTTGCCATATTTTGCAGAGATAATTAATTTTGATGTTCTGTCCGAGATTTTTTATGAACACTTACTTACTTTTACTGTGCTTGCTAGGCAGAATATTTTTCAGTTCCATTGGTTTATTTTTATACGATATGGAAATGTCAAAAGCATTATTTAGTGTAAAAATCTAAAGAGCGGCTAACGTCTACCCCCCTCCGCTCCTCTTTTTCAAGTTACGCTCGACTGTCCAAATATTCGCCAATTTCTAAGTATGTGGGTTAGTTAAGCTTTTACTGTTAAAGGATGACTGCATGAAGCAAATTTCTGTCTTCTGATTTCAGAAATGTTCCTCTTTTTTACTTAAATTACTTTGCTTGCAATATCTGTTAAGTGAAAACTGATATACAATGAAAATGTTCAGAATTTAGATTTAAATTATTTAAATATCAATATGAGTGGAAAAATAAATTTAATTATTTTCCATGGTTGAGGTAATGCTTATCCTCTCTTAATAAATACTGCATTTCTCATATTTTAAATTACAAATCTAATTTTTAAGGTTATGCAGTTGTGTATAATGTAATTAGGCAGGTGCTTATTTTTTTTCTCAAAATGTGCTTGAAAAGTGCTTATAGGTGCTTATTTTTTAAACTTAAATGTGGCTATGAACCCTGTCTAATGTCCAGCAAAATAAAATTTACTATTTTCAGTTCAGCATAACTACTTCAGTTAGAAAAATTTTTCTTCTAACACTTCAAATCTTCGAGATTGCATAACAAGTTCAGTGGCAAAATAAAGGCAGGTTAAAAAGAAAAAAATATACTATATTAATTGTGATTAAATAGTACTTTTAAAAGTGCTTCTAGTATCTGGAAAGTTCCCCCCCCCTGCTACCATTTTCATATCAAAAACTACAAAAAAAGTTTTACATGTTAATGCTTGCAGAAATAGAAATGCATTTTAAAGGGATTTTCTATGTTGACATGCTGTGTAAAATGTTATTCATTTGCATCAAGGTTTGACCGATGGTTCAGTAGTTGTCTTCAGCAGAATTAAACTGTGTTTCTAATGTGATAAATGTTCTATGATATTCACTTTAACATCAAGTATTTATGTCTTCAAAAAATTCTGCTAATTCATTCTGTTACTTTGATTGAAAAAGTTAGGAAAATTATATGAATTATTGTTGAAAATTAAGGCATATTTATCTCTAAATGTTTAATAATTATAAATTTTATAGGTTCATTTAAAAGTATATTGCATTATTAATAATGTATACCAACAGATTTTCATAACTATAAGTGATAATTAGTGCAGATAAAAATGTTTTATATATTTGCCAATCAGACAATTGCTAATAATTATTCTTATATATTTTAACTTTGAATATGCATTGCTATTTTTTATAAAAATAATCAAATTAAAATTTTATAGATTTAGAAATTTATTTTGAGTAATTATGTTTAATAAATTTTAAAAGCATTTAAAAATGATAAAATTATTATTTTGTTTTGAATTGTCTGTTAGTAAATATAGCTTTGTGTTTAAAATATTGATTTAACATTTAAGTTTGTTATGCTGATATATTTTTGTTCATTGTTTTTATGATATATATATGTACGAATTTGATTGTGTACAGATAGGCAAAATTTTAAGCATAGAATTATTTTGTGAAAAAAAGGCCATTATGAAAAATTATATACCGTGAAATACGTTTAATGTGAAAACGCTTAAGACAAAATATCGGCTAACACAAAATAATACAGCGCTCCCAACAATGACCTCGCAGGCATGATTTAAGAGGGGTGTGACATGAAAGAGTTCATGTTTCACGTGTTTCATAGGAAGGAGGCTAACTTGGCTTTGAAATACCCTCAAAATAGCCTGTGACAAGAGCCAATTTTGTTTATCTAAGCTACTCTCACCTTCCACCCCTACACACAAACATCTCATCTCTCATCAGTTGGCTTTGGAAGTCTGTGCAAGTACATCGCAGTGTGAATAAAAAATCAGCGAGTTTGGTTCATATGTTGTACTCTGCATGTCTCTGTCTCTTCATAAGTTGCATTCTGCATGGAATTCAGTGACTCCAAGCATGAATGAAAATTGTTTTTGTCATGCACAACTCTCAAAAGTATCGGATTCTTTGGAGCCAAAGGACTGTCCTACTTTGATATCGGAAGAATTAATTGCAGTAGTAGCTGTGTCTGCAGCCCCAATTATAGCAGAAAAAGACATTTTGGAGTTTGTTCAAAGCTAAAAAAATAACATTGATGCAGATTCCAACAACGAAAATGAAATGAATAATGCAGCTCCTGTTCCCATGTCATCCGAAATGAAGAACATCATAAAACTATGCGTAGTTATTTAGGCGCACATTCCAATGGTGAAATGAATAACAAAATGGACGACATTGAACAATTTGTTAATAATTTGATGCTAAAGAAGACAGTGCAAACAAAAATATCAGATTATTTTCCAAGAGCTTAATAAATGTTTTGTTTTTCAAAATTTTGTATTAAATTTCATTAAGTTCTTGTGAATGTTTTTATTTAATTGATTTTTATTAAATACATGCCTATATGCATATCTATGTAAATAAAATGTACTCCAATAAACTTAATTTTGTTGACTGTATGTTTTTTTCCCCCCAATATCCTTTAACACGAAAAAATATTTCAGTCCCCTCAGTTTCATGTTAAACGATCTTCACTGTATATATTTCGTAAAATGTCCATATTATATCCGGAAGCATCTTACTGCTATCCTACATATATTCTTTATATGTGGGAGCTAACACATGTTCTAAGTAATTTTTGCGAGAATTTGAAATTTAATATAAGTCACAAATAGAATTTTGTCAATCAGCCAGCTAAAATAGAAGGTACTAGATAGTGTTTTAAGGTATTATAATTGGCAGTCATCATTAAATTGTAACATTTTCTCGATGAATATTTAAAGCACAAAAGTTATGTTTGGTTCTGAGAATCAGTATCTTTATTTTTTATTGCAGTTATTGTATTTAAGTGACCCTGGCAAAGTTTTAGGTTCAATGCACATTGTGGACGTGCTAAGGGATGCAATACGCACATTCATAAGGCCACCTGCTTTGCAGCCCAGGTATGTAATTTTTAGATACATCATGTCTGTAACTTTTAGAATGATAATAAAAGAACAGATAATGACTATAGGTTTAGAATGAAAAATTTTGGATAATATGTACATATTGCAGCTTTGAGCTAACTTTATAATAATTTTCAAAATAGAATGTATTAATAAAGTTATTTAATAGATTGATTAAATTATGAAAAATTCTTAAATTTCAAAGCTAAGAATTTAATTGAAGAGCTGCTATTTTGATATTAAAACTAAGAGAAGTTGTTTATTGTTTCTTGAACATACAAGCATAACTTTTTAACATGCATTAAAAAAAAAGTTCATGAAAAACTTGATTTATTTTCAGAAGACATTCATTCTTTCATATGTTTTAAAAAGGTTTATGTTCTCTGAAGGAATTTTTAAATGCTTTATCAGTGAAGCTGGAAAAACTTGTTTAATTGTATGTTTATTTTGAAATTTCTAGATCTCCCTTGATGTTAAATACCCAAGCAAAGGAATATGTTGACAGCTTTTTAGGACACTGTGTTCGTCCATTTTGTACTTTAGTACAAATATCTGGGCACAACAGAGCTCGGCAGCGAGATAAACTTTCCCATTTGCTAGAAGAATTGGCTGCACTTCAAGAAGAGGTCTGTAGGGAAGTTGTTTAGAATTTCATAAAAAATGTGTTTTCAAAATATTTTTGTGTGTAAATGTTGATATTATAGTTTAAAAATTGTGAATTGATATGGTAGTATTTAGCATTTTTTATAATGTATTATTAATAAATAATTTTTCTTTAATAATCCATTAATGTGTTTTGAAAATATACAACATATAAATAAAGAATATTTCAGTGCCATATCTAACTCTTAAACAATGTTTTCTTTACTTTTAAGGCTGATAAAGTAGATGCTTATCTTCATAATCTGTCTTTAAAGTCAGACAATCCTTGCCCTCACCTGGCTTGCTTTGGCACATGGGTGTTGTATCATACACTGAAAGTTATGATACAGTATGTTCTTTCTGGATTTGAATTAGAGCTTTATTCTAGTCATGAATATTCTTATATATTTTGGTGAGTAAGATCTTTTTTGTTTGTTTGTTTATTAAATAATTATGAAAATTTCCATTTTGTAGTGAAGCTTGTGTTGTATTATTGTTTTAGTTAATTTGAATGTGGTAAAATGTATTTATTTTGATAATTTTGTTGATCATGCTGTTAGATCATGCAGTAAAAATAAATGTCACTCATTTTTAGTGCTTTAGAATCAATAGTTAGTTAAGTTTTTGTGAGAAATTATAAATTTTAAGTAATTTTTATGTAAATGCTTTTCTATTCGATTATTGCGAGCATTATTGGATCGCATGTAACAGTATTTGCCTCGCTAGTGGTTGAGCAGTTAAATACTACTGGGAGTTCGATCCGGATTCAATTTCAGGAATTTCATGTGTCACATGAATACAAGCCTATTTCCCTTGAAAGCATCCCTTCTCTTAGGCAGATAACCTTCACATGCTTTGCCAAATTCAAATAGCTAACCTCATGTAACAGTAATAATGAAATATAAATAAAATGTAATTAGTTAGTTATTAAAATTGCTCAGTGTTATCAGAGATTGTTAATATGTTGTAAATGAATAAAAATTTTAAAAAAACATAAAAAGTCTTGTACCAAATCATATGTTACTGTGTTTTATATGAGATGACTGCAAAATTTTGTGCCCAATTTGAATACAAGTAGTCATATCGAAGAGAGACAGGTTGTTTTATATATATAGAATGTATCATTTTCTGTAGCTGCCTTTTAGTATTTGATAAGCATGAAGATTTTTTTCTTAATAGGAATTAAAATTTTTTTTTTTTTTTTCTGCAAAGACATTTGTAAGGGAGTTATTGGCATCTTCTGCAGTATCAAATCTCATGCTCTTCAGACTATTTTGCAAAGATTAACATATAGAAACTTAAAGCATGGAGGTCTGGAGAATACAATAGCTGCTGGAGGATTTTTCATTTTAATTCTTTATATTTTCATAGCACCATTTTTGCAGCATGTAGTCTAGTGTTCTCATGATAGATGATGATACTCTTTTTTGAGGCCAAAACCAGATGATTTGGTATATTTCCAAGATGAGTGAGTTGCTCACAGTACTTTTTTGCCATGATTATTTCCCTCTATAGGATAAGTTCAAAGTAATTCCCCCCCCCAAATGGAAACAATACTTCCATTATATGAAAGGCAGTTCTTTTTCATGCATTCTGCAATTTTACTTGCTTGTTTTAAGTTCCTTTTTCATTGTGCATTCTTTCGTGGGATCTGCGTTTTATATATGTGCTACGAGTCATTTCATGGGTACAAGCAGAGAAATGGCTGCAAAGACACCAATATATTTTCCCCTCCCAAATGAAGCTGCAGCTCATATTGTGCTTTGATGTCAATCTTAAGCTTCTTTTCTCCTCGGTTGTAATCGTTGGGTTATTTTCCATTAAACAATTAAAGGTCCCCCCCCTTTTTTTTTTTTCAAATGAGTATTAGTCTTTAAAAGTCTATAATTTTGATCAAAATTTGCAAGTAGTCCTTCATTTTATTCATCTGTTTTCATCCCTTTCCTGAAACTGCCATTCTGAATGCAAATTAACATTTTCAATGAATATGGAATTAAAACCATATGGTTTCTAGTGGCACCATTGCTGTTTTTAATGGAGGAGCAGCCAACTGCCTCAGAATGAAAGTTTATTACTCGCTCAGCATTTCAAAACAGATATCATCAACCAAAATACTCTGCTGAATACGAGGGCAATCCCAAAAAAAAGGGTCTCCTATTTTTTGGGGACGTAGAGAAAGTTTTAATACGGTTGTTGGCAACAATGTTGTGAGTGGTGCCTTCTCCGCTACCACATAAGCACGCAGGCGCTTCGCTCGGATGCTCAGTCTTGGCTTAGCAGCCATTTGAAATGGAGCTCCCGACAAACGTTACCGCCAAGTGCGAAGTGCGCAGTTATTCGATTTTTGATCACAAAAGGCGTTAAACCAGTTGAAATTCACCGCCTATTGATGGAAGTGTACGGACAGTCGTGCATGGATGTCAAAAACGTTCGCAAGTGGCGTAGAGAGTTTACAGCCGGTCGTACTGAAATTCATGACGAAGAAAGAAGCGGGAGGCCGTCGATTGCCGACGAGACAATTGCGAAAGTTGAGGAACTCGTGCGTAAAATTCAGAGGATCACTCTGGATGCTCTCTGCATTTTGGTTCCTGAGGTTTCCAGAAGCACCATCCACAGGATTTTAATGGAAAAGTTGCAATATCGGAAGGTGTGTGCAAGATGGGTGCTGCGTATGCTGACAGAAGACCACAAACGGCAACGGGCACCCAGCGATTTCCACCTGTTCCCTAAGTTGCAGGAACATTTGTCTGGACGACGGTCACCGATGATGAGGTGAAAGATGATGTTCAACGCTTCCTGAAAAGCATGGCGGCAAGCTGGTATGACATGGGCATTGTAAAATTGCCACAGCGTCTACAAAAATGCATCGAATGAAATGGCGATTATGTTGAAAAATAAAGCATTGTTCAATCTTTAAAGTGATATAGCAATTATAGAAAATAAACGGTTCTTTGTATATCTAAAAATATAGGAGACCTTTTTTTTGGGATTGCCCTCGTAAAATTTTTTATGCAGATATTAACCCATTAACTGTCAAATTTTTTCCTCTCAATTTGCATTTTCTGGCTGCCTAGATTGACATAAAAACTGGAAATTGGAATATAGATGGAATCTACCATGAGCCCCAAATGGAGATCAACATTCAAGTAGCCCTCACTGGAAAATAAAATTTGCATTGACAATAAATAGTTAGTAAATCTATTCTAAAGCCATTAGAGAACATGGCAGTACACAGGAGTTGGGAATGTTGTACATAATAATATGGCATACTATGCTTCGAAAATGTTGAAATCTTGAAACTCACAAAAATTTTACTTCTTCTCACACATAATACTCTTCAGCTTACTCATTTAACAACTATTCAACAATTTATGCAAAAGCTTGAGAAAGGTTTAAACGATGTAAAAAATGTAACCATTGTTGCTAACCCAATTAAAGTTACCAAATTTCCACTACTAAGTCAAATCTCAAAATGAGGATCATGGCAGTTAATAGGTTAAATTTATTTTTCACATACGAGATATTGATATATAGAAGTATTATTTACAATTCATATTAATATAACTGTCTTTAAAATGCACTTTTGTATAGTGCAGCTATGAAACGCATTCATAAGTCCATGCCTGCAAACTATTGTGCAATTATTTATTACTTCTCTACCATCCAAACCGTGACTGAATCATTCTGTGTGTCATTCATCAGAGGGAGCTACATACATTTTCCCCTCTAACATAATAGGAGAGGGAAGTATCAGACACTACAACATTACTATGATATTTTTAAAAGAACAACAATACATTAAAATCACGTTATTGAGAAAACAATTTTCATTTTGGCATTTTCGTTTTAATGATTTTGCTTTTTAATAAACTTGTTTATGTTAAATATTAGATACATATATAAAATTTGTTAAGATGCCACATATGAACAAGCATCTATTAAGATGTCATAAAGCAAAAGGAAATTTTTTCCCCAAATTGATTATTGTTGAGAATATTAACATATAAGTTGGTACTTTAGAAGATGATGATGCAGAGACTAGTAGGAATATTGATTTCTTTTTTGAAGCAAAACTTAAAAAGACATAAATAAACTAAAATATCCAGAAAATTTCATATTAACAATTATTTTATTGTGTTATGAATGTGTTGTATGTTTTGATGTAGTCTAATATCTTTTTTAAATCAACACAATAAATCATATGTGTAATTATATATTTCATGTAAAATTTTCTTAAATTGTGATTTTAATAAATTTTTTAATAGTGTAAATTTTCTTTAAAATATGTGGGACATTATAAGTGTAAAATATTACCATTTCAAGTAAGATATTTGTAATTTAATGCTAACTAGTTGAAAACTTTTAACATGTTTGATTTATTCTCAGACTTGCTTTTATTAAACTTGTTTATGTTTAATATTAGACGGTTTAATAATAATGCATACTACATTATTTTATGCTAAACAGTGTGTGTTGTGGCAGTTGCATAGACAATTGCTTTAATATATTCATCACTCTTTCCTGATAGGACCTTAATTTGTTTCGCTGATTGTCCTTAGAGGTGTATAATTTTTAGTTTTAGTAAATGATTGATTAAGGAACTGAACCCTGCTAAAGCATTCATGTCATCATTGTTGCGGAAAGGCTGTCTGAAATATTGTTTATTATTGTTACCAGGGTTAAATGTCACAATTTTGTAATCTGCAGAAACAGTTTTTCACTGTTCTAAGAGGCACACATTTGAAATATATGTCTCAAATACTTTTTTTTTTTTTTTTTTTTTTTGGTAACCAAATCACTAATATACCTCTTATTTCTCAGTTTTAATTATGTCTTTTCGCATATAGATTGAATTTTATTCAATGCTAACTTTAAAATAACTTATGTTCCTGTCTACCCATTGGTATGGTACATGACCATGAAATAAGCACCAGTAGTACCCTCTAGTTATGTTTCTGCTACCTTTAAAAATCAAGCCCCAAATTTTGCAATCATCCAATAGAACTGGCAAGAAATAAAGCTAAAAAAATCGTGCATTTGAGTTTAATAATTGATATTAGTGAGTTATTGGACTTATGCAATGATACAGCCATATTGGCAAATTATCGAAATTAAAAAGTGCAGCCCAGAACTTTGCACAGATTTTTATCAGCTTTGTCATTTAAAAACACACTTTTTTAATAGATTCATGGATGATTTTTATTATTTTTAAGCCTGAGAAGGAATAAATATTTTACATGACTAGCCACTTAAAGTAGTTACTGTAACAAGGGGAAAATATATTATGATTTTAATGAGCCCAGTTAAGGTAATTTTATAAAAATATTGAGGTGCTTATGTTTGGGTAGAGGATTATGTGTATTCAAAATTTGGTGGCTCTAAGTGCCATCATTTTTCCACAATGTGAAATACATACAAGCGGATTTTTCATTATTTAATAGTAGAGACTAAATTAACTATTATGCTACCATAAACTAGCAAAAGTTTCTAATTTGTATTTTGTTATATAATTTTATTATTTTTTAGGTATTTATATGAGTTTTTATATGGTTGGATGGTCTCTGCATTGTCCAGAGCTAATAGCTTCCTAAATGAGCAAGATATTAAAGCAGGTAAGATAATATGCTTAAAAATTATCCACTACAGACTATATTGTAATGCAATTCAGATAATTTTGAACAAATAAAAAAAATTATAATTGTACTGTAATGTTTTGGGGGGAGGTGTAAAATAAAAGTACTGTAATTTCGCGCGTATAGTCCGCGGACTATCTGTGTTTAAAATGCGAATTTTTGAAGCTGCGGACTATCCACCAGTGCGGATAATACGCTGGTTGTTCACGGTTAAAATCGTTGAAATTTAAAAAACACGCTATCGTGAACTGCCGATGATCAAATATAAAAAAAGCGCGAGATTCCAAGAAAACATTCGTATGTATCGTATCGATAGTAAACCATAGAGTATAATGCAGAACGAATGAGTAAGTAGCAAGTAGAGCTCCTAAAATCCAGGCTCGCGCATCAAGCGATGCCGGGATATGAGCCAAAGAAAGTTTTGTGTGAGCACTCACTTAGCGCAACCAGAGTCTTGTATCCCAGTATCTTTCGCACTGCTTTAGCGCAACTGCCGGGAGGGGGAAAAGTAGTTGATGCGTCAGCTCGGTTTTTGCGTTTTAGGAGCCATAGTAGCAAGTACCTGGAGTAGGAAGAAAAAAAAGCGTGATTCGTTTACTTATAGCGTGGTTCGGCAACACCGAGTGAGTGGGGTCGAAGGTCACATTTCATTACCACTTATCACGAGTATAGCACGTTGCACAGTTTTTTGTTTTCGTATTTTGTCTTTCATCTTCGATAACATTGATGAAACATCGCCGAAGTTTTTACTGCTGAGTTAAACTCAAGGTAGTTGAGAAAGCTGAATAAGATGAAATAGAGAAGCGGGCTGTTATTGGTTTAATATTAGTATTCGGTGAAAACGGGACATATACGATGAGTAGTTAACGGGTCATTCAAAGAAAATATATAGTTAAACATAGTATATACTATGTGTGTATACTATATATATAGGCGTTCTTTGAATCATTTTTGGTGTTGCGATAATTTTCAAAGTCGCACCAAGGCTGCACCGTATACTAGGATTTTACCCCGTTATTTTGAAGTGGACGAGAAAGCGGTGAGAAATTGGCGCAAACAAAAGGATGTGTTTAAAAGGCATGGGAATATTGCCGTATTAAAAAAACGTAATTTCGGACGTATAGTCCGCGGACTATCCGGTGGTGCGGACTATCTGACGATTTTTGAAATTTTTTTTATATAAAATCGTGTCTGCGGACTGACTATACGATGGTGCGGACTATACGTGCGAAATTACGGTAATTTAAAATATAATCACAATACTCTGCTGTTTTCTACACAAGGAAGTTTTTTTTCAGTAAAAATAAAAAGACCTTACCATGTATTAAAGATGCAAAATCACATATAAATAATAGTTTTGCATTCTCAAGTTGTTAAATGTATTATTAATTAATTATTTAATATAATAGTGTTCAAATATCTGTCTGTGTTTTAATTTGTATCATGGCATTAAAGAATATTTTCTCTGAAGTAATTTAAATTATAGTGTATCTCTGAAATCAGTTTTCATGGATGACAGTTTAATCTAGTACATGTAAACACAATATATCAACAAAATTTTAGGATTAACTTAACAAATTTCAGCAAACCTGCCAAATGATAATTATTGGAATAAAGGATAATTCATTAGGCATTTATACCTGAAGAATAGATGATGAAGACAATATTTTATAAAGCATTTACTTCTATGACATCACAATAAATGATATGATAAATATTATATATTTATTGTGGTGTGATTAATTGCCAAATGATAATTATTGGAATAAGGGATAATTCACTAAGCATTTATACCTAAGGAATAGATGATGAAGACAACATTTTATAAAGCATTTTTTTCTATGACATCACAACTTGTTTTTCCTAAAATCTTGCCTGTTTATAGACAGAATTATCTGTGCTTCTTTTCTCTAATCCAGTGAGCATCTGCTGCCATGGATTCTAAAGCTGAGTAAAGAATAGTGATAAAGTTTTGCTGTAAACCGAGAAACAGCAATGAAGACTTTTGAAGTGCTGTCATTACTGGCCCTTAAAATGTCTAAAACATACCTAGATCAAACATTAACACAGTTCAGTATTTTTCCATTGGTATGAATAATTTGCTGATGGGCATTTAGATATTGATGTTGAATCCAGGATTAAGAACACTGAAAAGTTCAACAGGTGTTTGTGAGAAATTGTCACATGTTTCTTCAAATGATATCTGATGAGCTAAAAAAAAAAACACTGGTTATAAAATTGTTGTGTAAGATTTTGGGAAAAAAATTGTTCTGGTTTAATCACTAATGCATTAACTGCAAAACAGAAGGATCAAATTTCTGCATTTCATGATTTGATCTAAATGTCAGGCATCAATCCTGAATTTTTTATTTTTATTTTTATTTATTTATTTTTTTCTGATAAATTGTAATTGAGTTGGAGGTGGTTCATCATGGTCACAAAAACTTTGATTTTTTAAATCTGAAGTCATAAAGATTATCTTTTTTTTATTATTGGAATAAGGGATAATTCATCAGGCATTTATACATAAGGAATAGATGATGAAGACAATATTTTATAAAGATGCATATGATGTTATCTATGAAGAGATGTTTATAATAGATAGAAGAAGAGAATTCAGTTCATTAGCTTGAAAAATTCTCAATTGAATAGCTGATTTTTTACTGCAGGACAGTCTTGTCAGACCCTTCTGTCAACTCGTTTTTAGATGAAAAAAAGTTTCATAAACCTATGCCCCCTTATTCTACAGATTTGACACCTGCAGTACATTTTAGGAAAAAGAAAGTCTTATCTCAAAGGTCATTACTTTAATAGCATCAAAGAAATCTAGAAAAGTGTAATCAGAGTCTTAAATTAGTATTTCAGAAGATGAATTCTATGATAAAATCAAACAGCTGTATGAACATGTCGAACATTATGTAGACTTTTAAGAATTGTATACCAGCATAGCCATAAAACTTTGTAGACACATTGTGTATTTTTATTTTTTCACTATACTGAAGAAAAGTGTGGAATTTAATTTCATTGGGTTCATAAGTTACAATCTGCCATGCATAGATTTCCATACGGTGCTGCATGATGTCTTGGGAGTAATGATTACACATTAAAAATACAGATTAGACAGTATTTTATGTAGATCTTAATACAGTACAAAAACTATAAAAATTTAAATATTAGAGGAAAGTATTTAATACTGATGAGCCTAATACTAATGCATGTAAAAATGTCTGTCCATATTTTATATACTCTTTTTAGTATAAAATATTGAAATCTTTTTTTGTCTGGGAGATTTTTATCAAATTGAAAGCCTGTTAAATTATTATATTTTAAATAATTGCTTTGCCTTATAAACATTATGTTAGAAATGAAAGCAAATCATACATTTTGTATTTAATATATATGAGAAATAGGACTTTAGGATTTCTTCATTGAATCATGAACACATTATTCATCCTTTGTCAGACCTAAAAGCATCTTTCTTATGTATGGAAGCTTGTGAGTATTTGTATTCGTAATAATATAAGTATTCAAAATTCTGTGCTACAATAGGCAGATTTAATTTTGGTATCTCAGTACTGCAGGTAACTGGTAACAAATAAAATAGTTTTACTTTAGATTTCAAATTTATGATATCTGCACTGCATTCTTAAAATCTTAGGAAAAAAAACTTGTTATGCTACATGTTGAAGGTTAAGGATTTAAGGACATGGTTGCAGATGGATGGCTGATATATATTGGCATTTGTTGCAGCTCTGATTCTTGAATAATCTTACAAAAAACTGTGATATGTTTAGGGTTAATATTTCAGAAATTATGTTAGTAGCAACATTTATATATATATATTGTATACATCACGCTTAAATTTCTTATGCATTTTTGAATGTATTTAAAATATAAAAGCATGTATAATTATATTCATTTGAGCAAGTTTAATGCTATTCTTCTAAATTAAAATATCATATAGTTTTAAATTGCTTTAACAGAATTTGTAATATGCTATTTATTTCCATTTTAAGACCAGTTCTTGCAAAAAGGAAGAAACACGAAAAGAAACAAAAAGAAGAAAAGAGTTCAGCCTCATAAAAGGGAAATCATCTTAAATCAAGCATTGCAGAATTTATGTGGTGGCTATTATAAGGTGAGAATAAATATATGTAATTTTAATAAATAATTTGTATAGATAAATTTTAATAAAGAAAATTTTTCACCATATGTACTTTTCCTGATGAAGAGAAAATCAAAGTAATAATTTTCAAGGTACTGTCTAACCACACTAGCGAGAGCAGTTTGGCTGAGAGCCATGATGGGTCAGTTTAATTGAAGGGGTGTGGGTGAAAAGCATGGGTATTTTTCCCTCTCAGAGGTTGTAGTGGTTGTAACAGCTTTAATATTGTTATTAATCTCTCGTGCATTTGAAATAGGTGAATAATAAATAATGTACAGGTTACTGGCAATATTGAAACGCAGGCTCGACAGTTGCATGCATTTTCTTGCACAAAGCATGTAATTATTTTTTTTTAAATAAGTTTTTATACATTTTCTCCTCTTGTTTGTATGTTGCCATTTGTTAGAGTGTAAAATAAAAGTTATAGCTGTGTTCCATCATTGGAGTTTACTTCAAACAGAGTTGCCACTCAAACAGGAGAATGAAATTCCCTGACTTTTCCAGGTATGTTTCGAGAAAATTCCAGTCTATCCGCATAATGTACGTTGGGTGTGGTAAGAGGTAAATTAATTATGGTATTACTTGTACTGTGTAGCAAATTCACTTAATTATTCAATAAATCTCAGAGGACATTTATTCTTAATTATTCTTAGTACACTTTGTTTGATAATTTTGTTTATTTCCACTTAAGAAACTTAATAAAATTTAAGATATATATACATTAGATAACAATTGTACATTTTTTTTAAATTATTACTCATGATCATCACCAGTTCAACATGAGGCTAATCCGGTTCTTATAAATAACAACGCAATGCTAAAAGTTAGGTTAGATTTTAGGTAAATTTAATTTGTGTAAGGTGTCTTCTTGCACCTTAACACTTGAAAACACAAATATAATTATAATAGTTGTTTTCTCCACTGAAGATTGAGATTAGAATCTGCCCGATCTGGAATAAAATAAGGTTATTTTTGCAGACATTCTGCAGCTAAATGAAAGAAAGAAATCTATTTAATGATATTTTTTTACTAAATTGAGGTATTTTATATTTATTTCGCAGCATACATAAGAAAAAAATATGTGCATTAAATTTCGTGATGTCATCATACTGCTAGAATTAATTTCAGGATTATGCCAGAGAAAATTTCCTGAAATTTGGAAATATTATTTACTAATGATAATAAATTTAGAGGGAAGAAGCAACATTAAATGATATGAATAACATAAAAATAAAGATAATTACTTAAAATTGAATTAGAATAATCAACGATATTTTAGCGAATATAGTTAGCCTAGATGACTGATTACTATTTTTTTATTTTACTGCAAAATGACAAGGTATATTAAAAAAAAAAGAAAAAAAAAAAAAAAAAAAAAAAAAAAAAAAAAAAAAAAAGATTTTGCGGTAAAATCCTAGTATACGGTACGGCCTTCGCATGATTTTGAAAATTGTCGCCAAGAACAAAATGACCCGTTTACTGCTCATCACCATGTCGCCAAATCCCGTAGTACCATACATGGAGATTATTCTAACCAAAGAACGTCTATGTGAAAAAGAAAAGGTTCCATACACGTAAATGCTATTACGCTGCTAGAAAGCGGAGGGAAAATTTGCCAAGGGATTTGACGACGGAACCTGGCGACCAGAATTTCTCTCCGCGATGTGTACAGGAAATTGGGAAACACGTGTTAAGAAGAAACGTTCTTTGACAAAAAAGAAAACTACGAAAATCAGTTTTTAAATTATTGCGAAAAATCTAAGAAGAAACGTTTTATCAAAGAACGTTTTTTCTTGGATTTTTCGCAATGATTTTAAAAACGGATTTTCGTAGTTTTTTTTTTCCCCCTCAAAATAACTAATCCATGAATTAATTTACTTGCGCCAAAAAATATTTTCTTTTCCTTTAGAGTTTAAAGAAATTTTAAACGATATTCATTTTATGAACTCTTGATAACGTGACTTTCGAACTTTGGCGACAGATATATCGCGCATGCACAGCTCTTTCCCTATATGATGGAACGGAGCCACGTCTGTTACAGAGAGGTTTTCCTTCTTTACAATACATATTTTTTTATTCTAACCTTCATGGTACCGTATACTAGGATTAAACCCATTTTATTTATACGAGGACAGGTACTTTCTTCATGGTACCATATACTAGGATTAAACCCATTTTTTATTTTATACGAGGAGAGGTACTTTCTTTAGTTCATGCACTGCACATGCGATTCTCGAGGTTACTGGAAACCAAAAGTTGCGGGAAACTTGCTTTGCCTTTCTAAAAGACAATCAAATTGGAGCTGCGAAAATTGGCTCTATGCCAGCTGCCCGAATGACACTCACGTGATACACAATTCGCCAAAAAAGTAATCTCTTCCAACGTCGACGCAAAACTCGCCTTTTTTGGCGGTATCGTTGTATGAAATTACCCGACTTTCCCAGATTTTGACTAAAACACTTAAATTCCCTGACTTTTTTGGTCAATTTCCGAATTCCCTGACTTTTTCCGGTTTTCCAGGTAGCGTGGCAACCCTGTTCAAATTGTTTAAGAAGTATCGCAGGGTGTGGGTGAAAAGTGCAGGTATTTTTTTCCTCTCGGAGGTTGGGGGTCATGTAGTGCTTTTTCTTACAATCGTTGAGCATCTCTGTTACTGGCCTTCTTTTACTTCCAAACTTCATTTTTACGATGAGTTCTAGCATTCCAGAAAGCTCTAAAAATAAACCTTTCTGCAGCAATTTTAAGAAATTAGTGTATAACATGATTAAAGTTTGTGATGAAGAATCACAATTAGGAAGACTTACCATCCGCAGCCAAACATGCAGAGTGAGTAAGATGACTGGCGTTTCTATTGCCAGCATAAACAGAATTCATAAAGAATCTGAAAGTAAAGAAAATGTTGAATTCTCTTCCTCTTAAAAAAAAAAAAGAAAAAAAAAAAAGAGAGAAAAGAAACTGTTGTAAGTAAAGGCTTAGATAATTTTGATTTGGATATTTTAAGATGAGCAGTTCAAGACTGTCAAGGAAAAGAAAGTGCCAACTATAACCAAACTGCTATACTGCTTTTAATTCCTCTATTAAAAGATGCAATCAATTTTCCTTGGCAAAAAGAAACGCTAAGAAAGATTCTCCGAGAAATTGATTTCATCTGGAAAAAGTCTCGGAATAAAAGAAGCGTTTTACTAGAAAGACCTGACATTGTTTTGTCTAGAACAATGTATTTGAAGAATATTTAAAAAGTACGTAGAAGAATCCCGTCTTCTAATTTACATACATGAAACACGGGTGGACAGCAATTTAATGTTTGGAAAATGCTGGCAATCAAATGAAGTCAGTGGGATTTTAGAAACAGGGAATGCCTCTCGACACATAATAATTTTATGTGCTGGTGGTGAGATGGGTTGCATTCCCAATACTAGTTTAATTTATAAAGCTAACTCTACCACTGGTGATTATCACGGACAAATTAATTCTTCAATATTTGAAAAATAGGCAAAGGAGAAGTTAATTTCAAACCTACCGACAAATTCCGTTATAATTATTAATAATGTGCCTTATCATTTGGTGCAGCTAAATAGAACTCCCAAAAAAAGGAATATATAATGCAGTGGCTGACAAAAAAAAAAAAAAAAAAAAAAAAAAACATTTTTGTCCGAATTTGCGAAAAGTGGAGCTGCTGGATTTAGTGAAACAAAATGCTCCCAAAGTCAAAACTTTCAAATTTGATTGTATAATGGAAGAAAAAGGCCATACCATTCTGCGACTCCCACCATATCACTGTGATATAAATGCCATAGAATATGTATAGGCTGAAGTAAAAAATTATGTTCGAAGTCAGAACATGACTGCAGATATAAACATGTCAAATTTATTACGTATACAAACGAGGCTGTTGAAGGTGTTTCGGTGAACAATTGGAAGAAGTACTGTGATCATGAAAAGAATTTAGAAACTGAATATTGGAGAAAAGATGGTATAGAGGAATTTTGTGAACCGTTGAATTTTACTGTCAGCGACAATTCGGATTCTGAATTCTCTACAAGCTACGAGGACCCTTAATGCTGTGTCACCAAGATAAATGTAAAGGGGGAAAAAGGTATGGAATGTCCAATTAAAACTAAAATAATTTTTATGCAACCTCTTCTCATTAAATTGCTTTATTTTATTTATAGATCATTTGATTATATTAATAAATGTAATTTATTAAAGAATCTTTAACAGATAAAAGGTTTTCATTCAATGTTTGAAAATATTAAAAATGAACTAAGAAGCATTATCTAAATTATTATTAATTTAATTGTTATTTATTAAATTATACTTTCTATTAAAATATTTATAAACTGATGATGAATTGTATTAAGACTATTACAGTTCTTTTAATGGTTTTTCTTTGAAATGTCACGATTTGATGTTTCTATGCATTTTAATTTAATTCTATAATTTAAAAATTTCATGGTACATCAGCTTAAAATGTATAAAGCGCAGACAAAAATTTTTTGTTGCGCAGCACTGGAAAGATAGATTGTGAAATGGAAGAACCATTTAAATCTAACCGTGCTACCACACTCATCCCTACATCACTGATAGATATATACCCACTTCCGCTTCAAATCGGATGTTTACATAAATCTGGAATACGTGGTCGGACAGTAATAATTTTTTTCCCTTGGTTTTAAATTTTAACATTCATAAAATGTGATAAGAAAAATATTTTATTTCTTAGGCTGTTACAGGATTCAGTTTGGATGGCAAACTTAAATGTCCATGTGTAGCATTTGATAATGAAAGAGTGAGATATGAACATCGTTTTGCACCCTTCAATTCTGTGCTGACTCCACCTCCAGTTCCTTATTCTCAGTTTATAGAAATGACTGATCTTGGACAGTATAGGCCACGTCCATCTCCTGAAGACCTTTATATGGACGCCTGTAAATGTTTTCATCATGCAAGGACTAATATTGAAAATATCACAGATCCAAATGAAGAAGTAAGTCCATTGTTTCTTAAATGAAATAACCTTTAGAATATAATTGTACCTGCATAATGTATGCTGGAGATAATGCTTTAATTTCATGGAAATAACTTAGATACCCAGTTAATTTCATGTTCTTTTAAAAATTTATTTATTCAATGCCATGCATATTGTCCAGCAATGGATCTCAGTTATTCCCGGACTTTGCTGATGATATCCTCTTGCATTACCCAAATGTAAGAGCTCTGATTTTCACATAACTAAAAATTAACTGGCATCAAATCAGGAGAATGGGATGGAACCTGAAATACAGTAATACCCAGTGCATGTAATTCATATTTTGATATTTAGTTTATGAATGACGTATCCATCTCATAAAGAAATACAGAGTGCTTTATTTAACATTACCCATTTTCAAAATAGGATAGCATATTTATTTTACAAAGCAAAGCAAATTTATTTGTCTTGCCATGATGTGGGTAGTCCGATGTAAAGTAGACTTAGCAGTGGTCAAGTGGTAAAGTTGCAGAACATTAGCAGTTTGACCTGAATCCCATTGACTGAGCATTTTTTATAGTGTGTGTGTAACATAAATACAGGTGATGTGTAACACAAATATTTCTCCTTGGAAACTCTTTTGCAAAGGCATTCCTTTTGCTAGGTGGATAGCTTTTAAATATGATGATGATTAGATGAAATTAGATGAGCTTTTAAATACCCAATATAAAATGTCTGCTACAGTAAAGTCTTGAGGAACTAGAGGAAAGAGAATGATTATCATTAAACTGAAAGAGAATATTTTTAATGGGGGTACTTGCATCTTACCTTGAAACAGCAGCCTTAAAAATGCAGTTTATTAAACCGTGTTAAGATGGTGGTATAAATGTCATAAAGGCATAAAATGCGGGAGTTTTGTTCACACCCACGAGACAGGGTCTAAGCCGTAGCCAGTTAGAGAAATTAAATTTGTGCATGCATTTGAATGTGTCTACAGCTTTCCTGCTCAATAGGTTTCACGTGCTCGTTCTGATTGGTTGACTCTTATACCAAGTCGGCATAAGGTTGAAAACTTCGAACTTTATACCCAAACCCCTAGAGTTTTTGTGACATAGCAAGGTATGGTTACCTGCTAGGTAACCATACCTTGCTATGCCGTAAATACGAAGCTTAGCCGAAGCCAGTTATGACATTTATACCACTGTCTGAACGGAGCCTTGGGGGATGGCAAATGTTACACATGAATCACTATATTGCATCATTGTAAATGCACCTGGAAGCAATGACTTGTCATAAAGGACATCTCTAAGATGTTGAATTGAAGAAATGATTTGTGAATCCAAGATACTTAATTGTGTTCATTTGTATTTTTTGTGGGTAATGTTACCTGCTACACCTTGTACGTATACAATGGTAACTGTCATGAAAACAGTTGAACAACAAATTTTAGAAAATTTGAAAAAGTTATGGAAAAGCAATTAATTTGAATCATAAAGTTGAAAGCAAAAGCATTTGAAGAGACAAGCAAAAATGAGTAATTTTTCTCCATGAGGAATTAGATAAGATTGTGTTTGTATCTCAAGCAAGATTTTGAAAAACCCAGTCGTTAACTTTTACATCTGGATCCAAAAGAAAATTATTTCCAAGTCAGTGCTTTATTTAATTCACATTTCAAAATTGTAGTCATTCATTGTTTAAAATACCGAGTATAGATGAAAGTTTTTGTTTTTCAATGAAAGAGTTCCATTATATTATAGACGTTCAATGTATAATGTATTCTTTTAAATTCTTGCCTTTTATCAGGTACCTTTTTTGTTCCTCTCTATAATCTAAGAAGCTTTGTAGTCCATTGCAAATATTGTCTGCTCCCTAATGATTCGCTAATAATGTGTGCATTTCTGTAAGGGCGTTGTGAAGATGGTCCAGCTATGGGCAGCTAATTTTTTTTTGACAGAATTTGTGAACTTTTTTTTTTCTTTTGTCTACCCTAAAGTACCATTTGATATTACTTTAATGATTCATATGATTATGGCAAAGCACTCAAGTTCTATCTGTATTAAAGGGAGGGATGCCTTAGTGGAGGACTTTCTAAGGGAAACTGGCTCGTACTTACATTACATACATATGGGGAAAACGTCCATGAGATTCAAACCTCGGACCAAACTATCAGCGGTCAGCAACTTTACTGATTGGGCCTGACAATATTTTAAGGGAATCTACTTTTTATCACAAATTATCATTTGACGTAAATATCTACTACAGTGCAGACAGATGTAAATATCTATTTAATCTGATTGGTCGATTAGTTTTCGAGTTATTAGTTGATTAGTTTTGATTTATTTTTCGAGGCAAAGTTTGAAACACATCAATTCACTTTTCTCTTTCCAATAAACTGTGGTATCATTTGTTCTAAAACCCAAGCTGTGTTGCTCTACGGGTCTTCCTGACCTTTTTGGTCTTCAAGCTGCCCTTCACTCAAACTAATACTGGTATGTGCATTCTAATGAAGTATTATTATCTCATAACCTTCATTTTCCCCCTCTCAACCACTTATCACAGAAAAGTATTTTGTAAGTTTATATCAGCATTTTTTGATTACAGAATGGTGGATAATACCATATTTCCATGCCAGGAACTAATGAATATAGGTAAAATATTCATGTCAATAAAAATACGTAAATGTTAGCATTTAGCCAGTAACTCAATCATTCAAAATGGGTATTTTAATGAATAAATATATAATTTAATTGCTGTTATACAGGTGATTAATATAATGTCTATTAATGTGAATCTATAATTTGTTTCAGGTGTTAAATCTACTGAAAGTAGCAAAAACAAATTTTATTGTTATGAAGTTACTTCTGAGTGGTCATAAAAAGCGATCAAAAGTAAGTTACTTTAAGTTTTAAAAGACAAAACTTACATACTTGATAATGTGCTCTTATGTTTATACATTTGAAATTTAGTTCTAAATATAAAATTACAGTTGATTAAACTGAATATTAATTAAATCACTGTTTTCTAATTGCAATTTAGTGCTTTCCACTTGCAGGTAAAATTAATACAAAAATTACAATGAGTATTTAAAATAAAATATGCAGTTTCTCTTTGTGTAAATAATAAAAAATCTATATTAATTTATTTGACATTTTCAAATATAACTATATCAGTTTATATATTATACATTATTACTTGAAAAGTTCTTCAAAAATGAAAATGAATTTCCTTTGTTATTCATTCTCTTCTTTTTTTAATTAAACACAAAAAATGAGTTTCTTAAAATATAAAACAAAAAATCATTAGCAGCTTTTGAACAGTTTAAAAAATATTAGATTTTTTTACTGTATTAACAAAGAATTTAGATATTCTATTCCAAATTAAGATATTAATTTTATATAATTTTTTCAACATAAAAATAAAATCAAAGGTAATTTTTATTAAACTTCTTAAAAGTTATAAAATGTTGAACATAGCAGTAGAGATTTAAAATTACCTAGTTTGTTAAATATGTATATGATTTTTGAAAAATATATTATGTTAAAGCACTCAATGTTCTTTTTCTTTAAATAGGACACTCCGGAATTTGATTTCACTGTGCATAAGAATTTTCCAATAATCAAAATAATATGAATCACTCGATCATAACTTAGGTATTTTTAATATTTGTATAAAAACTTAATAAGCAGTTTTGTTCACTTCTGTATCTAAACTGTAAATGATACGTGTATTTAACTTGAAAAATAAACTGCTTATTTATTTGAGTATGATTATTTTGTGGATAAATCATGTTTTCTTTTTACAAAGATAATGCCCTAAAAAATGGAAAAATATTATCATATTTCATCAAATGCATACAAATTCAAATACATTCTATAACATAAAAAGTAATGCACTAAGGAGTTCTCCAAACGGAATGAAATTGCATATACCTATATCTTGCAACAGAATATGCAAATGATTAACTTTAGGTGGCCAGTGACTGACTAAATTGCATTTTCTTTTAAAGTTTTAATAATCAGCTGTACTATATTAAATAAATTTTTAATAATTACCTGTGCTCGTCAAATCTCCTTCTAAATTGGGGCAGAAAGTAAACTACACTCAATTTCTGGTTAAACAAGAAACATCGAATAGGATACAGTTTTGCACTAGTCCATCTGTAGAGAGGCATAATGGAGCTGTTTCAATGCTAACAGTAACTGAATATTTATTTTTCATGCCCATTTCTTTAACATTTTCAGCTGTTTTTGTCCTTGTACTTGAGTATTTCGTAGTGATTTTGCTATCGAGAAGAACGGGCATTCTGCATTAATAGAGTTTTATTCCTTTGTTTCTACAGAAACATTTAATTTTTCATTAAAAAAAAAAAAAAAAAAAAAACACAACTCATGTTGTCTTGTGCTTTTGCGTATGCATATGTTTAAGAATATTTGCCCTTTCACCATGCGAAATCGAAAAATTTAAATGACAATCCGTACACATTGCAATGTACTACATTTCCTTGATAACATAAGAAAGAAATCTACATACAAATTTTGAAAGGTACAAAAGTATTTTATCTTCTTCCTAGACCTAACTAAGACAAAAGATTCGAATTTCTTAAACTATTTCTCTAAAGCACATGAAACTCATCAGAGAAACAAAATACAGATTCAGTCTTGCTTGGCGCTCATGATTGATATATTTCAAATGATCGGGAAAGGCACTTGATGTTTACAGGAGAACAGAAAATGACATTTCTGGATATATGTCCTCTCATACATACAGCAGAAGTGTGCCGTATGTCTGAGAAATTTTAAGAATAAGAGAAAATTAGGAGAAATATTTTGTAAATTGGGTTGGTTGGAAATCAGGAGAGATGGCAACTCTGAGCTAGTATTTGTAAATTTAATTTAGAAACAAAACCCTAAATAATATAGTTCCTGATAACATTTTGAAGGACACAATATATGCAAAAATATTCTTGGAAATGTGACTCAAATTTTTCATCACTTAATGTGATGAAATCTGTTTAATGTGAATCATCTGACAAATTTCCTAATTCACAATTTTAATTTAAATTCACCAGTATTTTATCACCTCTATAATTATCAAATCTACTAATTAATATAATAATTCAAATTTGTTTACCTTTTAGTTATTGAACATGAAACTTAATAGTTTATTAACCACGAATGGTAATAGTAAGAAATAATAGGTTTTCTCAATCACTTTTTATAAATCTAATAAATTTCTCAAAAAATGCTTTTATTATGAAACACATATTTAACATAGCACACTCTGGCTGAAAAAAATCAACAAATATGCAAAAGAGTTAGTACAGAACTTAAAAATCATATAATGAAGATTGAAAATAGGCATGAATAGAACATTAGATTTTTTCTGAATTTTAGATGTCCTAATCTTATGAACACAAGTATAATTCCTGAATTTATAGTATTTCCATTGAATGTGAATTTTGCCGTTAAATGACAAATAAAAGTACATTTTAACATTCAGCCAAAAATAGTGCTGTTGTCCTTCAGTCAAAACATTGCGAATTTTTGTAGTAGCGAGCATTTGTTAAAAATTTCAAATAAATATTTATTGTATCAAAGAACTAACTGATGTCCATAAGAAGAGCAGATTCAGAAACAGATCCTGAACAGTCTTTCTGAATACTCTCAAAGAGAATTTGAAGTTCTGCAGTGGACTTGATTTGAGCCAAGAACTCATTCATCAATGGATTCTTATCTAGAAGGAAAAGGAGAATGTGTTTTGCTTCAGATAAACTTATATAAATGTGTATATGCAAATAAGATTACATTTTGTAAGAATTTGGCTATTTTAAAAATAATACTAAATGAAATAACATAGAATGGAAGTCTGAAATCTGTATTAAAATAAAATGTATTACCGGCATCGGGCACAGCTAACAAGGCAGTAAAAGCTCTCATGGCAGATCGTTTTAATTCATCTTGTTTCTCAAACTCTTGCTTCACAGAATTTGCTTTAACTTTTGTTGTACACGTGGCTCTCAGAGGCTCCACCAGACGCTCTATCCCTTTATTAAAAAAAAAAAAAAAAAAAAAAAGAGAGAGAGAGAGAGAGAGAAGAGAAAGCTATTATTCCAGACTGCATGAATACAGAGTAGAGGTGGCATAGTACAAACATGAAAAAACAACTGTGACTGAATTATATAAGTTAAAAAAAAATTTACAAGATGCAAACAATGTTGAGAAAACAACTTTCTGTAAACTGTTAAAACAAAGGAAAATATTTCAGATATCAAAATATTAGTTATATGTCTACTTCTTGACACATCTCTTTAAAAATTTAATAAATAATTTGTTATATTATAATACAGCAGAAACTCATTCACCTATCACTCTTTTAATTGTCAGTTTCAATCATCTACCAGACACTAAGAAAGTCCAATGGATATGATGCATAAAAATTTTAAAAAACACAAAATCATAATTTAAAATAATGTTGCATGTGTATGAGTTTGCGGTAGATTAAATGCATACAGAACTGATGACAGCTTAATAAAATTTACTAAAAGAAACACAGTTCTGGAACTTTCCACAAAATACTCATGCTGCTCATCACACAGTACAATCAGCAGTTGCACTTCAAACTGCTAAGAACATTAAACACAATGCAATGAAAAGAGCATCTATAGAGTGAAGCTCACGCAGAGATATTTCAATATTCCCAACTCACGTTGAACTAAACAACTCCCACTACTGAGAAACTGATGCTCTTCTGTGTCTTATATAGTTTTCCCCTAGCCGCTGAAAAATCTCTGGCATACAAGCACTGGATACTGTTACAATTACAAATATAGATTAATTACATTTATTCCAATTACAGTTATACATGGACCAGACCACAATGTGACCAAGTATGGTGACTTCTCGCCAAAACCATCATCAGCTTGGCAATATGCCGCCAATTTAGCGAGATAGTCATTTATTCGATGTTAAATAAGACTTGCTCGTAAAGCTTCACCTCTTTAGATTTTCATGTTACATTACACAAAACAAATACTACATTTTCACTAAAACTATTTACACTTATACCAAATTCGTAACAGGAAGTTGCACGGTACAATGTTACCATATCTAGAACATAATATTGTACTATCAATAAAATTACACACAAAAAAATTTCACTAAAAATTACAATGCGAGTTCAGTCATCATGAGATATTATAATTTACCAACAGTTTGTAAACATCATTTATTAATACGCATATAAAATAAAGAAAAAATTTTCTCCATAAAAAAAGAAAAGAAAAAGGAGAGCTACTGTGTCATCAGTTTTAAATTTTAATCTCGATTTTTATTCATATTATACTAAAAATGGATCTTTGCAATCAGATCTGGTTGATAGATATTTGAGGTTCCACTGTATAAGACACTGTATCACTAAAAAAAAAAAAAAAAAAAAAAAAAAAAAAGAGAAAGGTTTCAGATTTTTAAGGCCCAAAGGAGCCTTTTTTATCGTTTTCTGTGTTACCTTTATTTATTAAATATCATGACTTTGCCCTTAAACCATCAAATTCAGTTCAATAGCAATGTCGCAAAATAATTTTAAAATGAGCATATCTTTAGAATTTCAGATGCACAGTTCCGCGCGCTGGAAATAAAAAGGTCCCCCCCTCGTAGAGTGTTGCCATAACTCGCTTTTAAATAGTTGAGTTTGCTACTCAAAAATTCGTTAAAGTTTTACAAACTATGAAATTGATAATAAAACAAATTTCAAATTTGGTCTTCCACATGCCCATATTCGTAGGAGGATTATGTCATTCAAAATTCGATGGCTCTATGTACCATTGTTTTATCACAATGCAAGAAATATACATACATTTATGCAGATATTTCATTATTTAATTTCTTCAAATATAATGCAGGACTCTTAACATTTGGTGGCAACAGTTTTGAAAATTGATTCAACGCAAACTTCAATGACAAAGCCCCTTTGGACTAAAAATTATCACCTTGTCTTATCATCCATCAGTTCCTCGTTTATGCTGAAATAATTCTTTCCAGCTATACTTTCACCCACATAAAAAATAAAAATCATATGGGATGAGCTGTAAAGTAGGTGGTCAAAGAAAAATCTTACTGAAAATACTACAGCAAGACAAGGCGTAGACAATACTACAGCAGTGTAGGTATTATTTATAGTGATAAAGAAATACATCTGATATCAACATACATTGTCTTGAATGGTATATAATTAAACTTCGTATATAGTACTCTAATTACTACCTACCATCAGCTTTTTGTTTGAGAAAGTACTTAAAATTTCTGATTTTCTACAGTCAGTGATGTGCATCCACTATCAAGACTGACAGCTCTTTGGTCTCCAAATAAAAAAATGTAACTTATTTTTTAATTTCTGTCACATTTTTGGCATTTTTTTGTGCAACTGTATAGCACTTTGAATTCCCCCTCCCCCAGTCTCTTACACGGTAGTTTTTATGATTTTCTTTGGACCACTCACATATTTTAATTTGTACTCTTCAATGATGATAGTCGGTTTTTGTTACCATTTCATGGAGATAAAAAAAAATAGGTTAGTCTTTATATATTTTTTGAAAAAAAATTATATTTAATTTATGTTTTGACTTTTTTACTTCACTATGAAAATATATATATAAGTCAATATTTTATATCCAGGTTGTTTGATTCTCTAGCACTAATTTGTTAATCAATAATAAAGAAAGCTTGCATGATTAAAATGTTTACAATAAATTCAAATAGGAAACATACTTTGTAATACAGCAGAAGGGCAAAGGGATGCAAGTCGAACTAGCATCAAATAAGTCAACATCTTAATATCGTAATGATCTCTTAAACCATCTTCAACATGGTTTAAAAACTGGAAGATGTCCAAACGGTCAAGGCATGAATCTAGTAGAGTATACATACATTCAAAAGCAGCCTGAAAAATAGAAATATAATAAACACAAAAGATATAGCTAACTTAAGGACATTTTATTCTTGAATTCTAACTAGTAAAAACTTTAAACACAACACAAATGCACAATTTATTTTTTAAAGGAGGCCTCAAATGCATACGCTTGCAACAGTGATTTCTCAATACTCTCAATGCTGTGAGCTAAAATTTAAACTAAACTAAACTGATGCTCTCTCCAGTCTTATTCCCCCCACTCACTCAGAAATTTCCAGTACTTTTCATTCCACAAAATTGCTGGAAGTCATACACACACAGTTACCGTTACATAGGTATAGGACCAAAATGTTGCCAAGATTGGCAACTTTTGGCAATTTTTTGCCAAATTTGGTGACAAAAGTTAGTTGTCAAAATCACCTGCAGCTTGGTGCTATCCCGTCAAGCCATTTACCTCAGTGTTAAATGAACTGGCACCTGCAACCTTATTTTTCTGAAGCAGCTTTGCATTCTTGAGGCCTTTCATGTTATATTATATACGAGATACTACAATTTGCATATAATTTCACTAAAACTATTTACATATATACAAAACTTGTAACAATATAAAGTGATTAAAGAAGGAATATATACCTTTCGAATATCTAAACCATCATCAACTGTATGCTTGAATGGCCCCATTTCAACTTCTCTGATAAGTTCTTTCTGTTAAAAATTTATATATATATACATCAAAATGATTCAGATTATCATTACAATTTAATATTATTTCTGAGATTTTTAAGACTTGCAACTAATGTTTTTAGGAGTATTGCCTTAGGAGTAATAAAAGGAAGATGCAACTTCATGAATGATGTGAAAAAGTAATTAACAGAACTATATTTTCATTCCTTTACTAATGTAATAAATGAAAAATTTCTACAGATTTTGAACTCTCCCATTTGTTTAAGGTAGCTACAGTAAAGTAAATTCTTTAAATAAAGGTAAATAATTAAATAATTTAATTTCCATAACATACAACCTACATTACATAAAATTAGTTATCTGTTATGCAAAGAGTTTAACCCTTTAACTGTCAAGTTATTTTGATGATTTGGGTACATAAATTGTCAAAAAAAAAAAAAAAAAAAAAATTACCCCGAGAAATATTCGGGCATGACATTTTCGAATGAAAGTTAAAAGGTTAAAGGAATAATGCATAAAAATATGTATGTAGAATGTAAACCAAGTAATATAAACTATTTTTTTATTGTGTTCTACTTACATTTTAAACATTATGTTATTTACACAGATATAACATAATTATGATTTATAATGACAAATATCAGAGAAGTTTTTCTACTTTTCATGTCAAGATGGGATAAACAAATAAACAATAATTACAGGGAAGGCTTATAAAAGTCCCTGAAGGATACTTACGCCATTAAGCTGCTGCTTTCACAAACTAAACACTGGCATTACTTGTGAAGTTTATAAATGTATATCAACGTTTCAAAATGGAAAACAACATGGCTTCTCCATGAATCTAATGGATTGCGAAGTAGAATGTTTGAGATTATAATATAGCAAATCAAATTGATTCTTTTGTTAGACTTTTCACATAGATTGCTTGGCATTAGATGCCAAATTTGGGCTCATAACGTGCATATTCTACATGCAGCAGTGAGCAGAAAAGAAATAATCATTTTCATCTACTGTCAGGTAAACTTGTAAAATGTGATGTGCAATTAGCTTTCAGCAGTCATTTCTATTACTAAATAAAGTGAAAAATCTGCATGGAAGTTACTTGCAATGTGGAAAACAAACTCAGCGATTAAAAGCAATGTGTAGCTACTCTGCAAAGCATAACCATTTAAAATGTAGAAAAATTGGTGACTTAAAAAGTATGTTGACACTTGGCAAAGCATACGGTGTTTGTCTTTCTAATTTAATAAATTACTTGCCTATTTAAAAGAAATGTATTGCCATAGCACAATATTAAAATATTTTATATAAATATTATATATATATATATATATATCTGTGTGTATGTAACTATATTTTACATATAGAACTTGAGACAAATTGGTAATGCTGTTACATACCTAGATGACAATCAGCATACAAATTACCAAAATTATTGACTGTTCTAACTTGTGTAACTAATAACTTCTTCTTATACTGCTAAAAATATCGTTCTATAACTTACAGAAAGACAAAGGACTACACAGAATCTAGCAACTGCTAGTCATTATGTAGAAAAATGGGCAATTTTCAGATGAGATAAAATTTAAGTTACAGTATCATTAAAAAAAGTCCGAAAAATTCAGCAAGAGATTTAGTTTGATTTACTCAAGCCAAGTAGATGATCACAAAGCACCAGGTAATCGCATATAATACATAATTTACATATTTCAGAAATGAGGGAAGTGAAATCAAAAGATGGGAAAGACGGCACAATCAAAAAATTTAATTGTTAATTAACCCTCAGACCAGAGTGACCACTTTTATCTGGGACATGTCAGACCAGAATGACCACTTTCATCTGGGACATGAGATTTGTTGTCACTTGATACATACAGTCAAAAGTCCATAATCCGGAATGATCTATAATCCGAACCTCAAAGCTACAAACTTTCTGCACATGCGCATGCATAATGCATTTACGCATGTGCATAATACCTTTACACAAGTGCATATGCGTTTAAGCATGCGCGTTTAATATATAACGGACGGTATAAGCTAAGCTAAAATTATCTAATTATCTACTTCAGTTAATGTAGCAGATTGAGTTGTTCCTTAATCTTCTAATTTGCAGACTATTAGAGCAATTTTATAAAAGTAAGCTTGAACTTTCGATTATGTCAAAAAGAATTTCCAATTCTGGAGCTGCCAAAGGATCTACAAAGCGAAAGCATATTTCGATGTCCATCAAACAAAAAGTGGATAAAGGCATATCCTTTGTTTCTCTAATCATTCCGAAATCTGTTTATTTTACACTGCTCTGCGAGGGAGACAGCGCGGCGAGCAATGAACTGGAAGTTGATCTGTTTGCACTATCCTTATCTTCAGCGCAGATGTTTTTATTTTATTCGGCTTATAATTCCTTACGAAATGCAGTATTTCATCTCGATGTACTCCGTCTTTGATATGATTTAAATCAAATTCCTATCATTATAAATATCATGAATACACATCAAATAGTTTTCTGGTTGCAATTTTCTAATTTCGACTATGCGTAATGTATGCTTTACGCATGTGCACGTTGAAAGAAATGTTTAATAAAGTAAACAAATAAATATTAAGCTTTTTTTTTTTTTTTTTTTTTTTTTTGTAAATTTTGATACCCTTTAGATCATAATTGCTCTTTATTTCATAAATTACGGTTTCATATTTTTAATTTTATAATTTCTGCATGCCATCTTACCAGATTTAAACTGATGATCTATAATCCGGAATCACCGAAGTCCCGACGAGGCCGGATTAACGACTTTTGACTGCATTACCATATTTTGTTCTTTTATATTCATTAATGATCTAAATATCATACTAACGTACAGAACATTATAAAAATAAAGAGCAAAAGAAGTACTTATACAAATGTAAGTTAAACATAGATTTTTATAAACATATATAAAAATACAGGTCACTAAGAAAATTAAACTAAAATCTCATATAAGTTATAAACATTTATGGATAATGAAGGATAGAAATTTGTAGCACATCCTACTAACAGCATATATAAATTATTTGTAAGATACATATCTTTAAATTTATGTTATTACAAAAATTAAGGTTTGTGTATGACATTTTTGCTTTTATCATGTTATGAATAAAATGAATTTTAAAAATTTGTCTTAAATGTAAGGTTCTTCAAATATATAATGCAATAATTTCAAAAAAATAATTAATTATACAATAAAAATGAAAATCATGAGAAAAAGAAGCATTATATACCCGAACTTTAGTTTCATTGTATAATTCTGGCAGGATAGAATCTAATAAATCTCTAATTAATGATGGTTTATTATGAGCAGCTGAATTGAATGCCACAAGAGCTACTCGCCGGACATTTAAATCAGGATCCTTCAATGTTTTCAGAAAATCTCCAATACAACCCCGAAGTAATGTGTCGATTGGCTGTGGCTGCAAAAATAAAATGGATATCATTATTAGTTACATAAAATACAGATTGGATCCATGATATTATTAAGTACACTGATATATACACAGAAGATTAAATCAAAGGAACAATATGCACATCTGTATAATTATTCTATATTTTTATTAGTATTTTTAAATTTTCCAGAGTTGTTAATAAGCTGTGTATGAGTAGGTGGAAAATTTTACATAGTTTTGAATACCAATCATGTCCATATGAATAAGATGGTAGTTTGAAAATGTAACAAATAACTGTTAGTGAAAATGTTAGTGTCTGAAGAAATTCAAAAAATAAAATTCAAGGAAGTCAGTATCTGTTAATTTGCTTATACATGATTATTAGTTTCAGTATAATAAAATATATTTTCCAGTTTTGGACCAAAACTGAAATTATCACAAGTACATGAAATAATTTTACTCAATGTAATTTTAAGCATTTACAAAAATACATTCTGCACCATCCATATCTTAGCACATTTGTGATGTAGAGTAAGCTCAATATAATAATGGATAATAATAAAAAGAAACATTTTACACCCTCACTATATTGTTTTCTATTAAAAACATATATGCAGTTTCAGCTGAAAATCTACTTAAGGATTCAGTATCAAGTAATACTGAAGTTCATATTTAAAAGTACAGCTTTCATTTAAAAATAAATAAATAAAATATGAATTTTCCCCTCTGTTTAACTGCACTAAGAAATATATAAATTAAATTAATATAATTTTTATTGTGATATTGAAGTTCATTAAAATAAAAGCATATATCAAAGTTTATTAATTTTACTGATTCATTTATTTTATTCATTTTCTTTCATTTTACTGGTTCACTTAATTTTTCTCTACTGAGAGTAATTAATAGCTTGTTGCATTATAAAAATATTAAAATTAAATCTATTACAAAAAATATTTGACAAGATTCTTAATACATAATTTCAATTTAAAAAAATACAACAGAAGAAAAGGGGGAGACTTTAATAACTAATAGTACTAAACAGATTTTAATAATTTCATTTTGAAAACACCTGAATATTCACAAACTAACAACTGCAATATTAATATCATAACATTGTTAACTTCAAGGTTCCTAATGAAATTCAGCTTTCAGTTTTGATTTCATATAATCAACATCAAAATTTTTTAGGAATATAAATTCCTGAAACATTTATATTTCATATTTATAATAGTCACACATGTTTTAAAGAATTGAAATTATCACTATTAAAAAAGTTCTTTAATCTAAAAAAAAACATTCATTAATACAACATTGTTACAGTTTAAAGTTACAGATAGTTTTGTAGTTTAAAGCTACATATATAATTTATTACAGTAGTTTTAGAAAGATGTAAGACCAATTGCATATCAAAAGCTGCAAACTATACTATCCATAACTCTACACTATTTATGTATCATTTCAAATGTCCCAAATGTTTTAAGTAATTTATATTCACTTTCCTCTCTATAACATCTAATTTCATTTGCTTTAATAAACAAATCTCCTATCTGTTGATACCTTCAATAACAACCCTTTGAAAAACATTTTTTTTTTATTACTGTAATCAATTTCTTCCTCAATAATTTTTCTCTTTATCTTTGAATTTGAAGAGATAGTTAAAAATTGTACTTGTTTTAAAAAGCTGCATTTAGAACATGCAGATGTACCTGACCTTATACAAGTTTATACCTATACAAGTTTGCATTTTGTGAAACGTAACGTTTTCTATAAGCATACCAAGTTCAAAAACATAAAAATTTCCAAAAGTGTCCACAATTTCGGCCACCACTGTATATATATATATAAAAGAATTTAATACATAAGATTGTAAAATTAGAACTGTAACTGCTCCTGATAATATAAACCATGGTGGACTCACTCTAGCAATAAGAGTGCCCTCTGGTGAGTAGCCACAGAGACTTCAGTAAAGGTCAGGTGATGAATCTTTTAGGTTGTATCAGGATCCCTGCTCTGTAAACTCTTAAAATTATATGTTATGTCTGCCTGTAACTTAACCTCTGTAATAAATTATTGTTACATGATAAAGGACTCTCTTATGACCCCATCCAACAAGACACCCCTATAGAAGAGTTTTTTTTTTTTGCAAAATTTATGGAAAATTACAAACGTTTGTAGATATGCATTGTTCCTAGTGGCCCTACAGCTAAGGTAGTTAAAACTGGCCATTTATATTGTTGTAAACCAGCAAATAGTTTCAGAATATCTTCCCCCTTTTTTAAGAGCCCTCTTAATGTCTTTTGTCCATATCCTTGAAGAATTTCTGAATTTATAGATAACAATGACTAGATGAATGATCTTTATGAAAATCACACTCTCACCTTCTTCAAGGACAGACTTTTGTTAAAATATGTTACAGCATAGCCATAAGGAGAAGATTGAAGGTCAAGATTATTTTTGCAATGGAAAAAGAGAGCATTCTTGTTGATAGCATTTGTTTCAAAAGGCTGCATGAATAAACAATCAAGCATCCTCATTATTTAATTCTGTTGTTTCCTTGTTGTTTACAAGGTAAATTTGTGATAGCTGGTGATTTGTTATAAGCAGTATGGTATTTATCCAGAATTTTAATTCACACTCAGAATGACAGCCCTAATAAATGGACAGAAATGACAGATAAACAAAATTAAGGACCATTTGTAAACTTCAGGCAAAATTAAAGACTTTTAAGGACTGTGTGAAATCTGAGATAAACATATAAATCAATTATAAAATAAAAATAATCAAGTTTTAAAATATTGATTCTGAAAAACAAATCTGTAACAGCACAGCATTCACACCAAATAATCTCTCTCATCTATTGGTTTGGTTTATTAGATTACGGCAAAGCACTCGAGGGCTATCTGCCTTAACCCTTTAACTGTCAAGTTATTTTGATGATTTGGGTACACAAATTGTCAAATTTTTTTTATTGGAAAAACCAAATGTAGCCAAAATAAACATCTCCTGATATATAATCGGGTATGACAATACGATGGACTCAAAAAAAAAAAAAAAAAAAAAAAAAAAAAAAAAAAAAATTACCCCGAGAAATACTCGGGCGTGACATTTTCAAACACCAGATCTCGGGCATGACAGTTAAAAGGTTAAGAGAGGGATGCCATCGTGGAGGACTTTTTAAGGGAAACTGGCTCGTATACACGTTACACATGGAGAAAACCACGAAAACACCCATGCAGCCAGCCCGTTCGCGGGATTTGAACCTCGGACCGAACTACTAGTGTTCAGCGATGTTACTCCTCGGCTGCTGGTGGGCTCCTCTCATCTATTGTATTACAAAATGAAACTGGGAAGCTAAGAATTAAAACTAGTTTAAAAAAATTAATATAATTGTTATATGATGTAATATATTAATAATTTGTTACACCATACAAAAATGCAATAGAGTGGCTTTTAAAGTAAGTTTTTTTATTTCAGGATAACTGCTTTTCTAAAGAGACAGGTAACAGAAGTGTTACATTACTAAAGTAAGAAATGATAAAACAGAATGGTGAACAACTAAACAGCATTTGATAGAGATGATGGATAAAATACTTCTTATCAGAAAAACAGACATTAGAGTTTTAATCTCCAATTTTGTTTAAGGGGAATAATTTTTGTTTACTGGTTACTATTTATAAAAAAAATATTGCTTGTTCTTTACTTTTACTTTCCCGACTTTTTTTATTTGCTCACATTTCTCAGACCATGTTTCATTAACCAGTCTTTCTCTTTTTTTTTTTTTTTTTTTTTTTTTTTTTTTTTTTTTGGGGGGGGGAGGCAATATTTTTCAGAAGGGTGGAAATATTGCCACTTAATTTTCAATAAAATAAAAAAGATTTTTTTTCTTTACTATTAAAAACACACACACATACAAAACAAAAACAAACAACACACATATACAAAACAAAAACAAACAACACACATATACAAAACAAACAAAAATACAGTTCTATAAGCTAAATGTGAAATTTATTACCTGGTCGGAAATAGTAAACTTCATTGCTGTGACCACTGTACTACGAGCTAGAGGTGATTCTGAATTAAGGTATGATTTGAGTTCTGGCAGAAGATTCACGGGATCAATAAGAGTTAATTTTCCTAAACATTCTGCAACTACATTTCTTGTACCTTCTTCTGTACATTCACAATGATTAAACAACATACTCCTGAAATAATAATAATGGTGATCAACATTATGTGATCAACACAGTAGGAAATTCTAAAAGTGGTAGAGGATCAACAAAGTGGAAAATCCTATTTTATCAATATAAACATTTTGTTAATTTATTTATAAATTTTTAAAAGGAAAATATAGGATATAATTATAATCTCACTCATTTATGATGTCTTAAAAGTAATGTAATTAATTCAATGTATAGGCACATAATGAAAGACAAATAATAAGTTTTGAACAAACAAGTTTTATTATTGCCAAACTGACCATTTTTATCATTAATGGCTTGTAGTTTATATAGAAAAATAATTTTCATTGATACAGCTGTTTACACATCTTTAGAATGATTTCCAGAATAAATGTTCAAAATGTAATTTTTTTAATATTTGATCTCACAGACTTTTTTCTGGACCAAAAAGACCTATCTGATCTGTTTTCTGGAGTCTGCATCATGACTTCCATAATAGAAAGGCTTTTCATAAAACTTCTGAGAGTAATAATTTCCATTCCTCTTCCACTTTTCTCTAAAGTCTTTCACTCATGGTGGGTTTGCATTCAGAAAGTCCCAAGAGAAAGAGACTTGAGGCAAAAAAAGTCCAAAAATGAAATCTCAGGGAACTTCACAAGAATGTGCTGAAAAGGTATATATGCAATATCTGTATGAATCTTCATTTCTTAAAGGAAAGCAGTAGTATTTTTTGTTGCTTTGTCTGGATAAAGTATCATGCATTGAAAGTCATAGGGATAAAGAAATCATATTTATTCTGTAAATATTGGATGTAAAACTTTTTTTCTTGGTGCATTCATTTAGGTAAATCCATGCTTCATCAAAGATCACAAGGCATTTTCATTTATCTCCTGATTAATAGTTTCTATACAAAGTGCTACAAGTAATTCTGCACTGAGCCACATGCCTTAACTAAAGCTGGTGAACATTGTTTAAGTTGTAAATCTTTGTTTATTACATTATTTAATGTTGCCAAAAATATATTTAAAGACTTTGCAACTGATCTCTGCATCAGCGAATTTTATACTGTTGCTAATAATTTAACTTCAGAAGCAACCATGCATTACACAATTTTTTTTTTTTTTAAATTATGGAATAGGAATATTTCTTTCTGGAAAACATAAAACATGCCCTTCAATCCACAGCTGGTTTATGTGCAACATTATGAAAGAAGAATAAATTTAAAAGCAGCTACTACGAATTTTTATTCCAAAACATTTGCTTTTTAAAAATTTTTTCACCAAAATCGTTCTGGAAATGTGTAAAGTTTGGTTTTTGAGTTGCATGAAAAAGATGAGAAGAAGGCATTTGAGTCACATGACTGCACACAATTCCATTCTTCAAGCATGATGACAGATAATAAATGTTCTGTAATAACACAACCATAGTGGTTCCCTGATTCAGCAGTGTTAGCTCCTTTTTGGTTGGAAATTATAATTTGAAATTAATGATAAGTTATAATCATTAGTAAACATAGCAGCTATAATCAAAAGACTAGTTTCGCAAAAAGTACACTAGCCAAACATCATCTCCTTTTAGCATTTCTGGTAGCCTAGTAAGAGCATTCATTGTTCTTCTGAAGAACATATAATACAATAAATTATTCTGTAAAGAAAACTGTAATTTTCCTCTTAAAATATATCAAGCCTACTAGTTTGAACTGAATATCAAATTTTAAAATTATAAAAGCTCAAGTTAAAGCCCTGCATTTCATATAATGTGTACAGACAAACATACATATATAATCACTAATACACACACACTGAATGAAATAAAAAACAATTTTCAAACTGTTAGCTTTAGTTTTCAATTTCTGTATATGAAATTTTGTATATTTATTTGATTACATATTATTTAATTATCTGGATTTTCAAATACATTCTTTATCAATTAAAGTATGAAATATTTTTCAGAAACATATCTTGGCATTTCTAATCAATAAGTTCCACTAAAAGAAAATCAACTGTCTTGGCAGGCTCAGAATTGTGACATGTAAATATACGTACCAAACATTTTTTATAAATGGCTGAAGAAGCTTCACTGAAGCTGGACTTGCAGACTGGCAACTAATAATCTTTAAAAAGAAAAGAAAAAAAAAGTTAGATAAAAGTTTTGCTGGCAGGAAAATAGAGAAAGAAATAAAATAAGGGGCAGTGCATAAGTTCATAGCATTTTTTTTATCAGATGGCAACACTGTATTGCAAGAATTTGCTTCTGTTACTCCAATGTATGTATGAAAATACAGTTTACTAAGGAAGGAGCAACAAACACAGCTTATGCTCTGTATAGGATAAATGCCATTGTCAAAAATAAGTAAGGATGCGGATATCTTAGCTCTGGCGAAAGCAATTTAACTATTTAAATTTAAGCAGTTTTGATGAAGATTGCTTAAATCACTGTCTTCATAAAAATCTCCATCAATCAATACAGGAGTTCACACAACTTAGGGAATGAGACCGCATGGCAATTGCGTGTAAGATATAACCCAGAAAAAATCACAATGAACTTATGCACTGGGCAAATAAAAATTTTTTTTGAAAATAATCACCTCTTTTAATGAGTGAAGAAGGAGATATTGACGTTTAGGTTGATTTTCAATTTCATTCAGTACAAAAGGAAGGTATTCAGGCAGGTTACCCACAGCAACACTTCCTATATATGGGGGGGGGGAGAAAGAAAGAGGTGTTAATACCAAGTTAATTAATACCAAAATGACACAATGGAGAAATTTTTTTCACGAGTTACCTAATGCAAAGGAAGCGGCTGTTTTGACTTCCTCACTCTGAGAAGAAAAAGAATCCAAAAGTACGGTTTTCAGTTCTGATATACTGCTCAAATCACTGCAGAAATATGGAATATGGTAAATATAAAAATATAAATAAGAAGTAACATTATCCTGTAACAAATATAGCAATCACCCTAACAAAAGGTTTAGAGGATAATAAAATAAAAATATCAATCAGATGAATAAATTACAAGATATACCACCTCAAAAAGAATAAAATTCAAAATCAAAGACTACTAACATAACTGATCACTAGTAATATGATAAAACATGTGAATTTATGTCATACAAAACTAAATACTTAATAGCTTTAATGGAGAATTTATCTTTCGTATAACATTACTGTGAACAAAAGTTCACATTTTGAGTAGCATGACTATTTACAATCAAAAAGAATTCACTCCATTTCGTTACATGGCTATTTAAAATGGTTAATTTTATTCCAAATTAAAAAAAAAAAAAAAAAATCTGTGAGGCATTAAAATAAACAGTTATACAAAATACATACACAAGTGATTAGAGATACATTAAGAATAGACACTCTGAACAATAAGGCCATCTACAGTTTTTTTTTTTTTTTTCCTTCTAAATTTGAAAAATAAAAGCAAAGAGAAACGCTACACTTTTATGGTATGGATAATAAGTAGATTGGCAGGGAGAGAAAATACGTATGTAATTAAATGTAACAGAGCAACATTTCTTTCAACAGAATTATTACATATATATAAACAAACAGAATAAGAAAAATATAAATCTTTGATTTCTTACATATGTTTCCCAATTTCTCCTATAGCAAGCAGAGCAAATAACTGAACTGAGTCAATATTCCGCTTTACCTGCAAAAGAAAATGCAGCAGCCAAGTGATTATGCAATTGTCAACAACACATGTGATAACTATTTTCCTACTAGAGATTTTTGATAAATGCAGAAATGCAGCTATCAGAATTAGAACATTTTTATTATTACAATAAATCATGTTTCTGCAAAATGGGAATTAGCTAGACATTACAATACTTAATATTAAAATGAGTTTGATAAACCTTAGTTTGCAGGAAAAAGCACACAAAAGTATTTAATTTCCTTAATAAAAACCTAATAACCTAGTTTCTTATTAAGTTCCTAAGTAAGGGAGGAAAATGTTTTAATCATTTAATTACTTATTCAAAGCAGTATATATGTTTCTTCAATGTCTATTATTTCTGTCTTAACACATTCCGAACAATAAATAAGATTTTTATTTTCAAGATATAATTTAAACATTATCATCTTTAAAGAAGCATTAAATGTATAATTTTCAATGTTTCTTTATAATAACAAATCAATATCTGTTAGCACTTCCAAAGCATGAAGAAACAAAGCAAATTTTATAATGTTCTCCATTAGTTATAAATGTAAATGGGGATGTAATGAATGTAAATCAGTAAAATCGGAAATGTTCAAAATCTTCAGTTAATTTTTTTAAAAAAAGATAAAAAAGCATTCTTTTTTGTATGTTATGTAATCTTTAGCAGCTTTACATGTGGAGAATCAAAGTAATGGAACATTTATGGCAAAGTGTAAATAATAATAAATTTGTTCAATACTAAATTCTTGTAAAAATAATTTCAGCATGTGAAACTATCGGAGTTTTAATAAAAGCAGTATTTTCCCCAGATACCATATGAAAGTCCCCACTCCCAAATAATAATAATAATATATATATATATATTAATGCAGATGACTTCATATGGGTAAAAGAAATCAATATAAAATGAAAGCATATGCCTGAAAGGTAAACATTTTCATCTGCCTAACAGTAAAAGATTTAAAATTACAAATATAGAATAATTTAAAATTTAAACCAATAAAATAACTTATAATAGTGTACTAATAAGAGCTGATACTTCTGTCACTATATGCACATTTAAAATAAAAAACTTATTATAAACTAGGCCTTCACAAACACAAAAATCTAAATGAATTTAAAAAATTTTAAATGTCTAGATGAACAGCAAAAATCTTCCTTTTGTTTTTTAAATCAAAATAAGAAAAGTTTAGAAATTTAAATATACTTTTGCCATCATGAAACCAATACAGATAAATTGCAGGATGATGATGATGTACAGTAGATGTGAGCACGGTTAATGTTATCGTTTGGATATTGTTGCTGAAGTCTTGCATATATGAACATGGAAAATACATCACTAACTGCGATCAGTTAATCTGCTTCAAATATATATCAAATTAAAATATATATAAATGCTTCAAATATATATAAAATATGCTAATATTAGTCAGTTAATCTGCTTCAAATGATTTAAAGTTAGGTAAAAAACCAACCTTTGTTTGAAGTAGATTTTGAAGCTATATGTGTTTCTTTTTCAGGAGGGGGGGGGGATATTCTACAGAATTTTTTCCGATTGAAAAATAAAATACCTTGAAAACATCCATAACAAACTAAGTTGTTTCACAAGAAAATAGTAAAGTTAAATTAAAATTTAAATAATAAAGTAAATTAAATTTAAATAATTCTTTGCACCATTTTGCTGCAAGGAATGAAATTTGAATTTAACAAATATTCTCTATTATAAAGCAAATATAATTTTAATTAAAAGATTTTATTTGCAAAGAAATAAAAATAAATATATTTGCTGAGAACTAACTTACAATTTCATTTAAATTCTAAGAGCATATGTAAATTAATTGCATGTATCTAAAACCATGAAAAAATATATTATTAAAAAAATTGCATAAGTGAATAATTATTGAGCAGGCAGGAGACAGACTTATCATGGGGAAATTGCCCTCTAACCTAACTCTTCAATTACTCAATTCGTATTTCCTCATTCATATAGGCAAGGGTAAAAGTAAATTTCAAAATCAAAAGTAAAACCAAATGTTGTGAATTACTAAAAATGAAATTTGAACAGTGGAAGTTTGAGAAAATAGCAAGTAAATACTAGAGCTAAAATTAATTAAAAGCCAATTAAGAGTAGAAAACCAAAGTAATTTAGAAACTATTGCCTACTGGAAACTTCCCCAACACGAATTTTGCACGTAAACCTAAAATAAACTACATACAACTATCAAAATATAAACATAATAAAATAATAATAATAATGATAATAATAATAAAAGGCTAGTAAATAGCAAGTTTTAATTTAACTTACCTAGATCTACATATTTGTATTTCTGAGTTGTACTAGCATTTGCTAAAGTAGGTAAAGTTGAGTAGTTTGTTACTGTAAAAACAGAGGGCACAAATGCAATGTAAAGTTGAGTGTAAAGCTGCTACTTGTAAGAGCTATTGTAAAAACCTATGCTGTAAATTTAAAAAAAAAAAAAGTAAAATGTAAAATGCTTGTTTTGTGTGCAAAAAAATGTTGCTAACTTTGAGTCATTGTTAAAAAGTGTAAAAATTAAAAATTATGAGCTGCTACTCTTAGAATTTAAATGATATTGTAAATTAGTTCACAGCAAATATAATTACTTTTATTTTTATTTCTTTGCAATTAAAATTTCTTAATTAAATTTATATTTGCTTTATAAGAATAGAGAATATTTGTTAAATTCATGACAAACTAAGGTTACTTTAATGCTTAATTTAAGATTTTACATTGGTATGTTCTCTTGCAATGAAGAATGAACTCCGAATATTAAGGCTAAGTTTATAGCACTGATCAAATAATTTTCAGAAACTTTATGAACAGTTCATGAAAAAACTTTTGCATCTTTCTAATTAAAATGGTGAGAAATATCTACTTATATGTTTACATTAATCCATTGCTCTTTTTATAGATATTTTTCCTTATTTGTTTAATGTTACCAATCAGCTCTGATGTTACCAAAATAGCCGTGGGCAAACATGATCACATTAAATGCCGCCTACTGTAATTTGTGATAGAAAAATAATTCATAATTCTGCAAAATAATTTTTTAAGTTCATAACAAATACACTACATAACTGATATTACATCATATAATTTCCAGCATATTTCACAAACTTCAATGTATCCACTTCTTCTATCTACCTATCTTGCATATATGCTTTATTGGGAAGATTTATTTGGACAAACTGGAAAGTTAACAGATGTTACAGTTGATAAAATCAGTGATTACCTTCTTAAAAGACAGTAATACAGTTCACTACCATACAAACCTTTACATAGGTCAGGGTTCTCAAGTGCGGGCAATTCCTTCTGAGACCCCTGGGTGAGAACATACTTTGAAAGTGGGGAATGTGGTCAGCTTTCTGCTTACCTATTAGGTATGCAGTTTCAGTTTATGACTATAAAAATTACTCTTACTGAAACTTCGGCATTTATGAACGTTTTCTCTACTTTTCCTTATTTAATTTATAGAACAATAATCTAAATTTAAATAAATGCATATATATTTTTCCAAGTTGTGGAAAGGAGGGGGCAGATGATCATCTATCAATGATGAAAGGGGTGCATTGGCAAAAAAAGCTTACGAACAACTGATCTAGATTTCTCATGGCAGTATCTCAATCAAAAATTTAATGCAAATGTGTCCTTGCTTCTATATGGATTAAAAGATCAAAAATAAACTTTTACAGGGTAAAAGAGGCTTTTACCTCTGTTCCACCATTAATCTTATGATCCAGTCTAGTTTAATCAAAATCTGCCACAAAGGTGGATAGGATGCACAAGATAAGCAGATGATGTATTATTACACTAACTATATCAGTTTTTAATCTCATGTGGGGTTTAGTTAAGGATATGTATTGTCTTTATGGGCCTACCCGATGGGGTAAAATGAATTATCCCATGGATATTTGCCATATCAGCAAAGATGAATAAATTCAGCTTAAAATTTGTTAAAAGATGAGTTTTAGCATAACAAAATTTGGCATTATTTATTATGAATTTTAATATGTTTCACAGGATTAAAAATTGTTATTTGCAAACCTTTAATTCTTGTAGAAACTGTTGAACTACAGGAAGTGCTTCCTGAGGGCAAGTGATAGTCAGAGCTGCTACACATTTTGCTATTGAATGATATGCCTGTTTATGTATAATATGTGATGCTCCTTCTTGACCATGTTGCCCATTCACTGAACAAATTGGTGCAGTAAGTCTCTGAAATTTAAAATAACGTGGAATTTAAATTGAAAAATTTTTTACACAGTACATACAAGATTTTTTTTAAACAGATCTCTTAAATTAGCAGTTTATTATCACACATCTTTCATAAAGTTCCTCATTAAAGAAAATCAATGTATCTTAAAAATTTTAAAGTTATTTTCAAAATTTAGGACTGGCAAACACAGAAAGAAAAATAAAACCATTAATCCTAAAAGCAAGATAAACACATTTTAAAGACTTATTAAAATTATGATAAAATATTTAAAATATAAAACATATTTTTAAAATATTATTATTTATATCAGGTCTACAGGAAAGTTCTGTCCAATAATGTTATTTCTAGTTTCAATATGCATGGCTCTTGATCACTGCACTTATAAACATGTGCTCTTCTACATTAACTGAAACAAAAGTGTCTCATAGCATTATTAAGTGATATGTGATTGCGTAAACAAGCTCATTTACAACATTGGTGTTTCGGACAAGGAAGAAGTGCTGCAGAAGCATGTTGAAATTTAGTAACTGTTTTTGGTGAAGATGCAATTCTGCATAAAACATGCAGGAAATAGTTAAAAAAATCTGCAGCAGGTGATTTCTACCTTAATGATGAACAATTATCTGGGTGGTCATCCCTGAACGATGATGATATCGTCAATATAATGATACATCAAGATCCTTTTTTAACAACATAGGAGATTGTGGGAAAGCTGAATTACACTCACTGAACCATTTCAGATCAATTTCAGAAATTTGGATTCATCTATAAATATCCCAGATGGCAGCCTGAGTTATGTAAGAAAAATTTGCATGATCAAGTTGTCATATGAACATCTCTGCTTGCCCTCTTTGAAATGGATTATAACTGGGAATGAAAAGTGGATTACTTGTAAAAGCATCGTTATGAAAAGAGCTTACTGCACGCCCAAGCAACCTGCCCCACTCCAACTCAAAACCGAGCTTAAGCCTGAATAACAGAATGCTACATGTGATGGGATGTCCAAGGACAAATACATTACACACTTTTAAAACCTAAAAAAAGCTCAGTTCGGAGAGATACTGCCAGCAAATGGCCAGTTTAAACAAAGTAGTCAAAGAAAAGAAGCAAACGATGTTTAATAGGAGGCACATCATGCTGCATTATGATAATGCCAGAACACATGCTGGTTTGGTAGACAGGCTGGAAAATTTTGCAACATCTAGCATGCTCCCCAAACCCAGCATCCTATGACTGTCTCTTGTTTCTCTCCTTGCAACATTTTTTAAGGGGGAAAAATCCAAAACTGAAGCAGATGCCAGCCAAGCATTACTTAAGTTTTCCCACCTCTAAGCAAAAGGTATTTTTCAAAAATGGTACCTACAAATTACCATCACATTGGCAATGGGTAATAAGCAACAACAGAAACTATACAATAAATATTAAAGGTATGAAAAATGTATTTCTTTCACTTCTCAAGTGGAGAGAATTTTAAGTAGACCTTATAATTTAATATATTCTTTGTTTCCAGCTTTTGCATTACATGTCTCAAAATTCCTCTCCTTTAAGACACTTAGAGGGAAAAGAATTGTTTCTGATGTTTCGATTTATTATTTCTATTACAAATCATTTTTTTATTTGCATCATATTTTCAAATCATATCAAAAAGTCTAAAAATTTTCAATTTTTAAATTTAAGAAGCATAATTGACAATTTTTATAACATAAACATGTAATAGAAATTTGATAATAAATGCTTAACCTTTTGAGCTCATGCTTTGATACCAGTAAGATCCTTAAAAAGACAGGTTTTGCACCTTATGCCTCCAAAACTTTCAAGAAGTCCTTTGTTGTTTGTAGCAATGTCCCTTTTAGGTAGTTTCATTTATCCTTAAACAGGTGCATTTATGAAAGGAAGGGAAATGAGGGAATTATTGACGAAACTGTTAGATGCATTTCCTTACAGAGGAAATATTTAAAGATGCAGTTAATTTCAAATCAGACTACTCAGTGATACATAAAAGAGACTCTGTATTTGCATAATTAAAAATAGTATTCTGTTTCTCCATATTGCAGCACAAAGCTTTCTAAAAGAAAACTGTGCAAGTTTTTAAATAATGATTTTAATTTACCTTATGAAATTAAGTGCCTTTATAAAGTGTTAACAAGAATTAATTCTATTACACTTTTAATTTAAAGTTATGTTATAAAATTTGTTCACATTTCCTTATTTCATATATATTTTTAGTCTTTTTGATTTATCAGATCTTAATTTCATTTTTTAATACATCTCAAATTTTTTTCCATACATTTCATGAACTTATTTTTTTAAATTACAAAGCATTCATGGCTTTGTAAATGGGAAGGGAGAACAAGTGAATGTTGCACCAAAAAGAAAAGTTAAAATAAAATATTGCAATCTTACCCTCAGTAATTCTCTGTATGTTACACCAGGCAGCTGTGTAGTCACCAAAGACTGAAAAAATTCTAACATGGCATTCAATGCAGCACCTAAAAAATGAGGAGGAAATGCATATTTAATTTTTAAAAACTAACAGTAAATTTTCAATTTTTTCATTGAAAATATACAAATATCTATACAATCTCTATTACATAAAAAATTAATATGAATTATTAACTTATTTCAGCATACTAGGCATATTAGAAAGAAACATAGTAATTTTATAAAGCATCACTTTCATATCATCATTATATTCACCAGATCAAAATTTCTACCAGATCCTTATCAATCTAATATTATAATCAAGAAAATACAGCTTATATATGACATTTTGAGAGAATTTTGAAATTTTAGGGCCAAATCCATAATGCTCGGAGGGTTGGGTATGTTATTTCTTTGATCAGCAATTCTAACATAAACTGTTACAAAACTATACTGAAGGTAAAATTTAATAATTTCAAAATAATTACTGTCCCATGAAAAGCTGAAAGGGGAGACTCTTTTCTTGGAGACACGCCTGTATGTTTCACTATGTTCTGATGCACACTTTAGAAAGTCTCCATTGATTTCAGTCATGCTAGTTGCCTGCAGATCCTGAATGGTTAATGGTTTAATTTTGTGGCAATCTGTAACTTTCAAGTTCCCTTTGTAATAGTAATATAACTGGCAAGACAGTAATTTTTTATGATAAACATATGCTCCTTTGGTGTGTACAACATTTACTTCACTGTGCTGAAAAATGATAAATTAGGAATATAACAGCCACCTAAGGTTACATTAATGCCACTTGTAGAAAACTGCATTTTACTCACATAAGTTCATTATGATTTTACATATGCCAAAAGAAACAAAATTATACTTCATTCAAAATAGGGCAACATTGCTGAAACACTCTAGGTTAAAATTTGCAGCATTTTATACCAAAAGATAATTAATCATCTATAAGAAAATTGATTAGAAACATTGTAATATCAAATGATTTACCCTGTAAAAGAGGAGAATGTACCAAAGTGAGTATTTCAGGCAAAACTGCATCAGTAACATTCATAAGTGGTTGCTTCTGTACTTTAGATATTGAAGTTAACAAACTCATTGTAAGCTGAAACAGAAGCAAGCATAATTATAAACTACTTTATATTTTCCAAAAAATTATAAAATATTTCAATAACACTACTGTGGCATATACTGAATGATGATGATGCGTGTCAAAAGAAGAAATATATATACGAGGGCCATCCAGGAAGTAGATTACGTTTCCGTCTGTGTCCGCTAGGGGCGGGGCTAGCGCGGCCATCTTGGGGTCAGAGCGTTGCGCAGCTCAGTCTGCATCTAGCCGTGCTAGTGAGAGGTTCGTGCTGTGCTCCTTCAGATACTGTGACGGTTTTTTTGAAATGTCTGCGTTAATTGAAAATGAAAATCCCGCGAGCTGCGAGGTGCGCTCAGTAATAAGGTTTCTGACTGCAAAAAAACTGTAAACCGATAGAAATCTATCGGCAGCTTTGTGAAGTGTATGGGGACAACATTATCATGGAAGGTGGAGTGCGTCAGTGGGTCATAAGATTTCAAAATGGCCCGAACCCAATGTTCACGACGAAAGATCGAAGGTGGGAGACCCAGCATAGTGACCGCGCCGAACTTCTCGAAAAGTCGATGCTAAAGTCCGTGAAAATCGAAATTTCACAATAACGGAACTTTTTTGAGTTTTTCCATTTCCACAAATTTCGCGAAGTTTGTTGCACACAAAATCATCAGCGAAAAGCTTGGTTACCACAAGTTTTGTGCAAGATGGAAGGCAGAAGAGGTAACAAAGTGGTTGAAGGCGCAGGCGGCCGAATTTTTCGACGAAGGAATTTCCAAGCTCGTACATCGCTACGATAAATGCCTTAATTTGTATGGTGACTATGTAGAAAAGTAGTATTTGAGTGTGGGTTTCATCTGTATATAATAAAATTTGTTTCCTATACTTTGTTTATTTTTTTATTCCAAAACGTAATCTACTTTCTGGATAGCCCTCGTAGATAAAAACGCACATTTCACGAATTAAAAATCTCTAAAAATATTTATCTAAAGTTAAGATAACAGTGAACCTTCTTTCAATGAAAGGTTAAATGCCATTTATAAAAACATTCATCTGTTTAAATATCATTTCTCATTAAACTACCTATTATAGAAAAATAAATAGTCTGATTATATTAATAACACTTAAACCAGAATTATTTATCTGTCAGGCACTAATAATTTAAATTCTTACTGCATCTACTACTACTTTTGCATTATTTTAAAGTAATAAAATTAACTTTATCAGATTTATTATTTATTACTAAATTTTCATATAAAAGGAATTTCTGTAATTTTTAATAATATAATTCTCTAATTGTATTCTAAAACTTATTAGGCTACTGCAGCTGTAGTCACAGAATAAATCTATCAGTTTACCATAATGTTATGAATTTTGAATATAAGTAAATAATTTTACTGAAATTATATGTGGAATTATAGTGTTTTTCTGTATAATGCAACATAAAATGCTTGAAAGACACAAAGCTTACCAGAAAAATAAGAATACAGGGGGAAGTCTTAGCATTGTCTTAGCATCTTGCTAAACTGACAAGATCTCGTCAAGCTGGCAATGGTTTTGGCAACTAATTTTGTTGCCAAATTTGGGAAGAAATCACCAAAGGTCGTCAAACTTGATGACCATTTGGCAACATTTTGGTCTAGTTCCTGTATAACTGCTACTGGTACCGTAATTGACCTCTATATGCAACTGTAACATTATCTGGCCCTTATGTGTAATTTTTACCATATATGTCTTCGAGTAATTTCGAGAAATGGAAGGTACTAGGGATTTCTTGGTGACTTGGTGAAAATTATATAAGACTGCAGAGAGGAATCGCTTTCAGTAATTGCTAGTCCAGAGATGAATTTTGAACATTGAGGTATCTGCTAGAGCTTTGCCTTTTAGGCACTTTGCATTGTCTTGTGTTTAATGCTCTTAGCAATTTGCAGTGTAACTACTGACTACACTCTGTGATACTGAAAACAGCAGTACGAGTGCTTTTATGGAA